ACCAGATACTCCTTGTCTGTACAATACCTCTAGTGGATGTTCTTGCTATCCCTGCACAATAGACATTTCATACAGTTTTTGTAATGAAATCTTCGTCCTGATTTCCATATTTCTTTAAAGATGTGGTATTCGCAGTGGCAGTCCCACCCATATTTGTCGTGGTATGGGTGCCTAGGGTCTCTGACTTCTGTCTATTTTTCCTCGTTATGTCTGAAGCATAGTTCTTTTTCTTTGCACACTGTCCAGTGTTCATTGGGTATCTGGTTATCACATTTCTCTCTTTGTTCCCATAGTAGTTCGTGACTATCTTTGAACGTTATCCATGGTGCTTTGTTTTCCCAATTGTTCATTTCCTGTGTATCTTTGTATTCTGATTCGGTTTCTCCTTCCAAGTCTGTTTATTCTGGTGTCACAATTCCTTGGTTCGGGCCTGTTACTGGATTGTATGTTCGTTGTTCTATCATCGCGTTCTGTCGTATCAACGCTGGTTATTTTCCTTATTTAATCCGTTCGTCCTGTTTCTGCCATCCTTATCGTTACTATATATCAGGTACTCGTTTGTATATGTCGTCGAGTTCGTTTTCTGGTGGCTATAGATAGGTGACTTTCCTTATTGCCCTAAGGTATTGTCTGACGTTCTGTGAGTCTTAGTAGCCTCCTCTATCCTGTTCCTTCTCGTGGCTACTAGTCTTAGACGTAATGGTAGCGTTGAGGTGCTTCTTGGTATCCCCTTGTTTCTTCCTGCAGTCTTTTGCGATATGTCCGGGTTTCTCGCAGTAGAAACATAGCTTCTTGTCCCTACATCTTTTGCTTTTCTCGGTATTATAAGGTCATTTTTTGGTGGCGTCTAACTCTATGGGTGTGGTGCCATAATCGTTGCGTTTGTTTGACCCTTTGTATTGGTTTGCTTTCCAGAAAGTGTTCTTTCCTTGTCGTATGTTTTGTAGGTTGTAGAGTTGATTGTCGATGCGTACTGCCATTTCAACCATTCGTTTGAAACTGTTGTATGGTCCCATCTTGATGGTTTCGTATTGGGTTTCTGGTTTTAGTCCTTGTTCGAATATAGCCATTTTCTGCTCGTCGTCGTGGATTCCTAGTTCTTGATAGATCTGCTGTAGTTGCGCTACGTACTGCGCTGCGTCCCTGGTTTGTCTGAGTCCCTGTAGTTTGCGTTATAGGGTCCTCTTTCTGTCGGTGTCTCCGAAGAATTGTCTGAGTACTTGTTTGAATCGTGCGTAGCTGTTGAGTATATCCACGTATAGCATGGGTTATCCTTTAGTGTTAGTCCAGTCCTCAAGATATGGTTTGAACCATGTTGCCGCTGCTTCTCGCATATAGGATCCTGTGAAGATAACTTTTTCTGTATTAGTGACTCCTGGTTTAGTTGCCAGATAGATGTCGCATTCCCCTAGGAAGTGTTCCAGTTTGGCGCAGTCTCCTTTATAAGTATTAGGTTTGTGGATCTTAATAGTAGTTCTCTTATCTCTGGTTCTGACTCTGAGTACATCGATGGCGTCTTTGTGACTTTTAACTTGTTCTAAAGTCTGTTTAACGATGTCCTTGCATTCATTAAGTAGTCTTTGTTATTCTTCTACTTGTTTGTTGGTTTCATCCAGCTGCTCATCGTTGGGTTACTCTTCGACTCTTTTTTCCAACTCGATGATTTTCTGTCGCATTTGCCCTAACAAGGCGTTGGTGTTGGTGGTTGGTCCACTTGCTGATGACATATTGGCTCGTCTTGCTTTGGTATATTCCTGTAGTTAGTATGCTCTCAGGGGTAGGGTGATACATACCTAGTTTTGTCCTTCTTGATATATAATCGTAAGTCACTCGGGTCGGAGTGTCTATGACAGTATGGTGGCTCTAGTAAGTTGGAATTACTTTTGCCTCTTTGTAACCGTGAAGTTGGGGCTCTATCAAGTCGAAATTGATTATGCCTCTTCGTAACCGTGAAGTCGGGGCGATCAATGTCACAAGCTGACGGCGCTCCTCAATTACCTAAAGGTGATTAGAGGTTCACACCTGCCATAAGACAGAAGGTACAAAGGTCTTAGGGAAAGCTTGGGTTAGAAGTGAGTCATTGTAGAAGACGGCTCGATACTAGGGCGAGATAGAATACTATAGTGAGACTATCCCTCAGTTCCAAGTGTGGCTTCAGTTAGTGCCTTGGTCGGATAAAGGCTGAAGGTCCTTGTGAGTAGTGAAGATAAAGTTAACCTGCGTCAATGGGCAAAGGGGTATTCGGTGAATATAGTATAAGATAACTGGAATGGTGCTTTATATTGAGCAGTATGGTAAAACTATAGCTGGTTTGATCGCGAGTATAAGACTCTTGATCCTGAGGAAATGAGCGTCTTTATATATATGGTATATATCTAGTGATAGATACGATAGTTCTCCGCCAAGGGGTTCCTATCACTCCTATCGGTTATTGTGATAGTATCGATAGGAAGCTGCCAAGCCCGTCCTATCGGTCCTATCGCCATTGGTCACGTGACTAGTGCCCTCAAGGTCTGGCCTGTGATCCTCCCGTCCAATGAGTGTATATCCTGGGGCTGCGCCGCAGGTGGTCTGTAACATAAACTAGCTATAGTTTTACTATACTATTTAATATAAAATACTATTCTAGTTATTTTATATTATATTTACTAAATATCTTTTTATCTATTAATATAGGTTAACTTTATTTTTACTATTTATAAGGAACTTTAATCTTTATTTAATTAAGGTACTAACTAAAGCTATATTTAGAACTAAAGAATAGTCTTACTATAGTATTCTATTTTACTTTAGTACTAAACTATCTTTTATAATAATTTATTTTTAATTTAAACTTTCTTTAGGACCTTTATACCTTCCATTATATAGTAAATATAAACTTTTAATCACTTTTAGATAATCAAGAAGCGTGTCACAAGCTGACGGCGCTCCTTGATTACCTAAAGGTGATCAGAGGTTCACACCTGCCGTAAGACAGAAGGTACGAAGGTCTTAAGGAAAGCTTAGGTTGGAAGTGAGTCGTTGTAGGAGACGGCTTGGTACCAAGGTGAGATAGAATACTATAGCAAGACTATCCCTCAGTTCCAAGTGTGGCTTCAGTCAGTGCCTGGGTTAGATAAAGGCTAAAGGTCCTTGTGAGCAGTAAAGACAAAGTTGACCTACGTCAATGGGCAAAGGGGTATTCAGTGAATATAGTATAAGACAACTGGAATGGTGCTTTGTATTGAGCAGTATAGTAAAACTGTAGCTGGTTTGATCGCGAGTATAAGACTCTTGATCCTGAGGTAATGAGCGTCTTTATATACAAGTCCTTGTATATCCTATTCTCCCGAGTCGCTTGGTCGCGCCGTCGACTCCGTCGACCTGGCGACTTATACTGGCTCTCCCTGCTCTCTCAGTCGCTCTAGTGAGTCGGGCGACTGGGCGAGTCTCTCCCTGCTCTCTCAGTCGCTCTAGTGAGTCGGGCGACTGGGCGAGTGGGACGTGGTTATTCCGTTCCGTCTTGTCCGTCCAATGAGCGTATACTCTGGGGCTGCGCCGCAGGTGGTCTGTAACAAAGCGCCGTCAGCTTATGACAATTAAATAGTATTATAATACTATAAAATACTAAAAATATTAATATATAAATAATAAGTATTAAATAAAAGCTAAAAACTTACTAATTATATTATATAATAGATAGTATAATATTAAATAGACTATTTAAAGAGTATAAAAACTATATAAGATATTATAAACTATTTATAATATAGCTTCAAAATATATACTTATTAAATAGAAGAATTATAAACTAGACCTTAAAGACACTAGTTATATAACTAATAGTAATAGAATTAATAAAATAGACTTAGTAGCTTTTTATTAATACTATTATAATAATTAATAAAAGTTATAGAAACCTCTTAATAGAGAACTATTATATTTATTATTAAATATATATTATATATATAAAGATACTTATTATTTTAAAATTAAAAGTCTTATATTTATAATTAAACTAGCTATAGTTTTACTATACTATTTAATATAAAGTATTATTCTAATTATTTTATATTATATTTATTTAATACCTCTTTATCTATTAATATAAATTAACTTTATTTTTATTATTTATAAAGATATTTAATCTTTATTTAATTAAAGTATTAACTAAAGCTATATTTAAAACTAAAAGATAGCCTTACTATAGTATTTTATTTTACTCTAATACTAAACTATCTTTTATAATAACTTATATTTAATTTAAGCTTTCTTTAAGATCTTTATATCTTCTATTTTATAGTAAATATAAACTTTTAATTACTTTTAAATAATTAAAAAATGCTATTAGTTTATAATATTAATTACTTTAACTTTATAGTTATAAAGAGGTAAAAATAATTTTATTTTATTAAAGCTTTAATAACTATATATAATTTAAATAAATATTTAAATAATTTTTTAAAGATATTAATAGAAAAAGAATCTTATAATATAAATTATAAAAACTTAAATAAATTAGAGATATAGTATAATATATAGTATAACTCTATAAATCTTTCCAACGGTGAAGAGAGGGCCGAATTTGGCCTTTTTTGCGGCCGCTTTTGGCCTTCCATTCACTGTACCGGCCACGCGCCACGCACCAACACGTGATTAATTCCCCTGCAGGTACGCTATGTCGACGTCCCACATCTCTCTCTCTTCTGGTCCCGTTCCGTTCACAGTCAGTCACCCATCTTCCAAGACCGGGCGGCTGCGACATGATTCTCTCAACCGCTTCGCCCATTCTGCGACAGAAGGCCAGAAATGGCCTTCCATTTTCCAGCTATAAAGCGATGGCTACCGTCCGCCCCTGGCGGGCTGTCTGCTCCCAGCAGGCCCCTTCCACCCCAAGCTTCCATCTCACCCATCTGCCCCAGTCTACCGTTCCCCTTTCTTTTCTGGTTGCCGGCTCCCTTTCTGTCCAGTTTGCTATTCCAAGTTCCTCTTGATACCCGTCCTTCCCCGCCAGGTTGAACATGGCACGCCACACAGCAGTCGCTACCAACACCAGCCACGAAGCCGCTGTGGTTCTAAGCGACTGCTCGTCCTCCGACGCCAGCGGAGAGACTAGTATAACTGTCCCAGATGAAGATGAGGATGAAGACGGTGATGCCTATATTGATGCTGGTGACGGGGAAGATGACGCAGGGGAGCAGCAAGCCGCCGACGACCTAGCGGAGTTGCTGGCGGACAATAATCACTCACGGGAGTTCTACCTTAAGCAACTAAACACCCTTGACGGGAACTCATTTCAGTGCGAAGAGTACGCGCCCAAGTCGCTGGAGCTGCTCGACCGGGTCGAGCGAGAGTGGTTGAAGTAAGTCTGCCCCGATCCTAACAGGATCTTGCTCCCGGTCTCACCACCATACAGTTTCTGCGCCTACTTGAAGAAAGACGTGAAGGAGATGTATCTGAAAGTAGACGTGGTGAAAATATATACCTTCTTCCACTGGTCCTTGAACCAACGCCGCGGCAAAGATGGGAGGCGACGGCAGGGGCTGCAGTACAAGAGCTCCCTGGAGACCTACTGGAAGGTCTTTCGACTAGTCTATGAGAGGGAGAAGCAAGAAAAGATAGACAAAGAGACATCAAGGGGTGTGGTGAAGAAAGTACCATGCTCCACCCTATCTCCCTTCCCCCTCCTAGAATCCGCGGGCAGCCAAGCGGCGACATTTCATGCTAACATAACTTGTGGTCTAAGATAATACCAGCGCTGGTAAAGCTATTTAAACTCTCAACGAAAGGCCGCCCGAAGTCGGTCGTCTACCTTGATGACCTTACCAAGATTGTCGAGACGACGGTCACGACGACCGAGAAGAAGTTCGGCCATGGGCGGCTACGTATCTGCCTCTGTCTATACTTCCAGCTCGCCGGCTTCACCGCCAACCGCCCGGGCGCGCTGCTGAAGGTACGCTACCAGGACATCCAAGTCACCCTCCTGCGCGACCCTGACGGCGGGCCCAACAACATCTTGATCGAATTTACCCCGGAATTTTCCAAAACATTTCTTGGAGACAAAGATGCGTATGTGAACCGACCCTTGCGGTGGCCGATGACTATCCAGCTAACTCACTCCCCGATCAGCGTTACCTTTGTGATCCCAGAGATTATATTCGACCCGTCTCTGATCCTCAGCCCTCACGTCATGCTCCTTGGCCTCCTGTTCGCCGATGGTGCATTTGGCCGCCTGGAGGGCGAGGAGGTCCTTACCTCGGCGAAACAACTTCTCGATCTCAGCATCCCCGAGGGCACCAACGAGCTTCGCCTTCCTCTGAAGCCGGAACTAGACGATATTCCGGTGTTCCGAAAGTTGGAGAAAACGGCAGACGGAGTCAAGGTATCCGACACCGAGGCCCTGACCTACCAGACACTCTGGAGGTCGATCAGGATAATTGGGGAATTATCAACATTTATTCAGATCCTTCGGGCTTACAGCTTGAGGTATGGCGCAGGAAAGGCGCTGGATAACAGTGGTAAGTCCCGCACCGTAGATATATCCCTCCAATCACCCATCACTCATCGTACATCTTCATCACGCAGGCCAAATCACCGAGGCGGTTCGGAGCCTGATCTTCCAACACTCCGACACGCGAACGTTCCTCGAGTTCTACCTCCATAAGAAGGTAGATAAGGACCTTGCCGCCATCGTCCGGGGCATCAAACCACAGGACAATATCATGCGTGCCGCATGCAGAATGCTTCGCTCCGTCCACCCGCGTCGGCCAAGATGCCTGACCACCGCCCAGGCGTCTTCGGTCAACAAGCTCCCGGACATCGAGGACCTGATAAAACGTCGCAATAAGCTCAGTCAGAGCATGGGACGCCCCATCGTGCAGCACAAGGGGACCCACAAGTATACGCTCCACCAGAGGCTCAACACTGAGCTAGCGACCGCGCGAAGCAGGGCGAAGGCCGAGCTCCTACGAAATATACAGAACAAGTTCGACTACGAGGAGCCCCTGCGTGAGATCCAGCGGCAGCTCTCGGGGGTCAAGGTCTCCGAGGCGGTCAACGAGTCCCTTGGCAGCAACGAGGACATGCCGCCGCAGCAGCAGCGACTGGTCTCAGCCCTCCTCTCCCTTCCAGGTAAGAACCTGCGGGAAGAGATGCTCCGGCGCACAGAGGCGATAGATGCGGTGGCAGAATACTGCCTCTTCGAGGAGGGGGATACATGCAAGCTGCCACGCGACCAGCGGCGAGTCGCAAAGGCGTCAACCGACGCTACGGTCGAGGTAAAGGCCGAGGTACGTGCTCCTCCACCCCCAAGCCAGAGGGATATCGCGTTGAAGGCCGTGATGGAGGACCATCGGCCCTTGTACTGCTTCTGGTGCCTAAAAGGCTACTCGGTTCCCGGGGGAGTGACAAAGCACCTCCGGCGGAGGCACCTTCGACATATCAAGCCCGGGGACCGCATCAGATGCCCGACCTGTTGTGTAGACCTGGAAGACATGATACAACTTAAGAATCATGCCCTGATAGTCCACAAAACGCTCCCTTGAATCTGGCATCCGCTGTGGACACCCCGCAGCGACGGACCCAGGCGCCTCTATAGCGTAGGCAGTTAGAGCTGGCCTCTACTGAAAACTTATCGTAAACCGTCTGATGCCTACTACCCGGGCTATTAGATATTCTCTGATTTCTCTACTTTCGTTTATGTATGATAATGCCATAGAACTCAATAGAAACTATTTATTACATAACCTACATTCCTACTACACACGCGAGTATGTAAGCTTTCTCTCAGAACGTCTGCCAACTCGCCGATTTATCACATGCCAGGCGCTAAAAGCCATGGGGGCTACAGGAAACTACCATCTTATTTTCACTTGAATACCTTGCGCACGTTTAACATATTAAGGCTGATCAGCTCTCTCTAAAAGCACACACCATTCTCGCAAAAGTTATGTCCGTTAACATAGCTCAAGGCCAAGATCCTGTTCCTCGCTGCAGATGCTGTGGCGGCCTAGGGACATTTAGAGTAACCCGAAGTTCAAACCGTATAGGAAATCCCAGTCGTCCTTTCTACAAATGCGAGCCTTGTGACAAATTTCTCCGCTTCGATGACGAGCGTGTTAACCATCCGGTTAACCCTCGATGCCGCTGCGATGTACCCCGAAAGATGCAGGTGGCAGGATCAGAACAAAGGGTACCCAAGGGCCTTCACTACGTCTGTGCACCGGCCCAAAAAGATAGTTTAGAACTACTAATGGCAAGTTTGGCGGTTAGCCAGCTTTTGTCGGTTGATGAGGAGGTGCAGATTCTTCAGAAGTTCCCCCACGAATGTACCCGGAATCGCCAAGTTATGTGGAGCGGTGTTCCGTACGACTGCGCTCAACGATGGGCCCATGAGCACGGGATGCAGACATTAAGTATAGCTATGGGCTCACTAATGGACAAGAATCACCCCTCATGTCTCAAATCAAAAATGTCGTCGAGCAGATGGAGCAGGTATATGAAAGGCGCCTCTGCTATTTTTGCCTACTATATCTCTCAAGGTGCCACAGTCATGGTTATAACACCACCTCCTCCACACAAGTTTAATCCTTCGGGAAGGACAAACTACCAGGCCATCGAAGAGCCAATCCTGAAAGGAGCATTTGGAGGCAGGGCCGTATCGCGGATAGAGATGGTGCACCCAACGGTCAAGGGTGCAGAGAATTTCTCATACCAGGCCTGGCCTATGGATGAAACAGGCATCTGGATTGCAAGTTTTGGGGCCTTGCCCGTGAAAGAACCACGTTGGCGAAAAGCGCAAAGCGTTATACCTCTACGAGTAATCATTGGGGGAAACGGGGTAACCGCAGGCCAGCCTACCCTACAGAGCACAGGCGTGGCAGACTTAGGGCTTGATATAAGAAAGGTAGTAGGAGTGCATTTCCTAAAAGGTCACAGATAGGAGGCTAATGGCTGGAGAAGGATATTACTCGCAGAGAGATCCCTAGTCTAAAGAGTAAGGAACGGACCAAGTCACAGAAACGAAATAAAACCAGGACGGTTACCAACACCAGGCCCGCGACCGAAGTCAGGGGGGAAACGGAAGCAAAACAGCAGAGGAAGAGGAAAAAGAGAAAAATGAGGAAAAGGCAAATAGGAGAATAAGGAAAATGAAGAAGAAAGAAAAAAAAATATGCAAGCAGCAAAGTAAGAAATAGAAGACGGGCAGAAGGGCTGTGTCATTCACGACAACTACAGTATGTACTGCATCCTCCGTCTCGCTTGGCTGTCGAAGTGACGATGAATTTCAAGTATCAGAAGAGGATCCGAAATAGTGGAAGTTGTCTGAGATACTGTCAGGAACATGAGGTAGAAAGAAAGGTCGGGAGTGAGCATAAGGTTGATCAATTAGTAAAGAATTGAGCTATGTCGACGTTATCCCGCACGTATAGTCTAATATCGGCCTTATTATACGATTTCATTTCACTGACAGTATACTACTATAACCCGTTAAAGCCTTAGGTGTTGAACCCAAGCAGCGAGCCCTCGGTTTAGTGGGGACACACCGATTTCACATGTCGTTATTCCTATAACAATATTCCCAAGCTTAACCTTCCCTCTCCTCCCAGAAATCTGCACCTTGCTTACTAAGGTCTAACTTCATATCTCGCGGCCAGAAGTCTTTAGACAATATTTCGTATACAGCTTTTGCGTATACATCAGTATAAGATATTTTCCAGTCCTCAATGAAGGCCTCCGCTTAAGCACGTGTTCTAAAACGTTTGTAGCAAGCTCCAGAGACCATTTTTACCTTTGGCTCTGTCTTGCCACTTCAAGATGTTAGCAACCTGCTGTGGCAATCATACAGAAGATACATACCACCAGTAAGGGTAGATTCCAGGCATCCTGCCATTGGCAATAGCATAGAAGGCTTCCTGTCCTGGCAGCGGAGTAGTTTCTCCCGCCCCTTCCTTTATAACCTCCTTGTATTCCGTTACTCCCTTTCCTTTCATATATGCACGTGCTCCTTCGAGCGTAGAAAAGGCCTTTGCAGTGATTTCACATCCAGTCATGCGCGGATGTGCATCTCCCCTGTCAAAACGGAATTAGTCCCTTGCCACCAAGAATTCTTAAAGAGACGTACAGTACCAAGACGAGAATATCGTAGGTTCGTCGACACGTCCGCGAACGATAGCATAATATTCGTTTTTGCGGCGCCGTGTTGCCATTCTAGTAGAGAAATAGGTCCGATACAATCGTGTCTGAGATATAAGTAGAAGCTGCGAGATGTGCTTAGTTGAAATTAAACATCTCGAGATATTAAGAACGTAGAGGAAATAAATAAGTTTTAACTAGCATGGCACAGCTTTATAGAGAATCATATCCTTGGATGTTATGACAAATAATGGACGTGGCGCCATATAATTCGCCTGGTCAACAATACCCCGCGACGCAAGTGTTACAGACCATCTGCGGCGTAGCCTAGACAAATACGCTCTAGCTACTATAATCACGTGATGTGATACATATGAGGTCCCAAACGCCAAGAAGACGACAGGTCCACGATGGGGCCTTGACACTACAGCCCATGAAAGGGAGGCCTGCGGAGCATATATATATACTCTTATACTCGCGATCAAACCAGTGACAGTTTTACTATAATACTCAATACAAAGGCACACTATGATGGCCGCGTCCGCAGTCGCTAGACCGCCTAGTTGCATGACGAAAAGAGGAAACAGGACTGACTCCTGTAACGCAGGCCGATTTTGCAACTTTTCACCAATCTACCTCGGCGCGCCAGTCCTTGGCCCAAACGGGACCCGGGAACAGGGGCTGATGACCCAAGTGGCCCAATACCTGTCATAGAAACGAGTCAGCTTCCCTAGGGCGTCTGTGGGCATAGGGCCAGGGTCTAAAGCCCGGACCAGTCTCCGGCACAGGGACCGAGGCGGGGTGACTGGGGCCCCCTTGTGACCTTGATCCACGGGCAGGAGACTGGAGTCGTTGGGCTATAGCGGTCCATGGTCCGTGGCCCTCGGACCTGCCAGGCTCGAAGAACGCGAACTCTTGGCCACGCTGGTCCGCAGACGGGGCCAGCTATGGGTCCGGTTGCCGTAGCCCCATAGAGACCTAGGAATGCCACTTGGGACGATATTTTTTTATAGCTCATCCTCTTCCTCCGCGAGCTGATTTTCGAGTCTTGGGTCCTCAAATGCCCCAGATTTCCGCCGTTTTCGAATGTCCAACACCTGAGACGCAGACGCCACCATGTTCTCATCGACGTTCAACTCCCCACCAAATACCATAAAGACGGTGTTCGTGCCACAGACTGCACAAGATAATCGCGGAGAGAGTCGTCGCGCACGCCCGTATGACGATAAATCTCGTTCCCAATTTTCTCCAATGGACTCTCTCCGTCTCTTCCAGTAAAGTAGCCGTTAGGGAGTGTCGTTTTAATCCTGTAAGAGGAGCATTCAAACGTCACAACGGAGTCGGGGCCACCACCCTCAAAAACAGCTAAGACGCGATACTCATCTCCAATTCCACGATCCACTAGATATTCATCACGATGATTCCTTGGCTTTCGATTGTCAGCATTCGAATCAGAGTATCCCATCTTAGACGCGAGCTCCTCCGCGTCATAAACGCCTCCTAACTCCTTCGCCCAGACCACAATAAGAACGAGTTCCTGTTTCCCTTCTGCTTCTAGACGTTTTCGCCACTGTAACGCTCGGCTCCAGCTGCTAAAAAAGGACAAAAATCGCGTCGGAGTTTTGCGATAAGATAAATGAGTGTCGACTTCCAGGAATGTTGGCCAACTAGTGCCATCTTGGTTCCGTGCGCACATGGAGTGCTTGTTGAAACTGGAATTATCCTCATGCTCAACGCGAAAGAGAAGCCATGGCACATGACCATGAGGTATTGGCAGAGGGTGAGCGTGAGGGTGAGGCAACATTCTGTTATCTTTAGCTAACCAACTTCTTCGATATTTATGCGTTTCGCTGCTCTTGTGCTTTAATGAAGGCTGAGTGAAAGGGGGCTGGAATGAAAGCGATCATGTGTTAGTTACATCACATGACTACAAACCTATTCTACGCCAAGGGATCTATTTACGTCAAGGCAGAGGGGAGTCCTGTAGACCCCTGCAACCCTCAACCCAGGCTATATTACTACATGTTCTTACGGTTACAGAATAATATTCGCAGCCACAGTTCCGTTCCGGTAAGAAAGGCTGCTGTAGATAATCTACTCAAAACGCGTACAATTTATTTATCCAAGTAGGAATTTAAATCAACGTGAGAATTTCAAGACCAAGGAAACAAGGTCGGTATAAACATAATAAACCGATGAGCTTCTTCAGGTTACCCCGAGACGGTGTAAATATGGACCCCGTGCGGATGGTTCTCAGCCCTAGCATTGCATGTGCATCTACACCCACGAGTCCACAGTGGTGCAGAGAAGAACCACGTGGTGTCCACTACCTGGAGGTCGCTAGGATACTGTAGAGCTTCGTTAGGGTCCAAAATGACACTCAGAGAAGGGGGCGCCTTACATCTGCCGGTTTCAAATTGATGTTAGCTCGACCCACGGTAATCTCACAGGAGCCTTCGAAGTCATCTCCTGGATAGAGACAAAGGCCGAAGAGGTCCGATGCGTCGTGATGTTGAAGGAGCTTATCGAACTCTTCCATAAAACTGAGCTCTGCCGGGCCGATTGCCGCCGCCTTATGGTTCTGAGAATAACGATACTCGGTAGGCCGGAATGTGCCGTCGGCGGCCTTTGACCAGATGGACGCATAGGGTTCCTCTATCCCCTGGGTGGGAGCCGCAGGCCAAGGAAGAGAGGTTCCGTTGTAGTCGACAAGCCTCTCATCGGCATTCAAGTCAAAATGGCGATGGAGGATAGTCAGGCCAAGTCTCTTTTCCATTCCACCATCAACAAAAAAGGGCCGAAAAACACCCTTTACAAGCTCATCACCGTTGATAGCTCTGAACTTTGCACGTGCGGCCTCGAGGGTGGGAAGGGCTTGAAAGTGCCCAGGCATATAGTCTCCAACTAACATTTTGGCTGGCTTGTGGTAAGAAAGCAGGTATGCGAATTTAAACCCGGAGAGTGAGTCCATATATATAGCTTGATTCTGGACGGCATCTACCATTGCGCCGCCTTCAGCTTGCACCGCTTCTTGCATATGGCACCGCTCCTTGCATACGGCACCGCTACCCACATATGCTACGGCTCTTTATATCCGAAGACTGGATGCATTATTTGGCGTACACACAAAGTAAACTTATTGAGTAGACCGAGATCAGCATGGCTGAATCCAGCCGAAGTATTCTCAACACTCCAGACGTTCCATCAAGGCGGTGGCATGGAGCCCACTCTTTCGGCCGCTCGGCCTTGCAAAAAATTCAGACACTTCCCACTTCAAGTCTACCGGGGTATCGGAAAATAACGAAGGTCTGTCTGCAAACCATTTTTGCCGACCTTTACTGACAATCGCTTCTAGAACAAGCCTTCTGTAATCGACGTCTGGCGCCGAATATAGTCTCAGTAGCAGGGGCACGATAACTGAAGAGTTCGGCAATTCCTGCTGCAATGCCTTCAGAAAGTTCGCTCGGTCTTTCTGTAACATTAAATATAGCTCAAGGCCAGGAGAATGTTCTACTGCTAGGAATCTAGGGAGACTAGCAGCAAGCTGAAAAGGTTGATAACTAGCGAAGCCCCAGTCGATAATCCTATAAAAGATAGATGTCAGCAGCGCTTTATTCAACAACGCATTGTGAATCTCACCCTTTGATGTTGTACTCCGGGTCCACAATAATATTTCCAGCTGAAAGGTCGCCATGGTCGATGAACGACGGAGCATTATCTAGTTCCGGGTGTAGGACCTCTGGGAGTATGCGTTTCAAAAGGAGGCAATGGTTGACTTCGAGTTCGGGAAGGCGGCCTTGACATATTCGAATGATTTTCTGGTCGATCTTATTCGTGAAGTACTCCAATGCCGAGTCACCTAAGTAAGTCAGTAATTACCTCGCCTTGCTGGTAAATAAGATTCGCTAACCATCTCTGCGTGTACATGATATGAGAGATACCATAATCTTCGCAATCTGGTCGAGAACCCTCTCGCGATCCACTCGTTTCTTCGGGGTTATCGCTGTCCAACTTAAAGGCTCGCCTGGGATCCAGGTTAAAACGAGAAATGGAAACCCAACAGCGTTGTCAAATGTCATGTCATAGCCTATTAATTTCGGTGACCATGGGAATTGGCAATCCTCTAGATGTTTGAGGGTTTCGATTTCTGTCATAAGAACGGAGACGATTTCCTCCTTAGAATAGGAGCTTAGGTGTATTGGTATTCGAACGGCCCAGTCGACATTGTCGGAGAATCCGAGCCTGTAGATTTGACAGTGGCCGCCGGATAGTGGTTGCGTAAGAGTATTGAACTTGAACCGAGCAAGCTCATCGTCATTTCGAAACCTTTGGATGGCAATAGGGATATTCCCAGGGCAGAAGCTTTTATTTATAGCCATTTCTCGGTAAGGGAAGGAAGTGAGCGTACAAACTAGACAAGCTATGGATTCACGGAGAATCAAAGATATCCGAGACCGTGGTGTTCGTACCGAGGGGGCTCAGCTGCTTGTTGCTAGGCTATTCTGTTGTCTCGATTGTCTGGTAGAGAGTTCTGCTGGCGTGGTTGACATGAACTAAGTGGGTCACATGATGCAATAAACTGGCTAGCCAGGCAGACGCCCATTAGTTCAACATCTCACCAACGCGTGATGGCTTTTTCGTGTGAGAAGTGTGGCAAACTATTCACGAAGAGATCAAGCCTTAAGAGACACGGAGACACTCGTGAGTATTGACAGCATCGATAGCGAATTACTTCTGATTTGGCTCGCGTGTCAGATAGGCCCAAACGATTAGAATGCCCTCTTTGTTGGCAGTTATTTAAACAGCCAAGACTGGTCCGGCAACACCTGAAAAGAGCGCACAAGCAAGATGGCCTATTAGGCAGCAATGGAATTGCCACACGCCCATTAGCTACCGATAATAGTAAAGTAAATCGCTGTGACGATGGGCAAATGCCGTGCCTTGACGGCGGTACGATTCCGGAAATCGAGTTACCCGCCAGGGAGGAGGCTGCAACGGGTACGAGATTAAATTACTGAGAAGTTTCTGCTACATATAGCTAACGTCTACATAGACTTAGCTGCTCAACTTCGTCACTCCGCATTGTTGGAACCTGCATACGGGCAATCCCCGGGCCAAACACCAGGGTATCACTTATGTCCTAGCCTGCGGAATGGGGGCCCAGATGGTACGGATCAGTGCCAGTCAACCTTTCTTCCAGAGTTTTCTATCAATCAAGATCAATGGAGTGGTTCTGCATTCCTAGAGGACATGGATCAACAGAATTACCCGACTTACCCCCTAGACCTTGATCAGTGGGCCGAGACCATGCATTTAGAACACACTTGTGACAGCAACCAGGCAGAACACCCAGGACTCTCTAGTGATCGCCATGGCGAAATGATCTTTGAGGATATTCACCAACCCAGGCCTGCAGCAGCCTAGTAAACCTAATATGGTAACCCAGATAACATTTAATCGGAGTTCCGGGTCGCATAATAATAGATCATTTCGTTACAGAAAGGCCAGTAGTTCGTAGGAGAGTGGTTTTCATTAAAAGGAAAGTCATGTTTGGGAAGGTTTGGCTTTTGCCCGCGCGAGAACAGTCACTACTGTTGAGACTTGGCGCGTGTAGGGAGAGACAACTATAGACAGACAGTAGGGAGGACACATTATTCTATAAAAGTGTCAGCTAAGACGATATGATATTGATTCAATCAAAACTAATGAAGGTAAGTTACCTCCGCGGAAAACTTACATTGATCTCTCCTTTACCAATATCGCATCGCCGCCTGGAACCACCAGCGCGACATCATGTAAAGCAACGTGAGCTACAAGTCTTTCCTGCCCTTCGGAGTCCCATCGAATGGAACAAGTCCGACTGACCTGATGGATTTGCAGGCTGGAAAGAATCTCGTAGTCACACTTAAAATACTGTTCAAGGAGGCGGCGAAACCTCTGAAAAGTTAGTAGGTGAACCCTGAAAATCAAGGAGAATCAAGCATACCGACTCTTTCAATAGGATGCTGGGTATTGATGGTAGACTTGATATAGCCGCTTGGGCTTGGTTGGGTTTATTCGCAATATATTGAAGGAGGTCACCGTTTCCAAAAGGATTGTCATCTTCCATTATGATAAGGTTGTTAGGCATGAACTCAACCCCGGAGATTAAGCCAGGCTCTAGTTTAATAACTCTCATTGTGGAAAATTATCTTGTAGAAAGAAAAGATCAAAGGCGTCATAATCCGATGATGCACGTTCATAAGTCATTGATTATGTAAATCTTCAGGGTGCCTTATCAGACACGCCATTGGTTGGTACGATTTTGGCGTCTTCGGTGTACCAGCCTCATATTACGTAACTAGCGGTGCTAAACGGGTATGTAAAGTGGCAAACTCCCGTTCGACTTTCCCTCTTCTAGCTCATTCAAAATAGCAGCTCTAGCATACGTATGTGCTTTTGTCCACCATTAATTCTATCAAGCAACCCCCACGAATCCTTTCCATACGCACTTTACCATGCAGAATTTAAATACACCACCGTTCGATGGCAGTTTTAGAAAGACGCCAGGCTATGCCACACTCTTTTGCGGCAAAGACCTGTCGCTCCCGAGCAGGTTTTCGTCGAGTGCCAATATCACATCATGCAGTCGATATTACTCTTACGTGACCTGATTTCCATCGTTGAGGAAGACCATTTTACCAGAGATACCACTTGGCGACTCTTTGGAGATTCCTGGCTAGTGGCTAGGGAGATGTCCTGGGAGGGGCCGCTTATTCCTATTGTGCAGCGCCTCGTGGGTACCAGTACTCCTGAAAGTACTAGGCTTTTTAAACACTGGTACTTTCCAGAGTACTAATATCTTGAAGAGTACCAGAGCTTGCTGAGGAGACCGGGAAGCTTGGACATCCTGAGATCTAAAAGGGTACTGGGATTCGGAGTACCAGGATCATCTATAGTTCCGGTACCTGACGTACTGGGCCCCCTTGAAGTATTAGTCATTGGGCGTACCAGAATCACATAGAGGTCTAGTACTTTCCAAGGTGCTAGCATCTCTAGAAGCCCCCGTATGCATAAGGGTGCTGGTATCTCGGCCCGGAATTACTAATACTTATAAAGGTACCAGCACCCCAAGGGACTAGGATGCAAGGAAGTACCAAGATCTACATTTTGAAGTACCAGGATAGCTAGACATACTAGGACTTGGAGTTCTGGTCCCGAAAAGGATATTCGAATATAGAGCGATACTAGCATCTTTATAGATACTAATATCTCTTCACATACGGATACTCTCCGGGCCCCGTGATAGGCCTTATTATTCATTTATTCATAGACTGTCCCAGCCGCCCTCAGGCAGCTATGCAGCGCGCGAGAGGTCTACATGCTCTTCTAGATAATGGGAATGCTATTATATGAGATATAATTTCGCCAAGATAGCGAAATCTACATAGCTACTTTTATTGCGGTACTTGGATGTAATCATTCTCCAGAGGATCTGATATAACCAGGAAGATCCGTTATGTGGATGTTCCTGGGAGCGGGTAAACGGCTCCCAGTATCGGTTTGGCTCCCACGAGCCGCTGGGTCGTTCCTAGAAATTGGGCAGATGTTCCCGCGAGCCTGCTGCGCGTGCCTGGGACCGCTTCTGTTCCTGGCAACTCAAGACACGTAGGGGCATGACTCACTACCACGAAAAATGCAATCCAAAAATGACACAATAATACAAAAAAGGCGCGCGATCCGAAAATGGTGTAATTAAACTTTAGCTTAGAGTAGAGTTAGTTACAGAAGGGCTAGACATACCTAGCCAAGATCGGACCAAATTCATTCATTAACATTGTGTCATGGTTAAAGAACCCTTTCTACTGTGAGGACTTGTAAATCTCAAAAGCCGGAAAGCCTGAAAGCCAGAAATCCAAGGAGTAGAAAGTTGCCCTGGCGAATTTAGCACGCGCCGGGATGGGCGAATGGACAACTCACTTTTGTGGATAAAATAATGGTGGCTCCCTAGTTGACCCCTGTCTATCCTAAGCGCTCCAACGATGCTATTTTTAGCGGTCGGTAAAAGTGACGTCTGGCAGAAATGTATATATGTACATGTAGACAAATGGAGGCCACGCTTATTCTAAGGCCACGCTTCTGGAAGTAGCTATAGATTGGATGGTTCCTGGTGGCTAGATATGGCCTTCTATCTCCCACGCCTTAATCATGCCGGATACGCAAAACCCAGCCCCAGGGTGTGTCACCAAGCCTTGGACTAAGTATCAGAGCCTTATATAGAAGAAATATCGACGGAAGAAGACGATAATCGCCGGTCTAAAAGATTACCACCTTGACTGTCAAGCAGATATTTATCTAGTAATTAAAGATTTGGATGGAAAGACGTATGTCGTGTAGTTTACACACGGAGATATTATTAAGAGCCTGCTCTCCGAGGATGAAATAGTAAGTTTAGAGGAAGGTTTATTAATATACCTCGCTAACAAACAGTAGAAGAAATTCTATCCACCTCCTGTACGGATAACGTCCGGCAACTATAAACCACGACGGATAGGGCTTAAGTAGAGGAAGCAGCCGGGAAACACAGAAGGAAACAAGGAAGCTATTATGTAGCTAGGAAAATCACATATGTACATGAATACTATAGAGGTTTCATAAATATAGGGAACTAAATAAAGCTTTCGCCGTGGATATAGTCTGATTCTCCTAGAATTTCTATCGTCCACCTCGAATCCAATACTAGGCTCAACCGCTTCACCAACTCCGCGAAAGGCCATTTCCCAAGCATAATGCAATGGTTGGACCCACCGTTTGCGAGCCATTTCCAGTTCGCGAGCAAACCCCTCCCACCACAAGCTTCCCCCATCCCAACCTATCTCCTTCCCCCTACCCGTCCGATTACCCGTTCCCCTCTAGTTCTTCAGTTTACCATCTTAAGGCAGTACTCTATACCTACCCATCACCCCAGGTTTAACATGCCGCGCCACTGCAACTCTATAAATATCATCGCCGTCGGAGTCGCGTTACTTGCGAACCGACACCAACTCTTAGCATTTACTCGCTCTAGCATGCACTCGTTTGCTTACCGCCTCGCTTTCCTGCAATGATAGCCCATTCCAAAAGAGCCAACCATCAGTTTGCCATAACTCGCCCTATATTCAGGGTTGTTTGATTGGTAGGCCAGTAATACTCACGAACGCTGTTTACCTGCATTGCTGGATGGACAACTCACTCCTGCATTCCTCCGCGCATCTGGTTCTTCCATATCCCTGTCGCGAGTACTTGCCCGCACCCGTACATTAGTAGGTGCATCGCTCAGAAGTACAAATAACTGCACATTCCCATCTGCTTCCTGTATTCTGTACCTACATACAAGCGACGGCGAAGATGGCGAAGAAGAAAAAAGGTTGCTCTAGCAATAAATTCCAGATGGCTGAGGAGCCAGTGGCCGTCGAAAAGCCTCCAAAAATCAGCTACAAGCAGCCACAGTCATCGTAAGTTAGTCGCTAAACTACTGTCACTAACGGGATCAATATTGCTAACTTATTTCAGCCCATATCAAAGTCGGGTGATCCTATCTCAATAGGGCCTAGGTCCGAGAGCTTTAGCATTCAAGAGGATTATCTCCGGAGGCACTCACGATGGAGCAACGCTTTATTCGGTGGACATATCAGATTCCCAGACGTTGATGAGGATATTGGCCACACTATCGTCTGTTTCCTCTATACTGGCAAGTATGAAACGCTAAGAGTCGGATCTATCCAAGATGGCCCAAACATAGTGAGGGAGATGCGAAGGAGCGTTCAAGCGTATCATGCAGCCAGAATTTACGGGTTGACGGGCCTTGAAATGCTCGCCAAAATGTATATTGAGAAGTTTAGTAAGTCGGTGTCCGTCTTCGATTTACTACAAGCGGTGAAAAGTATGTTTTCGAAACTTCCTGAAGGCGAGGCCTGGCTCCCTAGCTATATCGACGCAAGGCTCGCAAGAGAATATGAACGGGATGAGAATATTTTCAAGGGGGAAGAGTTTTATGATCTTTTGGGAGAGCACAGAGATTTCGACAAGGCTATCCTTAGGATGGTTATTAATACATACTCCTCTCACTTATCATCCCTTCAATTCAACATTGAGCAGGAAAACGAAGCTGAAGCAGGTAAAGATTTTATAAATGCTTACCTAGACAAATGGATTCAATGCTAATGAATGTTTTTGCTCTAGAATACGCAGTTGCGGAGGAACCACTCCTTGTCGAAGAAGCCGTTGTTGAAGAGCCTCTCCTTGCTGAAGAACCCCGTGTCGAAGAACCCCCTGTCGAAGAAGTCGTTGCCGAAAAAAGTATACTCGTTGAAGAGGAAAAACCTGCAGAGGAATGTCCACCGCACGAGGAATTTGCCCCTGTCGAAGAAGAACCTGTGCCCGATGATAACTTTGGGTGGGGTCATATCTCAAGGAACTAAGAGTTCTTCCCACACTGCCAACCATCAGATCAGCTTTTCATTAGTTGTGAATCAAATATTTCTAGGGCACAGAGTTGACGCAAGGTCTTTTGTTTAAATTGAGTAGACTCGCCCACCCACTCACTTCAGAGATATAATCGGGGCCATGGCATATCCTTCTCAAGGGCGCCTTATTCATCATAGACCCTAAAAGGTCAACTGAATATTCTGGAGCCTTCCTAAAATAGTCATTTGATAGCAGGGAGCAGAATCCTCTAGCTCCTCTTAGTGTAGCCAAATTATCTGTCGCCATTTCTACAATCAGATCACGCAGGACACGATCGTGTTCTGGCGTTGAATCGTAGACACGCCTAGCCAAGATTGCCAAGATCAACTAAACGGGACATTTCGTGGGTGCTGGTCAAAGAATCCTCCTCCAAGTGAGAACTCCCAAAAAGCCGGGAAGCCAGAAAGCCAGGAAGCCTGAAAGCTAGAGAGCTAGAGAGCTATAGAGCCAGGAAGCCAGTAAGCGAGGAAGCGAAGGACTCGCCCGGGTGAAATTATCATAGTGCGGGCTACATGGGTGACTCACCAGTTTGTGAATAAATATATGATGGCTCCATATTTAATCCCTGTTCATTCTAAGCGCTCCAACAGCTATTTTTAGCGGGCGACAGACATTACGTCTGGCAGAAATGCATTTATGTACATGTAGACAAATAGAGGCCATGCTTATTTTAAGAGGCTCCTCTTCCACGTCCGGAAACTATGTATAAACCACGACGGAGAAGGCCTAAGCAGACGGAGAAGTTGGGAAAGAAAGTAGGAGACAAGGAAACTAATATGTATATAGAAAAATCACATACATGAGTATTATGAAGGTTTCATGAATATAGGCGTCTTAGATGACCAGGTAGCTCTAAAGGCCACCGGGAAAAACGACCACAGGGTCGAACGAACAGATGGATATGAAGGCCATCGGGTAAAGCGGCTATGGGGCCCCAGAGGCCACCAGGTAAAGCAACCACAGGGACGAATGACCAGGGGGTTCTGGAGACCACCGGGGAAGCGACCACAGGGTCGAGTGAACAGATTCTGAGGGCATGGCAAGGGAGCTAGGAGAAGGTATACATATACTAATATCTTTCTTTCAATTCAAGACCAAAAGCCCCCGAAGGGACGGTCCTGAAGGGGCGGATCTGAAGGGGTGGATCTGAAGGAGCAGGCACCACCCCCCATGTTATATGGGTTGGCTGGCGGCGGACGAAAGCTACCAACAATAAGTGAGTGCAGTTCGTTGGTGGTAGAAACATTAGTGGAGCAACGCGCGATTAACAAGAGGCGGCATCTTACGGAATAGAATAAGATTAATGCCTGAATATAATCTGAGTGATGGAATAAGATTAGTGCCTGAATAAGCTGGGCGGTTGAATAAGCTGGGCGGTTGAATAAGCTGGGCGGTTGAATAAGCTGGGCGGTTGAATAAGGTAGACTGGATAAGGTGGGAGGCTGAATAACGTAGGAGACTGAATAAGGTGGGAGGCTGAATAAGGTGGGAGGCTGAATAAGGTGGGAGGCTGAATAAGGTGGGAGACTGGATAAGGTGGGAGACTGGATAAGGTGGGTGACTGGATAAGGCAATCATGTAAATAAGGTAAGCGTGTGAATAAGGTGAAAATAGAGTGATAAGGTAGAACGAGTAAATGATAGAGTGAGTAAATGCTAGAACTAGTAATGCTGAGTGATTGAATATTATAGAGGGCCGGGCTATCGAGGACGCCTGACACAATCAGGGTGGGCTTGGATGTTCCTCTTGTCTTGGCGCATTGGCGCATTTCCAAGTACATTAACTAGTCTCGAAACCCCTCCCTCTTGGGGATAGAATTTGGAGAGTTGCTTCTTCGATTGCCACAGCTATGAACCATATGCGAATGGCATTTTGGAACAAAATACGGGTTGAGGGATCACTGTCGAATGAGTCGCTCCCATTCCTCCGCTTGGCGAGCGGTTGTCTAGGCTTAAAAAATACAAGCCTGACCATCTACGCGACCATTATCTGTTTGCCGTGGCCTCCTTAAAATATGAGTGGCCTCTATTTCGTAAGTATAGTTCCTCTTTCACCCGGGTGGCTGATACTTGTTCACCAAGTGAACGAGTAACTATACATAGCTTTTGGAATTCCCAACTTAATGTTCTGGTGTAGTAGGATGGTTACCTGTAATTCTAATCCAGGCCAATCTCTGTCAAACCCCAGTTGAAATTTTCCCAGTACCGACCACCGCTTCACCCCACGATCAAATCCTCTCAACACTTCTCCTTACCTGACCAAAGTCTTTCTTAACCAGCGCAAATGGCGTCCGTACTTGAGCCAGAAGTCGAGCAGTCTACAGCGGACTTGATCATTCGGCTCCAACTTGAAGATACCGATCTTTATTTTAAATCGTGGAAAGGGAAATCCCTAGACCTCACGGACGAAGAGCTAGCATTTCAGCTACAAAACGAAGAGTTTGAAAGCATGTCCCAATACCTTTCGGATAGACGGATGGCTACGAGCTTTGCAGCTGCGGTCCGGGCCGATGGCCGCATTCTGGCTGATAACCGACTGGAAGAAGAGAATACGGCCAAAGATCGAGATATCGCCCGCCACTGGACAGAGAACGGTTGCCCCGTTGCAGCGGAAGATCACCAATCAAACTCAGAGTCAGTAGGCCTGGACGATGAGACCTTGGCTAAACTACAGATCCTGTTCGTGTCCGGTGTAGAAGGCTACTACGACGTCGGAAGCGTGGAAATGCCCGGTGGTGAGATTGAACTAGCCGAGTCGTCTAGTCGAGCAGCACAACGAACTCGCCAGCCACAACCACCACCGTTGCGCCGTTGTATAGCATGCAGAGAAGAAGCAGAGTTTGTGAATGTGGTACGCGCACCTTGTGGTCATGAGTATTGTCGCTCCTGTCTTGAGGATCTCTTTAAAGCCTCGATGATAGATGAATCACTATTTCCTCCGCGCTGCTGCAACCAGACTATTGCTCTGAGTATTGCTCGCATATTTCTTAAGTCCGATTTTGTGCACTTATATGAAAAGAAAAAGATTGAGTTTGAAACTCCAAATAGAACATACTGCCACTCATCCAGGTGCTCGGCTTTTATTCACACATCTCTCATCGAGAATGATGTAGCCACATGCCCTGATTGTGGATTCACGACCTGTACAAGCTGCAAGGAACGAGCACATACCGGCGATTGCCCAAACGATACTACTATACAGCAGCTCCTAGTTACCGCGCAGGAGAACGGATGGCAACGTTGTCATTCTTGTTGGCGAGTGGTGGAACTGAACCATGGCTGTAATCACATGACGTTAGTGGCCACCACCCTCCTGCATCTGATATTGACTAATAAGGGAGGTAGTTGCCGGTGTGGTGCCCAGTTTTGTTACAACTGTGGTGAGCGCTGGAAAACCTGCTCCTGTGAACAATGGGATGAGCATCGTCTCCTTGAGCGTGCGTATCAGATAATCGATCGAGAAGTAGATTTACACGTCGCCACCGCACCTCCTTCAGAATTTGATGGGCTTCAGTCAGAAAATGATGAGCCTCAACCAGAAGCCTATCAATTGCAGTCAGATGGAGATACTCGAGCAGCGGTAGAACCCCCGATCTCCGCGCTAGAAACTGATATCACCCACGCGCAGACGCCAAGGGATACCTTGATTGCAAGGACAATTCAGGAGCTCCGAGAAAATCATGAGTGTAGCCATGAGAGTTGGGGATATGTACGAGGCCCACATGTATGTGAGGAATGCACTCATTATCTGGGCAAATATATCTTCGAATGTCGTCGATGCAGGCTCCAGGCCTGCAACCGATGTAGGAGAAATAGGCTGTGATCGCATTTTATTCCATGGCCACAATCAAATAATCGCCAACAATGTCGCCGGAGCAGCTTTTACAGCAATTTTTTCTCTCTTTTTTCGGGTAGAAGTGTCAAGTGTCAACGCGGAAGCGCAGATATCTCCAAGTAATACGTCCACGGTTTACTCACGATGGTTTCTAATCGCTGTTTCTGGCGTATGAGCCAGTATTATGATAAAGCTCATATCGCATATTGGCCCAGATATACCTTTGCGGTTGCTCTCACCGCCTCACATCCGCAACCTCTGAAGATCAGCTCGGAAATTTTGCAGGTGAAGACCCGAGCATGGTAAGGAAGCGTGGTAGCCTAAGGAAGAGAATAAAAGGGGCTCGAAAAGAGACGAAGGGATTCTGTGATGTTTCTAGGCTAGCGTTCGAAATGCCCTTCGATACGGTTCCATGAGCTTCTGCGATCACTTTTCCCCTGACGACATGCCTCGCTCGCTCTTTTTATCTTAGTTAAAGTATTGAGTTTCCGCAGTTCGTAATTTGAGTAGCTATTTAATTTTTCCTTCGAGCGTCGTGCACCCCATGCAGTATGGGCGTTCTGTCGATCACATTTCAGGTGAGACAACAGTATTTTATGCAGGGCCACGTCGCTTATGCAAGCCATACAGGACAAAGAAAAGTCAGAGTCCGACATGGTAGCAAGAAATCCGGAAGTCGCCGAGCTCTGTACGGTTGGCGTGACTGACAGACGAGTCATCTCATGTGTACGCGATTCGCTACGGTTTCTTGAGAAAATGGGGACAGTAGAGGCTGCCAAACTGCTAGACAGAGTAAAATCCGGCGAGCCAAGCCCCCCCTCGTTCGAATTTCACAGCCACACTGGTTCTGGGGCATTTGGCGACGAGTTGCCAGCACAAACGCCCATGACTACAGCTCCAGCTCACTGCGGTGTTGCCGATTCTTGGACTACAGAGAGAGCACAGGGACGGCATGGCCTGGGCAAGCATCTTCCCTGCTCTGTTTTCACCTCTGTATCGCTGACATATCGAAGGAATAGAATGTGTGACTACGTTTGACTCTCCCTTCAATGGAACGCCTGCCGGCACAATCGATCCCACTTTATTGAGCACGCCATGCTGGGTTTGGGATACCATGATATCAGACAATGTCCTGCAGCCGGATAGCAGCTTTTCCCCTACTATTGATCGAAATTTGTCCGTACCAGAAGCCCTAAATAGTCCTTTGTTCGTACCTTCCGCAAGCGACCTCCCCACACAGCCGGAATCTCTAGGCAGAGAACGGTCTCCAGATGGGAGCAGTGACTCCTCAGCTATATCAGAATTTGCAGATGAGGATCTGCAACCAGCTGACGGCAGTAGCGTAACCATAGGCCTTCCTACGCCGCCATCCGATCCCCCTTCCCCTGCTGAGCAAATCTCGAAGAGAACTACTCATCGTAATTCGAAATCAAAGCAATGCAAGATCGTCAAAGCGACAGTTTCCCGGGATAAGCTTGGCCAAAAGAAGCTTTTGACGAAGCGTAGTCTGGTAGAGAAGCAGCCACGGCCTGCACCCGAAGAACCAAGGATATCGAATGATCCGTCCCCGGCAAGGAATGCACTTTGCGAACTTTCTGATCCGGATCTTCAACAGACCCTGGAAGCCGGTGAAGGGCTTATCAGAGATGGCCTTTCTGAACATCAGGACTCCTGTATGTGGAGGGAGAAAGGCTTTTGGTCCGAGGATGCCCTTTGTCTTTCTATCTTGGCAAACTCCTCAGCCGAGGAGAGGTTTTGTCAAGTTTTTCGCTATGTTAACACACAATTAACCCGAAGTTTGGACCAGAAGTTACGGCTCCGCATCTCACATGCCCTGTTGTACCTTTCCTTCGAGTCCCTGACGCAGGAGAAGCGAAGTGGCATGCGTTCGGGAAGGCAAGAGAACCCTGACCAACATCGTGCCGCAACCTTCTCCGCGGATTACCTGCTGGAACGCTCGTACCCAGACTGGTGGGGTTCGATGGATGTCCGGATGAAGCGAACACTTCGGAGACAGCTTCACGAGCAAAAGAGACAGGGTAGCCGGTGTTGGCGGATGGCAAGCGTATTAGGTCTTGGAGCTCTGCTTGCCTGTGGAGATACCCTGACTAAAGTGATGTAAGTCAATCCTATCACCCGGTCTAACGGGGAGGCTCACCCACACTGTACAGCAAAAATCACGGCAGATATCCTCTCCCGAAATTTGATGCTGTTATCAACTATGTTGCGAATGCTTATCCTGGTGTGGTGTGCCTTTACCACGAATTCGATGCCTTGGTGAAGCAAATTTTGCTAGGAGAAACCCTCACAGCCAAACCCACAAGGCAGACAGTCGATGATGGAATCTGCCAGGCAGCTGCAATAAAGCTAACCCTCCGGCAAGTTGAAGAGAACTGGCAGCAAATTGACCTCACCTCCGCTTCCCTGAAACTGATCAAGGAGTGCGAATTCGCATAGGCACTACGGACAAGGCTGCAGGCAGCCTTCCTATTCATGTACAAGGTAATCAGGTCAGGTGGCCTCGACACATGGATTTTCATGGCTTTAAGATTTTACATAGTTGTGGCCATCAGCGATATTATATACAGCTTTTCTGACTTTTCTGACTCATCAGGGAGGCTCGTTGGAAATTTCCAACGAGACCCCTGCTTCCATCTCCCAGATACGATTAAGAATGAGCTTAGTCAGCACACACCAAGGTCTGCTGGAATAGAAGTTTGCGTCCTTCTGGATCAGCCAACAAAGGGAAACCAAACTCTCATATTACCTTCAAGATTCAAGAATCCAGAAACTCCCATTTAGCCATCTTTCAGAATATGCAAATATCCCTCTTATTTCCAGATAACAGGGCGAATGACCCATGGTAGCCTAAATCAAGCGGATCCTAATAAGTCAACTTGTACCGTTGACGATCAAGGCTTCAAGGCATTGTATTTGTTCCCAAGGTCGAAGCCATATCTGGGAACAACGTATGTGCAGTATGTCCCAGTCAGGCACTCTTCTTGGGTTTTCCACAGCAGCTAAAGTCGCCAAAGGCAGCTCTAAAGCCCTGGTTATTGGCAATTTTTCCGAGGGACTCCTTAGGGGGCGATTCTCCGTTTTCTGCACCTTTATCTGACTTAGATTGTTTGTTGTTCGATTTCCATTGGACCAGTCAGCTGATTACAGCGATGACCATCGTTAATATCAGCTGATCTGGCAAGTAGTGAGTTCTTGTCGTTTGATTTTCATCGGACAAGTCAGCTGGCATTCGTGTATGAAACATCGTCAATTAGCTGACCGCATGTAGCTTATCTTCAATATGCTCAAGCCAAAGGACCCTTTTAATTAGATAGCAGCTATCCTGATTAAGGCTAAGAGGCTCACGTGACGGGGTCGAACCCAGCCATAAACCATCAGATCGAGGTGCATCCTAGAAAGGCATATCCCTAAATGGCGTATCCCTAAGTACAAATATGCCTAAGAGGCGTATCCTAGAAAGGCGTATCCCTAAATGGCGTATCCTAAGTACAAAATGGGGGAAATCTAGTAGGCGCATGCCTAAGAGGCGTCTGCATCTCAGGCGTATCCAAGGTAGGCGTATCTCAAGTAGGCGTGTCCGAGATAGGCGTGCGCCTGGTATTTTTTCTGTATTTTCCACCTCAGGCATGACCTAGGTAGGCGTATCTCAAGTAAGCGTGTCCGAGAGAGGCGTGCGCCTGATCTTATTTCTGTATTTTCCACCTAGGCGCATCCGAGGTAGGCGTATCTTACGTAGGCGTATCTCAAGTAGGCGTATCTTAAGGAAGTGTGCGCCTGGCCTTTTTTCTATAATTTCCACCTTATTTATTTATTTATTATTTATTTATTTATTCATAGAGCAGCCCTAGGCGTGTCATAGTAAGGCAAAGGGCCGTGGCCCTTTCCAAAAAGCTTCCTTAGGATATATGTATATTATCGCCGAGCTGCCGGAATGGGTAGAATACAGGGATGTTTCTACATAAAATGCATGATGTATAGCGGGACATTTTTCATTCTTTTGCGTATCCTCCTCGAGGGGCTTGTCTATTCCTGCTCCCGAAGGGGAAATGAAGCAGCCTTCCGCACCACCTTCCAGAAATCTGTGATGAACTCGCCACCTTCTTGCAAAAGTTCAAGAAAGTCGTCATGCCCGGTAATGCAATCCGACCAATATACCACGGAGTCCGTAACCAGCTTCCTTAAGCCATCGATTCCATCCACACGTCCACGAGTGTTATCGTCATGGTACGCAAATCTGATAAGCTCGATAATGTCTCTAATCCTTGTGGCAAAAAAGGTGAAATTTTTTAAGGTCTTATAAAGTTTGTATAGCACGAGGTCTTTAAGGGGCTGAATACCATATTTGTCGGCTACCACATACAGCCGAGCGTGGCCAAGAAAGACGGGAGTAAAGTCCTGGTCTGCCGACACGTTGGAGAAGGTGGTAAGCCTTTCGTCTAACTGCACACAGCAGTCCGGAAGAGGGTAATCCTTTTCTGAAAGAAGAGGCTGGACAACAGGCGCCTGTTTCCCCCTCTTTTTGAGTTTAGACTTGCTGGAAGAAACCACTTGCCCAAAAAACTCGGGCTCGCGCTGCGATTCTGGCTGGGCGTCGCTAGGCTCAGACCATCGGTCTGCATCTGGTATTTCCTCACTTCTCTCATCGTTATCATTGGCCTGTTGACAGCTAGGTGGAGAGTAATCGTTCAGATAGCAAAATTCGCAAAATCGAACAAATGTGTCAGCATCGACGTCGGGCCAGGTGACGGTTCTAGAGTGGGCTTCAATCATATTGCTATTGACAAGAGCATCCAGGGCGGGAGATTGCGCCGCTATGGCCACAGAATGAACCGCAAAAGGAGCCTTCTCGGCTCCAATATGGAATGTAAATATATCCGAGCGGATGAGCCTATTTCAAATTAGCTAGGCTCTGGGCGAGAGATAAGCATAAACTTACTTGCCAAAAGGCTTATCCATTGGGAAGTGTAACAGCGGGTCTCTTTTGTAGAGACAGTTAGAGCAGAAGAGGGGGTGGGGGGGAGAGGGGCGAAGCGACGTGAAGGGAAGAGAGAGTCATAAGAGAACCTTTGTAGTATGATCTTGGCAAACCGAGGAACTGTTCAGGAACGATTGGTTAAAAAATGGCCAAGAGTCCTTGCGCTAAACGTAATGTTGATTGGTTCCTAATTCCCAGAAAGTCGACTGGCCAATCACCCCGTACTGGCTCGGGGGCCAGTTCTGTTGGAGACAGGAAGCAAGAAGCTAAAATTTCTACCCAGCACCGCACCATCTTGAAAATACCCGATTTCCTTAAAAGTCACCCTTAGTGCTATAAACGATGCTGCAGCTATCCCCATCTCCAGCTCCTTTATAGAGACACGATTCCTCATTATTAAAACCTGCGATATACTCGTGAGAGGTGCACCAGCTGAAATGGCCGCTGACATAGCAGTTACCGTTGACGAAAATTTTGCACAATGGGCTTCTTAAAGTCAGCAAGCTTGCGGGACTATCATCGACGTTTTTATCCTTACCATCGTATATTGCGTTCGCGACCGGCCTCATTGATAATCTTTGTATCCTCCATTTCGAGATGGTCGAATTCAGGTGTCTCGCTTCTTCTTACCGCGAACCTCCTCCATAGATTCCATAGACAGAGAGCTATAGAATTTTCCATGCGTTCAGTGTTGACAGTTTATGGATGGAGAAAGAATCTGGCAGATTTCCGGGGCAGTGATTGGACTCGTCTCTGCGGAGGCCATATGCAGAATACTGGCCAGAGGGTGCAATACATACCTAGCGAGACCTGCAAACTCCATGCCGTTTACCAAAACGGGATATGCATCTTGCCGCCTGTTCGATCATCGGGAGGTTCAGTTGCCGGGTTGTTTGCCCTTTGTTTCAAGCGGGAGACAGTAGATGGACAAAGAACAAAACAAAGAACGCCGTCGACATGGCGTTCCTGCAAGCCAACGTGTATAACCCATTTGATGCACAGTTGGTCTGCGGATCAACCTACCGTTTGATGCAAGTTCCTAATTCATTACAGCATCAAGTGGACGATTGATATGTTGATTGCCGCCGCCATACTTCCCTTGCACATGCTCAAGGAAAGAGTCTCTACAGACTGACGGTCAGCCTCAGCTACAGCACGGGGGATGGGGCTCACTTTACCCAGAGTCCGTCATCCATCCACTGTTAAAGGCATATGATGTTTTGGATATCAGCCACTCTGAGGTAAACCTCTCGACATCGTATTTGGTGCTATCGTCGCCTTGGACATTATGGCATTGGCGACCACAGTTTTGAGCATTCCCCCTATGTACGCCAATTCCTCGTGGACAGATATATATCAGTTTCTTAGTGGTGCCACACGGTAGAAGATTCCAATCTCCGACGCTGGTATCTCTTTTCAAACACAGCAACCTCTCTTCGCGTAGTTCAGTCAGGTAATGCATTTATGATAACATTGGTCCATAAGCGGCGGCACTGGAAATATTTGGCCCCCTCAAGGATGGCCGCGTATAGTTGATAGCCATGGCCCTTCGCCGCATCATAGCAAGCGGGAATACTCCTAGTCGGATGTATCTAAGAATGTGTTCAAACGAAGAGGGATCGCTGTCGATAAAGATAGAGCCGTCGTCCATTGTGGGTATTGTCCATTTTCCGGAGAAAAAAGCCTTGAAGTAGCCACTTTTCTCTATTTGAGTTTCGACCGTTGTGTGATAATTGCCTTCGCCTACCTGAAGCATAATAGGCTCAGACTTCTTCTTACCATTCATGTTCGGAAGCGACGTTGACACCCTCGCTAACAATGCCATTGCCGGCGCCGACAGCGTCAGGTCCTGGTACCTTAAAACCCCGCGTCATAGTATCCTCATGGCGCTCGGCATTTGCGGACCGGACTTCTGGAAGGGAGAACTGGATGCGAAGTGGTCAACGCTAGTGTTACAGTACCAACCATAGCCTTGTCCTCATTGAGTAGTTAGAACCCTTGGTTATTCGGGTGGGCACATGCATAAAGATGCTTTCCCACCTCTGGTCCAACGGAGACTTTAAACCCAATTACTATATAACTAGCCTACGCAGACTGCTAGTTGTTTCCACCATGGGTCTCGATTGTAAGTCTCAAGCTGTGCGTTGTTCGCCTGTCATCCCCTACGATAAAGAGCTTTATCTAAATAATACAGTCTACATAGCTAGTTGGCCGTTTAAAATGTGTAGAGGGAGAAAACTACGTGTTGATATATAACCCGTAAGAAGAGTGAGTACATAATTACTAGCTAACTTGAACGATGCAGGTATCCAAAAACAATAACACAAAAACAGTGCGCGACCCAAAAACGGTGTGATTAAAAGTAGCGAAGGATTTGGTTGGTCGTGCGTAAGTCAAAGTTAAGAATAATCCTCTAATCTCCAACTGCTGATCGAACTCTCCACGCGGCTGATCATCGAGCTGATAGTGGGCCCAATCGGACAGCGGTGAGGAGAGGACGCCCTCCGTTCATACCACTCTGGAATTCCAATCCGACGGAGACTCTTCGAGAGACATGTAAAGCTATATCCTTTGTATGGAGCAGCTGGACGTGGGTTAAGAAGCCCCCGCGACTTTATCTGCTTCCTTATTGCCCCGAGGCGCATGGAGTCACACTCAAAGCTGCACCCCATCTTTCCACCTTCGATGTCGTCAACAATGTTGTAGAGTCCCGTCATTAAGCTCTTAATGGAGACTTCTCTTGACTGGTTAATTCTGTCTATACCGATATTAGCACTGAACGGGAATCATAGGTCGTTTCACCCTACCTATCACTCTGCCTGGGATTTGAAGCTTTGACACCTGGAGTGGAGCCTTAGCCTCACGCTGCAATATCTGTGCCATATTTGTAAATATACTGCTCTTTTTGAATACCCATGAGATATATAACCATTTGATGCTATCTCTGCTAAGCTCGCTCCCCCGGCTTTTTCTTAGGTTTTCAATCCACGTATCGAAGTAGAATTGAAGGGCATTGTAGGATCGGTAATAATCAACGAGTAGGGCGATTTCGCACAGCTGACCGACGCCGATAGTCCGGGGAATACCCTGTGAACGACAGTGGATAGCTTCCAAGAAAACCAGAAGACCCTCCCGGGAGGTACCCAGAGCAGATATCTCCGCAGCGCCTTGGGTATTAAGTGCAACTCCTTCCGCCCATGTCGGTTTCAGCATCGTCGCAAACAGCGGAGATGCCAGGATAAGATGTCTGGAGGACACCTGGAACCGAATAAGATGAGGCTTTGCTTGCACTTTTTTGTTACTCTTTCCTTTGGTTGTGTCTGCATTTTGGATACTATTTTCTCGTTCATTGCCTCTGGCCGGGGGCTTTTGAGTGCCCTAGTTCTTGGGGAGATCGCCTTCTACTGGCTACAAACTGTCTACCCTAAACTGGTTATTCGCAGGCCAGTTTGTAAATAAACTTGAATCGGGTCGGGTGGAAACGCGTATCCTCGATGCCCCTTTCTTCTTATTTTTCTTTGTGGAAGGCACAAAAGGGTCATCATCAATGTCAAGGCTTGCTGTGTCAGTGCACTTTTCCTCTATTCGTATTTCATCCTGGTATGAGGGGAGTTCGGGTAATATATAGTAATCTTCATCGTCCTCATATCCGACATCTTGCTCGTTTAAAGTCAGCGTTATGTCTCCACAATGATCGAGTTCGTAGGATAATGGGTCTGTAATACCCGCTATGCCTTCAACTTCTGGTATGGAGGGAGGAATTGAGGAAGGATGGGCCAAACTTTTCGGGGCGTGTGATTTTCATCGATAGGCCCACTTGCAACGGTAATGTGTCAAAGGCTATTATTTCCTTCTTAATCAGCAACAGAAGCGAGCTGAGTCATCCGAATCCAGCAGCAAGCTTCCTCCTAAAAACATGCTCCGTCTGTACCGTCAACCAATGGTAAGTCTGCTTCGTCTGTCGTTACTCGGAGCCCATGCGGAATCCATCGAAGGTGACCAAGCAAGTCACACGATTAAGTCACATGGTACATGATCAATCCATTGATTATATAAGCTTTTGCCAAGAATGTATTTGCTGAGTCGCTGCCAAGCTGCAGGCACCCGATGCCAAGTCCCATGTGCTGAGAGACGGAACGTTGACCCGTGCTAAGACATGCGTGCACCGTGACGGGCGACTGTCGCCTTGCATGTGTGCAATCGGGTCTCTTCTCCTCCCCCGTGAGATGTTGGTTCTGGCCCCCAACGCCTGACCCCGTGTCGGCGACTCCGGTCACGTCACTCCAGCACTGCCACCCCGTCCCTACGGGATTGGAGCAAACCCCGAAAAGAAGGGTAAGACAGAGCAGGAGCGACGATAAATACGTACGCACCCATCATTCCCCTGATGAACCACCACGGCGAAAGGAGACATAGTCGGAACGGTCCCCGAGTCCATTTCTATTCGTTACAGAGATTTTCCGGACTACCACTAGCTTTTGTTTCTTCATCTGGGAGCAATCGCAAAGATGACCGGCCGAGATTAGGGTACCGCTACTGCCATAGGACGTACATCGTCACAAATTGGATATGCCATCTAAGATTAAGAGATTCTCGTAAAGCTAGGACCCACTGACTAACGTGGGCGTTTGATAACTCGGTCCCCATGTTTAGCTTGGCTATCCAACATTTGGTCGATAGCAAAATTTTCGTCGTATGTTACCTGTTTTCCTGCGCCATCTCTCCAGCAAAGTCGTGCAAAGCACCTGAATAGAGGGTCGCGCGAAAATTGTATCATCTTAAGATACTCCCAGTATTCCGGATACCATCCGGCAAACTCAAAATCTATAATCGCCGTAATCCGCCCATTTTCCACTAGGATATTATGAAGTCCGAGATCACCATGGGTGAATCGCAGTTGGTGGTTGCATTTCAGGGAACCTCGAATCGTCTCTAAGTAGAACGAGGAATGAAACTGCATAGATTCGGGGTGTATCAGGGATACTAGCCATTCGTTGAATTCTGATTCAGTCCTGAATGGCCCACCGAATTCAGTATGGCGTGCCCGGCAATCAGCAGCTGGCCCCCCATCAATGGACCCGATCAAAGCACCCGCTGGGGCACGTAGCTCCCGAAAATGATCCAAGATAGTTCGCAGGTCCCGTAGAACTGATTCCTTTTCGCCTTTCTCCATGGCCGTCCAGGCCTCGCTCAGCATCGTTCCCGGCATCTTTGACATTGCCAAGTACTCCACGCCATCTTCTCCTTTCCAAGAACCAAACACCTTCGGAACAGGTACTTGAGGACAATTTTCGCGGACAAAATCCATGGTCTGTCGTTCTCGTTGGCTCCGGACGTGGTGGCCATATTTGACTAATATACCAGATACCGTGACATATACACCAGTTGATTTCCCACGCTCGCCAACAATCCATGTAGCAGATCGCAGGTCCTCCTCAGTTGTAGGTACGTTCATGGCAATTTCCGGGTTAAATGACAGCGGCCAGACACAGAACCGGACACTCCGTTTCTATTACAGTGTCAGCACGGTTCAGATACATAGTATCTGGAATTCAAAGGGAGTCAAACTTTCGAATAGGAACTAACTCGGCGTAACGAAAATGTTGGAAGATAATGCGAAGGCAGTTATTTGATGATTGTGAACCGGAGGGTTGCTTGACGCTCTTGAAAGTCGAATTCCCATTGATTTCGTTAGTTATTTTCGGACTGCTTGGCTAACTAGTTAATCTAGTAACGTGATCTGGCCCCCTTGGTTGCTCCGTTCCTTCATAAGACTAAAAATTATAACCTAACTAGAAAATTTAAAAATAATTCTTTAAAGAGACATAATCTATGATTCCTTATCTGGCACTCCACTATGTACGAATACAATGTTGTCTCAAATCAAAATAACATTCCAAAACAACGAGCTTCTCGAGTCGACAGGCTAGACCAGTGAATAGAAATGTGAGCAGATAAGCCAACCACATGTGAATTTTTAAAATATTCCGCCTTATGGCAACACGCCTTTGGCAGTAGTATTGATGATATTCATCATTTGGCTATAATACTGCGCGGCATGTCCGCTAGGTATAAACTTGGACGCTTCCATGTTCATCATGGCTTCACGCACCCACGACTGGCAGTTCCAGTCTGTTGGCTTAGGTCTAGGAACAGGAGTAGCAGCCAACACGGCCGAAAGCGACTCGAATTGGCTCTCAGGGGTAGAAGTTTGTAACACAATGCTTTGGTGTGGGGTTTTAGTTCCCAGGGGGTTTCGATCCCTTTCCGATCTCTCAAACTTCATTTCTGATTCTGTTGAGATATCCTCGACCGCGTGGAAAACGTAGAATTTGCCTGTGACTTCCACTTGAACTGAAAGAGCAACATGGGACTCATGGGGACTGAGAGACGGTTCTGTATATATCACAACGTGGATAACGAGAGGGTTGTTTTGCGAAGACATTGGGAGGCGGGGACTAATGTAAATTAGTATCTTGGATATTCCAACCACAACGAAGGGAAAATACCATACATGGGTCGTATGAGTCGTAGGTTGAGGACTGTGATGAAAAAGGTGAAGTGAAAGAATATTTTTTTAAAATGGGCGGTATATATATTTCTGTACCTGAGAAGTCACTCGCTCATCCAGAACATTTGGAATGGAGGAGGATTTGGTGGCACAAAGATATGCCAATTACCCCTCCGTTCTCAGATATTCGATGTCTGCTATGAGTCATATCCAACACTTTCCCGCTCTGAGGGGTTGGTTGTTCGACGCTTTTGTGTAATAACGCATGGATGTATTTGGTGGGGTAGCAGCGCGAAGCGCGAACAGGGCGTAGTAATCCCTGCTCAGACTGGGGGCCAAAATAAAGCCAAGCCGGGGATTCTTTGAATATCTATCGAGAACAAAGAGCGCAACTGTTACAGACCACCTGCGGCGCAGCCCTCAGACCATACGCTCATTGGACAGAAAACTGGAACGAATAAACCAGGAACCGGCTAGCCCGCTAGCCCGGCCATACTGAGATAGCCAGCAAGCACAAAGAGCGAAGCACTCGCTCTACTATCCCGACCAACATGGAAAGCATAGCTAGCATAGCTATCCAGGAGATATACGGCATGTATATAAGAGACACTCATTACCACAGGATCAAGAGTCTTATACTCGCGATCAACGAAGTTACCAATCTAGCATACTGCTCAAGAATACCATAGCCGCTTGTTACCTTCAACCCAGAAGCCTTTGCCTATTCCCCAGCACAAGTCAGACTACTACACACAAGCCTCAAATCATGCCGCGATCCAAAACAATGCACGATCCAGAAACAGTATTAGGCAAGTTCAATCCTAAAATAGAGTTAAGGTTGGCTTTCTGTGATGATTCGGCGGATGTCTCGAGCTGGGCGACCTCAGCATCGGTTGGAAGATTCATCGTAAGAGGTTTTTCTCGCTTCTTGCCTCGGAATGTTTGAGATGCTTCTGCGGACTTTGTTGAGTGCCGCGCTTCCTCCTCCGAAATATTCATGTTATACTCTGTCGAGCGCCGTAGACTCTCAGTCATATTGAAGGGCCTGTCAAGGAACTGCGAGTGGTAGAGCAAGCTAGTGAAATTGTCACAACTCGAATCCGAACGTGTACTCTCATGCCTTTCATTCCTTTTCCCTTTGGCAGTCATGCCCGCCTTGATTATGTGTCTCATATCTACCTCGCCTCGCGCACATGTATCGAAGGGCGCTTTCAATGTTGGATTCTGCTTGACGATAATAATCCATTATCCAACTCTATCAGCGACGCTTCCGAGCACGGAAGCTTTCCCAGAACCCTGAACATGTTATTTTCAAAGCATTGAACCACAGCCACTACGATACCCACGCCTGGTACTGACGGCCCTTGCTGAAGGCCTTGCCGACACACGTAAGGCTATTGGCCGGGTCGATCCCCAAGAACGCGAGCGGATTCTGGAGTTGGGCTTGTTGCATGGTAGGCGGCCTCGGAAGATATGGTATGTGTGTATCTGTCGAATGGGAACTATGTCTGTAGCTCGATGCTTGATTCTCTGATGGGAGGCGGACTATTCTTCATCCCTTTTATCGCGCAAAGTTGTGGACGAGTCTTACGGTGGGCCTACGTGGTCTCGAGGTCCCAGAAGCACCCCCTGGGTTCCTGGGAACAGAAGCGATCCCAGGCACGCGCAACAAGCTCGTAGGAACACCTGTCCAGTTTCTAGAAACCACCCAAAGGTTCGTGGGAACCAAGCCGATCTCAGGGACCGCCCACCCGCTCCCGAGAATATCCACATCCATAATGCCGCGTGGGGCTATTAAGTGGCTGACTTTGAAGGCATCAATGGCGACATGCGTTGGCCGCCTGCCGTGGCATGTGTGGATTGTATGAGAAAGCTATAGGATATAAGAGGCCTCCCTCCCTAAAGCAGGTTAAACTAATACATGCGGATTCACAGGACTCTTATCATATGTCGTTAAAATGGTTCGGTTTATACTAGAACAGGAGGATGGTTTCCATAGGTGGCATGCCGACAGAACTCCTAAAGATTATCAATAGGGCTGGTCACGAACGCAATATACGATGGTAAGGATATAAAGTCGATAGTTTTTCCGCAAGCTTGTTGACTTTGAGAAGCCCATTTTGTGAAGCCGTCATTAGCAGAGACTGCTACGTCAAAAGCCACGTCCACGTCAACTGGTGCAGCCGTCACGAATGCCTTGCAGATTCCAACAGTGATGAGTCGTGTCTTCATAAAGGAGCTAACGATGGGTATGGCTGCAGCATCGTTTATAACATTTTTATAACACGGGGGTTAGTGCCTTTCAAGAGAAATTAGATAGTTTCAAAGTGGTGTATGCGTTGTGCAGAAATTATAACTTCTTGTTTTGTCTCCAGCGTCGGTGGCCCCGACCGGTGCGGTCCTTTGGGGTGACGGTGACTGACCAGATCTTCGGGAGTGTCAGGAATCTGACGTGGAAAGGTCAGGAATATAATGATTGATTGCTCAACTAAGAATTAGCTTATTATACAAGACGCAGTGCGAGGAAAGGAAAACAAAAGAAGAGACAGGGATCTGCAAGGTAAACGGTTATCCTAGTCATGTGATTTAGCCTTGTTGGTCAGTCCCGTGACAGGAGTTACACCCTCAAGATCCGGTCCCTGGTGACCATCCAAAATCAACTACCTCCATTCTCTATTGTCAGTCGGCCTCCACGACGTATGCTAATCCGCATCTATACCAAAACCATTATTATTGGCCATATTGGAGCCTTCACAATGTAAACATGCATGCACACGTGCATCATCATTCCCCGCTCTAGCTTTCGGTGCAATCCAAAACGATGCAACGATCCAAAATGATGCAGCACTCCAAAGTCAAAACACAAAGGAGATTAAAGTTTAACAGAGCATCAAGTGGATTTGGCAAGGACTGCTGATAATCATAATATTCTCCCTTCCGTATGAGAACTGCCAAGAAGATAGGAAGCCAGGAAGCTGGGAAGCTGGGAAGCCGAGAAAGGTGAGAGTTACTCCTGTGAATATTTAGTACAGCCCTCATTGTATGAGTGAATGGGCGACTCGCGATGATCATCGACCTGTGGTTGGATAAATATATGGTGGCTCCATATTTCAACCCTGTTCATTATAAGCGCTCCAACGGTGTTATTTTTCGTGGGCGGCAGAAACGACGTCCGCCAGAAATGCATTTTCGTACATGTAGACAAATGGAGGCCACATTTATTTTAAGAGGCCACGCTTCTGCTCGGCTGTAAGTAGCTATAAATTGGACAGTCCCTGGTGGCTAGAAATGGCCTTCCATCTCCCACACCTCAATCATGCCGGATACGCAAAACCCAAACCCAGGACGTGTCACCAAGCCATGGACTGAGCATAAGAGCCTTATACAAAAGCAATACCGGCGGAAGGAGACAATAATCGCCGGATTAAAAGATTATCACCACGACTATCAAGCAGATATTTATTTAGTAATTAACGATTTGGATGGCAAGACTTATGTCGTGCAGTTTACACACGGAGATATTATTAAGAGCCTGCCCTCCGAGGATGAAATAGTGAGTTTAGAAGAAAGATTTATCAATATGCCTCGCTAACAGATAGTAGAAGAAATTCTATCCACCTCCTATACGGATAACGTCCGGAAACTATAAACCACGACGGAGAAGGCCTAAACAGAGGAAGCAGTCGGGAAACGAGGAAACAAAGGAAACAAAGGAAACAAAGAAATTATTATGTAGATAGAAAATCACATACATAAATATTATGGAGGTTTCATGGATATAAGCGTCTAGACAGACATAGGGCTTCGAAGCCACAGGGTTAAGTGACCAGGTGGCTCTGGAGGCCACCGGGATAAACGACTACAGGGTCACATGAACAGATGGCTCTGGAGGCCATCAGGCAAAGCGGCCATGGGTGTCGCCGAACATGGGGCTCCGGAGACCACCAGGTAAAGTGACCACAGGGTCGAATGAACACATGGCTCTGGAGGCCACCGGGAAAAACGACCACAGGGTCAGATGGCTCTAGCAGAAGGTATGCACAGAATGTGCTGAGATTGATAACATCAGACTGGTATAATGTCAGAATGTGGCTTTAGAATAATGGAGCGGTTGAAAATAGACGCATGAGCGCTTAATACTTTAAAAAAGCTAGAAAGCCAGGAAGCCAAGGGTCGAATGATGGCTCTGCAGGCCATCGGGCATAGCGGCCACGGGGCTTGGCAAGGATCGGAGAGCCTATGGCGGGATATACTGATAGTTTTCTTTCAACTCAAGACCAAAGTCCTCGAAGGACCGTACCTGAAGGGGTGGATCTGAGGGGGTGGGCAACACTCCCATAATATATGCAAGCGGTCACGTGTTATCGTGGGTCTCCTTGGAAATCTCCACTGGTCCGTATCTTGTAACATCATGGCGAGCGCTGGGCGAAGCTACCAACAGGAAACGGGTGCAGATTGTTGGTGGTAGAAACGTCAGTAGAGCAATGCGCGATCAACAAGAGGTCGCGACTTCTCACACAAAAGGAACCCGGCCCTCTTTGCTATCTTTTTCTCCCTCTCGTCTTCTATTCCACCTAAGGCCGCCGAACGCTTCACGGATTTTCTATTTCTGATAGAGGCGATCAGTCTGGAACTGTGGAAGTCAATTATCAAGGCCCGCCCCAACTCTTCATTCCACAGTATGTTATTAGGCCGTAAGTCTAGATGATCTACCCCCATGGCGCGGATCTGCTTCTTCGACCGCTCAATCTCATTGCGTAACTCTCGGGATTGCTCCATTCTACTGGTGTCCTCTCCACCCCAGCCCATGAGCAGCATGTGCTGGATGGATCCCGCACCATGGAGATGGTATATCATCTTCAGGTCGATGCACCCGAGGAACACAGGAACCGCGGAACCCTGGGCCCCCCGGAGGACGCGATAGACCTCCGCTTCACGTCGCACCTCACCCCAGCGGAAGCGCGTCGTACCCTTCCCGACTACCGTGTAGCCATACTGGCGACAGGTGATTCTGAACGGCGCCCCATACGAGCCACAGGTGCCAAACGGCGTGCAGTCCCGGTCCAGGTCCTCATCCAGCTGTTGCTTGATCAGGCCCACCAGCCGCTCCGCATCGACAGGGTGCTTGTCGCCGCCATCCGTTGATCTATGCTTCTCCACATTTGGGCATCCTCTATCTAGGTTATCTCCCCGCCGAAGGCCGAGTAAGCATTTTTGCGTGCAAAATGCCGTGGTGTGCTTATAGCCTCCCTGGCTCCCTCTACCTTCCCTCTGGCGCCACAGCCGTTGGCCGGGTGGCGACGCTGTTAGCTCGCTCAAGTTTCGCTTCCGCCCGGGAGCCGCCTGCTGGGAGTCGGAGTCAGAGTCCGTGGGCTCTGAACGGTGTACGGTTGTGCTTCGAGGCGCGCAGCCAGCCTGGGATCGAGTGACGGGGCGGTGGTCGTCCGCGGTTGGAGAGCTCAGGGGAGGAGAGGATGGCACATGCTCCGAGCCGGGAGGGGTTTTTTGGAGCTCCTCATCTGGTATGCGCGCCCTCTCATAGTCAAGACTTGTTTCCCATACATGTAGCTGTTGCCTTGCATCGTTTCTCCAGCATTGATCCCGGGGTGGCGAGCAGCAGCTCATTAGGCAGAGACAGAGTACCCGAGTAATAGCGGTCTTTGGTTGCAAGATCCGTGCGTCTCCCGGATCAACGTCCATGTTGGGTTCGCAGAGGTGGTAGTAAAGCGTGCTTGGATCATCGCGCTGCACGCAAAGCAGAACATAGGCCAATCCATTCGTAACGTATGAAAACTCGAGTCCTTCATTGATCATCACATGGTATTCCTGAACCAGAGTAGATGCTGTGATCTGTTCCGCATTATATTTTAACTTTGTATTTTCCTCCGTTGGAATCGTGTCCCGCTGGACCACCTCCTCCCAGAGGTTCATCTCCCGGAGACCGACACGGAGATGCTCTACTGCTAGCTTGTGAGGCGGTTTGTACTCGACGGTGGTGAGTAGTGTATTCATGCCATTGTCTACACGATGGATACAGAACTGATCTGGTATAGAGCGTCGCGTGTTTTGTTGGTTTGACGCGCTTGTATCGTTATCCTCATCGACAGTATTCGCGTGATTTTCGAACGTGACTCCCTCTCCGAGCGCAAAGTCGTTTCGAGCCTCTGGGTTCTTGCACAGCTCTATAATCACATCCTGGACGTGTTGTTCAACCGCGAGCCGCTCATAAAACTCCACATCCTTCTCACTGCCTAATGGCCGACATCTGCGTGCAATGCCCTTGAGTTCGATTAGGGGAGGAAAGAGCTTGTCGGTTGGCTGGAAATAGTCGCAGACACGGCGATAGAATTCATCCTGAATCCCGGAACAGGCTAGCCAGGGGCGGAGGTAGGTCGGGCACAACTTGCCAGTTGGCTTTCCGATTGACCCTCTTGTGGAGAGAGCGCTCTCTTGGACCTTTGTGGGCAGAGAGAGCAGGTTATGGCAGGCTCGGATGAACTCCTCAAACGATGTAGGCTGGTTGCGCTCTTCCGCCCTTGTTGCTCTCTCATCCGCCTGTCGCTGCTGCTCTTCCGCCTGTCGCTGCTGCTCTTCCGCCTGTCGCTGCTGCTCTTCCGCCTGTCGCTGCTGCTCTTCCGCCCGTCGCTGCTGCTCTTCTGCCTGTAGTCGCTGCTCTTTTTCCTGTGTTGCTTGCTCCTCAGCCTGTTGTCGTTGCTCCTCCGCCCGTAGAAAGAGAGCCTTATAATCTAGCGCATTATCGGAAGCCATCGATCTCGCACATCAATGGGCTTTCACACGTTCTCTATGGCGCTGGAGCAATAAAAGTGCCGACTCGACAAGGTGCAAGCACAACAAGGGAGCTGACTCAATAAGGGCGCTAACGCGATCAAGGATAGTGGCGCAATAAAGGTGGAAGGAACAGTTCTATTGATATTCTTGATAGTATCTATGCTACTTTTGAAATCAGTGCAGCGCTCCGTTTCAGAGGTGTAGCTCTTTAAGTTATATATTAGAGGGGGATTCCTTCATCTTGTAATATATAACTTATCATCTGTTATTTTCAATCTACTCCTATGTCTTGCCGCTTTAGTTGGAATTCTTCGTATTGTCATGTTGTGCGCAGTCACGTGTTGCCATGGCCTCCTTGGAAATTTCCAACGAGTGCATATGGTTGGCTGTGAACTAGTTATTGGGTAAAGCCACCAACGATATACAAAAATCGTACGAACCCCATGAGTAAATGCAGGTAAAACGCCAACGGAGTCCCCGATTTCTAGCTGTTCTGATCGCCCGCAGGTGAGCTCCCGCGAGACTCCTTTCCCCCTTTTAAGATAAACCTACATGGTCTCGAGATCCTAGGAACACCCCGCAGGTTCCCGGGAACAGAAGCAGTCCCAGGCACGCGCAGCAAGCTCGCGGGAGCATCTGTCTCATTCCTAGGAACCACCCAAAAGCCCGTGGGAACCAAACCGGTCCTAGAAACCGTTAGAGGAAAAAATGCAGAAAGGCAGGAAAGTTAATAAATATTTAAGCGCTTACTAAATTCTGGCTAGCGCGAATGATGGCTGGTATCGCCAGGTCTTTGGCCCATATACGATATAGGAGTAGGGATTGATGACTCCAACGAACCGCTGCCCGTCATAGATATAAGTCGGCGGTCCTTGGACCTCCTAGGGCATAGAGCCAGAGACCGAAGTCCAGGTCGGTCAATGGCATGGTGGCCGAGGCAGGGTGACTACAGCCCACCCCTGGCCTTGGTCTGTGTTCTAGAGACAGCTGTCAAAAGTCCTCGCTGGCCCATGGACCGCGGCCCTCGGACCCATCAAGCCCAAGGAAGGCAGACTCGTGGCCAATCTACCCCACGGACAATGCTAGCCATCAGTCAGGTTACTAAGGGCCTATGCAGACCGGGGAACAACTACCAAAGACCTGTATAGTATCCCGCCATTTCAGCCACCTCAATGCGTGGTTTCTTGCTTAGTGTGCACTGGCATATACTCGCTCTAGCAGTTAGTTGTTCTAGCATGTAGTTGTTCTAGCAGTTACTCGCTCTAGCATAGACTCGCTATAGAATGCACCATTGTAATTGGGCACGTAGGTACGGTCTTGGTCGATGTCCTCCCTCTTTTCTTTTCACTGGCGGGTTATATTGGGGACCTGACTCATTCGCATCCTAGAAATGATTCTTGGGCGATAACTCACATAGCTTTTAACCATCGAGTTACCCATCTATTCCTCGAGAGATCAGGGCCGGACTGTATGTCCTGGAGAACCTGGCCGACGTTAAATTAGCACCCGGATTATCTGTTGAACGGAGATTCGGTGTAATACTGCCTGATCGTACGAAACACGTTAGTCAACTACGCCGTTTCATTAAATATCAGTGTCAGCTCTCCATCATCGAACAAATGCTACGCCCGGCGTTTTAACGCCTGTTTCAGCTGTAGCTGGCATCTCCGCGATGGCAAGATACATGGCCGTATGAGGAACATAAATAGGAGCTCAATATCGTGTATTTAGATGATCAGTGCTTGATAGATTGAAATCTCATAGATTGCTCCAGACCCACCTGACCAATCAAATCAATCAAATATCTCGTATCTCAGATATCCTCCCTCCGCGGGGGCTCGAAGAACCTAAGGTAGAAGGAAGCCGCTAGCAGGGCCTTGAGCGCTTTTAAGCCCACCACGCCAATCTCCTGCTCATCAGCCAGCTTTATCAGGTCGCTCACGCTCTCAACCGAATCCAAGGGCGGTACCTCCCCAGGTATCAAGGTGTCCAGCCTGAAGCAGTATTCCCGCGTCTCCCTGTCTAGCTGACTCATCAGCGCTAGCCATGCGGCCCCGCCGTCCATAGAGGACATGAGACGGCGAAACAGACGGAAGGGAAACTTATCCTTCGCCCGTCTCGCAGGTGATCCCTCGCTGGTGTCCTCTGCACCTTGGCCATCTTGCGACGACGGAGCGGCGCCGTCAGCCGAGGCGGACACGCCAACCCCTGTCCCAAGCGACAAGAGGACCCCGAGCTCCGGCTCCCAAGGCCACATTCGCGGCGTCTCACTCCGGCAGAGGGCTGCTGGGTTGGGACATTTGAGCGCCCCGTCCTGGCAGTCGCCGACCCCTTGGAGATTGATGGGCGGGAAGAACCTGCGATATCAGTTTGTTAGCTGCTCACCCCGAGAGAGGGAGGACACGTAGTTACCCCGGTGCCGCGCTAGTCGCACGTGCGCTAGTGTGGAAATCGTAGTTAGTTTATTAACGAGCTGGGAGAAATAATTTCCGCTCAAGCACAACTTACCACTGCCACAGTAACGGCGAAGGCCTCGAGGGATCGAGATGCAGGTACCCTGTACAGAATTCACGTAAGCCACTGCATGGCCAAACGCCTGCCATCCTCCTTGCGCTTACCGTTGTCAGCCTGCCCGTGCTCTCCCGCCTTACGGTTAGAGAGTACCACCAGCAAGTCCGATGTGGTCAGGGTCGTCACCAGCAGCCTTATGCTGGAAAACGCCGTTCTGCCGAAGATAGACCTCTCCCCGTAATGGCGTTGGAGGACACTATCCAGGACCACGGGCCCGTAGACCCCGTCCTTGACCCAGCATCCCACCAGGCGCGAAGGAGAGAAGAACCACCACTTGGACTTGGGCGACTTCTCGAACACCTCTTTGAGGAGGCCGGCCGAATTTTTCATGCACTCCTCGGCGGGGAGCCCCAGGACGATGAGGTTGATGCCGTTGATGCCGCCTGCTGGCAACCGTGAGAAGGCTGCAGTTTTCACAGGTATGGGGAGAGCTTACCCGCCCTGAAAGCAGGGTAGAAAGGAAGAGGAACTTGTTTACCTATGCTGCTGCCGGAAACCACATCAAAGAGCCACTGGATCGGTAATTTACCCCCCAGGGCATCCTCGAGCAGCATCAACTTCTTGAGCTGGAGAACACCTCGCACGCCCCCTCCGTCCAGGGCGAGGCCTCTGATCGTGGCCGTCCTGGGAACAAGGTCGACCCGAAGCTTTTCCGGCGCCTTACATACGAGACAGGAACCGAGCTCGTACTGCAGCTCCTTACGCTTGACCGGCTCGCCGAATGCCTCCACGCACAGATCACAGACCGAGTGGCAGGACGTGGAGTGGTGCGGGAACCGAGACAGACAGCAGAGGCAAACCCCCTCGGTTCGTATATCCGACAGCCATCGGCGATGACGAGCCAGGTTCCGGAGATGGATCTTTCGGGTGGGGCCGTCTCCGGCTACTAGCTGCCCGAAGAAACCTACGAAACGAGTTTCGATTTGGCGGCAAAGGTCGTCAGCCCCGGGGCCGTGGACTTCCCGCAGCGCCTCGATGCACGGTCCTCGATACAGCGTCCGGAAGGCCGCCCGCGGCTCAAACCCTAGTGCAGCTGTTAGCAGGCCTATGTCTGGGGAGATCAGTCGGATTGGATGTCTGCGAGGGCATGAGTAGGCGGAATGGGGGGAGGGGGGTGGTGGGGGGTTAGAGATCACGGCTGGGCGTACAGTGCGCCTTGGGTGGATACGCATCCATCAGCATACTGGAGGCGATCAGACTGCCCTGCATGGCAAGATCGCCCTTGGCTCCAAGCGAAAGGAATGTCGCCAGGTGCCTGGGGTAGCGGCCGTCCGTCTCCCTCCCCCTCCGGGAGGCACCGATGAAGTCAAACTCAAGGTGGCGACTACGGCACCTTCGGTCCATCGCCTCCTCGAAGAGCGCGCTGAAGTGGACGGCAGAGAAGAGGCACCGGTGCTCGCGGCGATGGCGGCGGACAATGTCCAGGCGCTTAAGCATCTCGTCCCTCAGGGGTTGATAAGGTGCGCCGGCCAGAACCCCGCGAGGTGGAAGATAGACCATGTTGATGGACATGAAGGTGTCCGCGACTCCGGCGTGTTGCATCAGGTCGGCAAGGAACTCACCTTCCTCCAGTATGTCCTGTGTGACGCTTGCCCCGTCAGAAACGGCAACCACGATGACTGCCGGCCTAGGGGCCAGACTGGACGCCGATCCGAAAGTGGCCCACGCCGTCAGCAGCGTCTTGACCCCGTCCATGCCGCCGAGATCTTCCGCGAAAAGGCATACCACATCTGTGAAAAGGAAGACCAGGCGGGTGAGAAAAATGTCCTGGACGTCCCGGTCCCTGGCTGTCGCCCATGGTATCGAACGGAGTGACGGGCATAGGTCAACCGTGTCCAGGTGGCAGGCGTGAGGATCGCAGTCGGCAAACAGCACAGGGTGGCCGGAGGACTGTGTCCTGCTGTCAACCCGAAGGTTGACGTGTGGTCCTACAGTAGCTTGCAATATCGGATTCACCCCTAAGTTGTCGCTTGAGAATTGTTTATTCCGTCATATGCATGATAAGGTTTGGACTTATCTAGAAAAGCTAAAGTAGTCTTGGCGCAGTACCTGATGATAGACTGTAAGCTAAATGTTCAATACCGTAATATCCTAGTTTTTACTGCGCCATGACCGGGCGCTGTAAATGATTTAGTCAACTAATGACTGATGGCTTCGGAAAAAGTGTGGACCGATCCACATCGCTAGTTCCCCCGCTCGGTATCAACCCAATTTCAGCCTTTTCTCATTCAGCCTTTTCTCATTCAGCCTTTTCTCATTCAGCCTTTTCTCATTCAGCCTTTTCTCATTCAGCCTTTTCTCATTCAGCCTTTTCTCATTCAGCCTTTTCTCATTCAGCCTTTTCTCGTTCAGCCTTTTCTATCTTTCAACCTGCTGAACTTCTCGTCAATCCCATCTCTTCTCCAGTCTCGCAGATCAACTGCACGTATAATCTCCGTGATCCAATAAACCTTGACTTAGAACCAACCTCGTAAGGAAGCCTTGGGGACTTATACAAATACTTTCACTAACCGTACCATTGAGCCTCTACGCCAAACATGTCGGGTGCCGAAGCAAGTCTAGCCCTCGGCCTAATATCGTCCGTCATTGCAATCATTCAAGCTACTCAGCAAGTCTATGAGGCTATCGACGATGCAACGGGCCTCCCCGCAAATTTTAAGAAGTCAGCGTTAAAGCTGCCTCTCATCTCGAAGCTCCTCGAAGACGCCGAACAGTATGTCAACGCCGTGGTAGATGAGGCTAGCCAGGCTGCTTTCAAGCCTATCCTTAGAAACTGTGAACTTCAGGCAACACACCTACAGGAGTTATTTACAAAAGTTATGCCGGAGGAAGATGACTCGAGGTGGGATCGATATGTGAAAGCTGCGCGGACAATCGGAAAGGGCGGTCGGGTAGAGGACTTAGTAAGGGGAATTCTAGATGGCTTGCAACTTATGACAATGACGTTTCCCGAAGTGACGACACCGAGATACAAAGAGCAACTAGCAAAGGCTGTCGAGGAAGTGTCTAAGATGGATTCTTCATTGCCTGACGGCTTTGAACAAATGCCTGCCTACGCACACTATGGCAGTGGCGCCCAAAACAACAACACCGGCAGTGGTACCCTAAACACTAACTCTGGTACGGGCAACCAGAATACTGGCTCAGGCCACCAATACATTGGTACAAATCATATCGGTACGCCTTCCAAAACGCAGGAATCATCTTAAGGATCTTGTGTATGGGAAAAAGTTGAATGTCAAGAGTCCAAGTTTTCTACTACACTGCTAGTCATGAACAATTTATTCTTGTTATGGCTTTTAAAAACAATCTAAAATCCACAACTAATGATATTGAAGTATACAGCAACATAAGCCAATTACAAGAATCCACCAGCAAAAGTCATTGGTGCGTACCACGGCCTGTTAATACGCTTTTCACAGGCCGTGGTGATGTCATAAATCAGATCAAAACGGCCATAGCTTTTAAGAAAGGCAGTCAACTTCAAAGGCGGTTCGTTATCACCGGAATGGGCGGCATAGGGAAAAGTGAAATCTGCCTAAAAGTTGCGGACGAGATGCGAGATGCGTAAGTTTATCATATTTGTGCACCAATATACTGCTAACAGCCTATAGCTTTTGGGGTATCTTTTGGGTCGACGTGAGCAGCGAATCTACAGCAAATGATGGTTTTATAAAGATTGCAAACGAGCTTAAGTCAGCTGCGGAAACTATCGATGACGTACGACGACTACTTTCCAACGAGGAACGTGACTGGCTTCTTATACTGGATAATGCCGACGACCCTCACATTGACTATAGCGATTACTTTCCATCCGGAGCCCGAGGCGCCATCCTCCTGACATCACGGAACGACGAATGTGATCAGCTAAACACCGTTGGAGCTAAATCACTTGGAAACTTAGGGCCTGCTGATTGCCTGAGTCTATTTCGCCAGGCAGCGAAAGTCAAACTGGCAGTCGAATATGAACAGGATATACAGCGTATTATCACCATACTTGACTCTCACACGCTTGCGCTGGTACAAGCCGGGGCGTATATTGCTCAGGGATTCTGCTCTGTCAAGGCGTATCCTGCAGAGTATGAACGGCAATCAAAACGCCTATTGTCTTTTGGCTCAAGGCAATTACGGCCGAGGTACCGCCATGTCTACGCAACTTTTGAAGTATCAGCACAGTTTCTAGAGTCATCGAACAAAGAAGATAGCGAGGACGCACTGAGTTTGCTTCAGCTTCTAGCTATACTACATTACCATAACGTTCCGTTAAAGTTATTTGAGGACGCATGGAGTGGTGCGCAAGCCGCTAGAAAAACATCAGATAAGGGTATTGACAGCCTCTCCGAGTGGCATGTCTCCCAGCTGCCTCAGTTTATCCAATGGCGTGAAAGCCCATGGGACTCATTTCGACTACATAGTGCTAAAAACGTACTCCAATCACTTGCATTAATTCAGGATGGAGAGAAGCAAGGTATGCGAACAATCTCATTGCACCCGCTTGTGCATACGTGGGCCTATATACGGCAGACGGAAGACCAATGCCGCAAGTCATGGAAATCTACTGGGTGTATGCTCGCACTATCTTACTATAAGAATAGCGAATGGCAACCATATAGGCTATCTTTACAGCTGCACTTACAGTCGTTCCTGCAAAAGGAGAAGAAAACATATCTACCTTCTCTGACAACCGGGGATTCTCAAATGTTCTTCCAATGCTGTGAACTGATGCATGATTTGCGGATGGACCGTTTAGCTGAGGGAACACTAAACGAACTGTTTCGAAAACTGAACCTTGACCGTAATGAACCACAGGAAGAATTTCTATCACTCTACAAGTTAGCGGGGAATATTCTATACTACGTGGGCAAAATCAAAGAAGCCGTGCGACTCCTCGAGCACGTTGTCAAAGTGCGGGAGACAACGCTGGCTGAAGATCATCCACATCGACTGACATCACAGCACGAACTTGCTAGTGTCTACCAGGCAGATGGACAGATCAAAGAAGCCGTGCGACTCCTCGAGCACGTTGTCAAAGTGCGGGAGACAACGCTGGCTGAAGATCATCCAGATCGACTGGCATCACAGCACGCGCTTGCTATAGCCTACCAGGCAGATGGACAGATCAAAGAAGCCGTGCAACTCCTCAAGCACGTTGTCAAAGTGCGAGAGACAACGCTGGCTGAAGATCATCCACATCGACTGACATCACAGCACGAACTTGCTAGTGTCTACCAGGCAGATGGACAGATCAAAGAAGCCGTGCGACTCCTCGAGCACGTTGTCAAAGTGCAGGAGACAACGCTGGTCGAAGATCATCCCAGTCGACTGGCATCACAGCACGTACTTGCTACGGCCTACCAGGCAGATGGACAGATCAAAGAAGCCGTGCGACTCCTCGAGCACGTTGTCAAAGTGGAGGAGACAACGCTAGCTGAAGATCATCCAGATCGACTGGCATCACAGCACGCGCTTGCTATAGCCTACCAGGCAGATGGACAGATCAAAGAAGCCGTGCAACTTCTCGAGCATGTCGTCAAAGTAGAGACAACGCTAGCCGAAGACCATCCAGATCGGCTAGCATCTCGAGATAATCTTGCTCATATTTATCAAACCCACAAACAGCTAAGTAAGGATCTAATGCTTAATACCATCGAGACTTGCATACGCTAACACTATATATAGATATACCTTCAATTCCGTCGACTATACCGCCCGCTGGACCATCGGATCAAAGTTTTTACAAACGTATATTTAAGAAATTTTCAAAGCTAAAAGCGTGATGGAGATAGCACATATGTGGCGGCGCTAACAGGAGCTGGATATCTCTTGGGATTAGCCTCGTAGGCAGAACATGCCTATCTTCTAGATCGAAGCGAAAGCAGTTAGGACTCGTAGTGGACATACCTACTATTTTTACATGTAGTTCGTCTTCTCTTGTCTTCTCCTTTTCCTCGGTGTTGTATCGTCGTTTGTGCTGCTCGTCTCGTATCCAAGCCTTTTAACCGTTGGGCAGCATAGAGACCATCAACATTAACAGAGTTCAGTGTGTCACATGATGCTTTACGACAAGAGTTGTAGAACACGAGGCTGGAGGCCTAGACGCCTATTAGGGTAATGTCAAGCTTTCATTTGTCCCCTTCATAACATGGGTGATTAGTGTCTGGCCAAAGTTCATATAATACAGTATTTCTTGTGATCACTTATCGACATCGGTTGTTTGCTCTTTACATATATCGAGTACTTACATCTGCTATGCTTCGAGCCATATATACGATCATTCTCCCTTCTCTCCTCAACTATTATCGAGCACGCCAATCATATCTATGGTATAAAGCATTTTGTTATACCACGCAGAGACTAGTATCCTGCGCCATTAAGCTATCGGCCAATTCTCAACAACTGCTACATCGAGCCCGTTGTATTATCTCTATCTGGGCTCGGGTATTTTATATTGCGGAACAAATGGTTCGTTATGGGTTTGTGGTAAATCTCCTTATTCTATAAACACCTGCAGTTTATAGCTAACTCTTAGTAGACTAGTGTAATGATTGCTGCAACACTCATAATTCTTTTTCCATGGATATATTCCCGATGGAATTATTTCCTAGCCCACTCTATCCTCTCCCGGGTTTGCCAGCTAATGGATCTAATCTCGGATTTTTCTGCCTAGTTATTAAGGAGTACACCTTTTAGTTCCGCGTTCTTGGCCCTTTCTACCTCTAGTATTTGTAATAATTCATTGAATGATTTCTCGCGAGTTCCATATATGAATACCTAGGTGTTACACAGAGCTATGGAATAAGGATGGATTAAATATAGCTGAAATATTATAGCACGTTTCGTTAAACACTAAAAGTATCTAGGGGTTGATATATTCTCAGTCTCTTAGTCTTTCCTTGCTTGGTTTTACAGAAATGCATTTTATATTACCGTCAGAGTATCACGGCTCAGGCGTTACGCAGGTTGAATCAGAACGACGTCATCGGTAAACGGCCAGTGATACACTCGGCCCCGGACATAGCAATATCGGGACCTCGCGATATTCGCCACCGGCAGGTCTCAGCAAGCAAACAAGAGTAAAGCGTCAAGAGGCAAACCGTTTATTATTCAAACATTCTCTGGAGACTCCCAAAAATCTAAGAAGCCAGAAAGCCAGGAAGCGAGGAATTCGCCTCAGTGAAATACATATTTAGTATGTATAACGCTGGTTGTATGGGTGAATGGGCGATTCGCTAGGGCAGTGTAGAAAAATGAATGGTGGCGCCATACTTTACCCCTGTTCATCCGTAAGCGCTCCGGTGTCAGAGCCTATCTCAATCTTCCCCGTCCGCACTTTTGCTCGGCCCATCAGCATTGAGTCCAAATCCACTATAGTGCCCTTTAAGGGGAGCTTTCGCGACGAGTGGATAACGTACACATTTTCGCCGCAAGAAAGCTCCTTTGCCGTTAAAAAGCCCTGGATCGTTTTGTACATACCCCAACTCACTGAAAAACAAATATGTATATCCGATACCTATCGGAGCGCGCTAATGATCGGTACGATTGTGGCGTCTCTACGGGACACAACGGAACGGCAAATCAATGCCTATAAGCCCAAGATACAGCAAAGAGCGAAAATAGGCCTAATATCGATGAATGATGATGATAACTAGGGAAACAGGCCATATCTGGCCTCTATATATATGGGGGAAGGCGTAGCGTACGTACGAGCCGTAATCAAACAGATCTGCAGGGGGGGGCGTGGCGTTGGCCTGATACTGCCAAGACGCCGTACACACGAAGATTCTGACACATTGCCACCTAGGCTATGGCCAATGAAAATAGTCGGACGGTTGATTCCGTTGCGAAAGTCGTGTACGCTGTGTGCGAATTCGTTGCCACAAACCTGCAGGCGAGTTTTCGAGGCGTCCATGTGCCATTTAGAGTCGTAGTTATACACCATAATCCTCGACCTTGGCACAACCTCGGGGAGCATGTCTGAGTCCTTTAGCCAGTTGACATATCGGGCTTTGTCCTTATAGGTCCAGGACCAGTCCACGTTGGAGCCGAGACCGTGCACAGCAATGATGCTGCAGTTTTGATTAGATACATTTTGCTTCTCAGAGCGTGGAAGACTTACTCTATTTCGACATCCCTATCTTCACCGTTTGGGTCAGGGTACAGAACCTCAAGCGGTTGTCGATTAGGAGACACCTATGGCTACGTCAACACGGCACATGCCTAATCGTCAAATTTGTCACGGACTCGATTTTTAAGTGGCGACTCTCGTGCCGGCGAGTGGGCGAGTTTGTATTGAAGCAATAGATAGGCTAGAATGGCAACTCCACCCAGGACGATAAGCTGGCCGGTGTCAACTCGATCCATTGCCGCAGCCTCTCAAGGGCATGCCAAAGCCAAAGAGCGAAGGTATACGGTCCGCTCAAGGCTAACGCGGTCGATGCTTATTAGCACTAAGGAAGAGTTCCTCGGTCAAACAAAAGGTTTGATATTATATTCCTTTCCTGACGGTTGCAAACTGACGAAGCTGTGTCGGCTCAACCTCATGCTAACTAAGCATTGATAGCCAATCGTTACCACCTCTGGTATCAAGGCTTCCACACAGACGTCCTCGTGACTGGCACTGGCTGGAGCCGTCTTGAAGACATAATGTTTAAGTAGGCTCTATCTATGAGTACTTATAACCTTACAACGCTAGCTGGTCAAATCGTGTCCAGTCCGGTGGTACGAAGGATTCACCGTTATCCCGTATAATTGCGTTGTCGAAGCCTAAGAAATATGGAACACCGATACAACGGAGTAACTAACTATTCATGACCTATTTATTACGCCTGGCATGCTAAGCTAACTTCTGTACGCAGCCGCCCTTCTCAATTCAGCTTCTGAGGGGCAACGGTGACAACCTGTCTCAACCCAGCAAGGGCCAACTCCTATCAACTTTTCCTGCGTCGTACCGCACAAGCATCGATGACCTGGCCGCCCCGAGTTGCTATGATATGGCATGCGTTGAAAATGAGCTTGACCTACGGAGACTGAACAAGGTTTTTGACTGGCTATGGATCGTGGGTCGGCCCATGCCTCCCCGCCCGCTCCATCACCAGCTGCTGCTTAGCCGAGAGGTCTTCATCACAGAACAGATGGACATGCATCTTGTCTGGACAGAGGGCCGGGTCTTCCTCAAACCCATACCGCGCTTCCTGCTGGAGCCACATTTCTGGACTGAATATCTTTCCTGCAGAGAGTATTGCGAATGTTCTTCTAAGGATGAAGCCAGCTCGCTGGGAAGTGCGCAGGAGTGCACACGTCGAAAGCTGTGGAAGTCTGCGCTCGGCTTCCTGTTCTCGTACGCCGCGCTGGTCACCCACGAAAGCGATTTCCATATTGCAAAAGACAAGCACCTGCTGCCGGCAGAGGGGACAATAACATGGCAGGGGTGGAGGACGTTCGTCGAACAACTTGACACGGAGAACATCTACCGGGAGATTAACCCGCGATTTATCTACGGAGAGCTTCGGCTAAGCCGTCTGAATAAGATATATAGGCTATCCCAGCGCCCGTTTCTGCGTGGCTACATGTCACACTGGCACCAGTATAGAACCTTCTTTCAGGACAACTTCACATGGCTGGCGTCTGCGATGGTTTACATTGCTATTGTCCTCACTGCCATGCAGGTTGGGCTGGCGACAAAGTCTCTTACCGAGAACAATGCGTTCCAATTGGCCTCATACGGGTTCACCATCTTTTCAATTTTGGGTCCTCTAGTTACCGCGGGCTTCATCCTCCTTGCTTTTTGCTATAATTTCATGGATAATTTGGTGGTGGCGGTAGCTTACAGGAAGAAACGGGTTGGCTATGTCCAGGCTAGGTCGGCAGAATCGTTAAATGCTTAATAAATCATGGTATAGCCCATATAGCAAGCACCCCGTCCAACCCTGCCTATATGTTTTCCGAATTACACATGCCAGTGGAGAACAGCGGCAGTTCAAACGAGGTCCCAGATCTTTTTTGATAATTCTCCAGTGCATCGTTCAATAGCCGATGTCGTAGTCGCCTTCGCTCCAAATGAGTCTACAGTTTATTTGGATGCGTTAGCCCTGAGTAGAAGTCATGGTTTAACAAAACGGTTTGCTTCCGTGCCTAATGCAAGATCCAAGGCTTTGGTATTTCGAATAGGAAGCTTATATTATGAAGACCATACAAATTATAAGTGAAGCTGAGCTGCGAGGCTGGAAGTGCGTTGGGATCGATATCTAATTAATGGAGGATAGGACTAAAATTGAGTTTATATCGAGCGAAGAGACACTATGGATCGGCCCACACTTTTTCCAAAGCTATAAGTTATCCATATATGGTGCGAGATTACAGCGCCTGGTCATCGCTCAGTATAAACTAGGATGATACGATATAGTACATTTAGTTTACAGGCCATGTTCAGGTACCGCGCCAAGATTGCTTTAACCCTCCTAGGTAAAGCTAAACTTTAGCATGCATATGACGGAATAAACAATTCAAGAGCAACAGCTTAGGGGTGAATCCGGTATTGCAAGCTACTGTAATATCGAGATGTCCTGCTGGAAGATCTGTCTCATCGCCCTATCTTTGGCCCCTCGGCCCATGAACATCGTCAGGCTCGGGAATTTGGTGTGGGGGCTGCCCAGACCTTCGCAGATCCGGCAGAGACGTCCATCGTACCGGAGACGTGGATGGTTGCCAGTCCGTACCAGTTTGAACCATGCGCAGTCCTCCGTGGAACGCATCGTTGCGGAGAGTCTAAAATTTAAAGTATAACATATGAATTTTGAGGATTGCAAGCGGCTGGCAAAGCGATATATACGCTGGTACTAATCCCCAATCCGACGTTTTCGTTAAGAAAGGAGCCCGGGTAACCGTGGCCGTCGGACGCACATGCTGTGGCTCTGATATTCTCTCTAGCCCATCCCCCGAGCTCCGGAGTAGGCATATGCCTTCGAAGTACAAAGAAACAGGTACATATGAAGAACAGTCAGCGAGGCCTGCTAGTGTATATACCTGATATTAGAATTGCTTGCTACCCAGCTCTGCCTTCTACTACGTTATCGCTCGACTGCATTTGTTGGCATTTCGGGCTGTGGGAAGTGACTACCATTGATTGCTATGTATTGCGAGCTACGGGCCTTGGATAGGCAGGAGTTCTTATCAGAGTATTTCCCGGGTCTCTTCCTTCCGCTCTATCTATGACTCAACTGTGAATCGCGTTACTGTACTGGTTAGTAGTAGTCGTCGTCATCCTCCGCACCATCTCCCATGCTCCCCTCTGACTGCATATCCTGCTCGCTGTTGCTGCCCCAGTGCTGGCTGCCTTCAATGAGGCCGACCCTCCTCTCCAGGATATCGTTCCGCTCTTTTGCCTCCACCATCTTCTGCTGTAGTATCTGGCACTGGTCGCGTAGCTCGCTCATCTGAGACCGAAGCTTCACCAGCTCCTCTTCACAGACTGCTCCTTTGACTGCGCTACTGATCATTTCTACGCTGCTGGTCGCCTCGAGAAGGCGTCGGGTTTCTTTCCTCCAGGGACACTCCACCTCACAGGCGGAGCAGTTCTGGATAATGTTAGCGTGATACCGCCAAGGCGTCAGATGCATCGTGTTCATAGAGTACCTTTGGCAACTCGGACGACATTGATATGAGAAATAAGATGGAAAGATGGGCTCTTGCAAGTCGGAAGCCAATGTTCATAGAAAGCCGATGGCGACAACAAATAATAACTATTGCACTGGATGGGCAAGCAGCGGGGGTTGTCGGAAGCTCAATATATTTTCTCTTATGAAATGAGGCGCCAGTCTTGATGGGACCCAAAGCTCTAGATAAGCTGCACCGGAGCCCTGCCCCCTTGGATGGCCGTACCTTTCTTAAGACCGGGCAATCCAGCCAGCCGCCCCAGGCCATGGCTCCCTTGAGGACCGCACCTCGAAGGGGCGCCAGACCCGGCAATCCGGTCAGTCGCCCCAGGCCTTGGTTCCCTTGAGGACCGTACCTCGAAGGGGCGTTAGACCCAGCAACCCGGCCAGTCGCCGCCCTGTCTCACTTGAGGAGGGAATTTCCCGTGTTGGTGCCCAGGCGGAGGCGCGACGCGGTCGCGTTGTACACCTGGGTGCGAAAGTCATCTACTTCGGTAGCCACTGGGTTTATATCAGCTATGTGAGGCCCTTCATTACAATCACCTGGCTAGGCATATAAAGGATTGCTGGGACGGAAGGGCCAGTTGCTATAACGAAGCTGCATTGCTAAGTCTCCGCCCCAACTCCGCCCTGATGCCTGTGCCGAACCGCCCGGGCACGCCGTGTTCGATCGACGACCTCATCGAACAGCAAGGGGGAATATCCTCTGCCATCGGCTTCCGCTCAAGCAGAGTCCAGCAGTCTAAGAAGGACGACTGCCGGGACAGGGAGCTCTACTTTAAGGGCAGGAAGAATTGGAAGAAGGGCAGCTGGACCGAGGAATCCCTACGTGCTGACAATGCGTATTTTCGCGTGCGGCTCCTTTCCGTGGTTCGCGAGTTGACGTACCTGCGGGCTGAGAATGCATACTTACTTGGGCTCCGAAAGGCCTCCATGTCGCTATATTCCAGAAATATAGACTCCGTTATCTCCCAGGATGCATGCCTCGACGCCCTCGGTGACGCACTCCGTTCGATATTCGACACATCCGGCCCCGGGACAAGCGAAAGGGCCCGGCAGGACATAGATCAGATGGCCGACCAGTTTCGCAAAGCTCTGATCGACTGCCGCGCATTCAGCGCCGCAATCAGGGAGTCGTCGGTGGAGTTTGCCAGCCAGACACGGCTGCTTGAAGAGGACTGGGTAAAATGCGTTGAGAATAAAATCTAGAGCCCGCACATGTATGCCCTTGTTGTGCTTCTGATGAGCCTGGGAGCAGATTTGTGAGAGATTTTCATGTGTTAGAGCTTGTACGAGTTCCCAGAGCTGTTCCTCTAGCCGATAAACAGCATCCCACATCCGGCTAGCGCCTCCTGTTGATATCCTCAAAACCCCGTGCTACTCCGTATATTGTTCCCTTTTATGTAAAAAGCCCAGAAATCCAGTAGTTTACATCCATTGCGGGTTATTAAATTATAATACGTCCGATGACACCCCAAGTCTTGCTAGCTACTGTTTTGTAGATTTCTATCTACGATATACATATATTATATCAGGTTGCATTCTTATCCCTGGTATCCAAGTTTCATACTCCACCTCACACACTCACCCAGCTACAAAGTTCCTCTATTTCTTATAGCTTGGGGTGTCGCGTCGGTGGATTCCTCATCAGATCCGTCGACAGTTAGCCACGTTAAAACCTGGATTATCTGTTTTGAGGCCCTGGCATAGGAGCACAAAAACATCCTCATCGGAACCTTCCCAGCCAGTGCAGACAACCGGAGTAGTTTCCAGTTCTGGCATATTGCTTGGGTTGATAGTCGTGGATGGCGGGGCTGTGAGGCTAGTCGAGCTCACGGGTGGTGCGCCACGGTTTATATTGGCCGACACGTCCGAAATAGATGACCTAACAAGAGTGGGCGTTGGGGCTGCGAGGCTGGTTGAATTCGTGGGCGGGGAACCTTTGGACACCTTCGCCAAAGTGACCAGGGAGTCGGTGGCGGTTGGGATACTGGTAATAGATGTTGTGGTAATTCGATCCAGGGAGCCTGTTGAGCTTGAGGAAGAGCTTATCCGGTCTCCCGCATTGGACAGGGATATACATGCGGGGTTGTTGCGGTCTGCTCTGAACGCCCCAGATGGCCTCCAGAGCAGGCCAAAGAAGATCAGTGATACAGTAGGTTGCGATATTGGCTTGCCCTTGCACACTCCCATACTCTTTCTCAGCTATATATGCCAAGACACTCTTATCTGGATACAGTTAGATCTCACTTACTCCTGTTTCGAATACTTTACTCTGTATGGTACTGAACCAGTAAAATGACCAGGGCGTTGTACTGCTCCTATCTGAGTGATACGTACATAGCTAGAAGATTCTATGGGAATAGCCCTACTAAGACGGGTTCCTAGAGATCTGTCAACCTTTCCTCGCACTCAATCGAGAACTGACCTCCAAAGCCTATCTGCCAACGCTGCAGGATATTTGTGCAAACTTATTAAACAGGTAGTTATCGAAATTGATAATCTATAAACTACCACTTTGCATCTCATAGTTGCTACTACTTATATAAAGTCGCTAACGCTATCCGAAGTCAAGCGGGATTGATAGGGTATATACTGATATTTGCCTTGATTAATCTTGGACTGCGCCATGTTACATCGTGAAATACTATGACTAAACTTTGACTGCGAAGCCCGCATACAGTGGCTCACAAGGATGGACCCTTTTCAGATAGAATTTATTGACTGCTATCTCTGAAAAGACTTTAATACCCTTATAGCCTCCAACTTTGCCTCTGACCTTTCCATTAATATAATAAATAGCGAGCGAGCGAGTTGCATGAAAATTCCTAATCGGAATCATTCCCTTTCTCTTTCGGCATAATTGTGTAGTTTCCGCTTATTTGCGCGACTTAGGAGCCCCCGAGAGAGCCAGTCATGGCAGATTGACCGAGATAACCACCTTCTACTATTAGCATACGAAGATATATCAATAGGACGAGGATATGTCCATACCTGTCTCTTCGGTTTTAGGGATGTCAACTATAACAGAACCACTATCCGCAAGCTCTGCCTTGGGCTCGTGGAATGCTTTCCATGCCTGGACCTTGGTGTCCTCGGCTAGTATATTCTGCGTACTAACTTCTGTAAAGAAGTTGCTAGAAGGTTGGGTAGGCATAATGGCGAGTAATCGGTGGCTTGATTACACTAACTATGGCTTAAGCTTGATTCTGTTTAGCTGTTAGCTATTGTAAATCAGCTCAAGCTTGGAATGCCTACTTGAAAAATAGGTAATAGGTGCTGCTTTTCCTTACTCTGGAGCCGATAATTGAGGTCCACCCACAGCCTCTTATTTATATCCAGCTTACGGACCGTCCGCGCGCCGAACCGACTATTTCAGTACTCCTTATCAGAACTATCCTTGGTTGCTGCATTAGACTGTTGCTACATCCGCGTTTCGTTACATTATAATGTTACAGTATCAGATGCTGCGGCATCGAGGAGCTGCTATTTAATTAGGTAAAAGGCCGGGGAGCATTCCTAGGTGCATCTTTAGATGCGGTGAGACCACGCAACTCCTTTCCTTGGCTGTGGTTTCCCCTCATCGGCTATAATACCATGTCTGCTCAGAGAAGTAGCGGCATAGGTGAGAAGATCCTCCGGTCTTCCCTGTTATTTCAGAATCAATTTTTAGAATGACCCGTCCCTTATAACCACACGATATCTTGATTATATCAAGTCGACACCAGCCTTTGAACATCTTCTATATCCAACCCCAAGCCGCGCCAAAATGCCTGATATATTTGCGAACATTGAACACTTGGCTGATCTTCCGCTTTACAAAGTTGAAAAGCCATATGGAGCACTCCTCAGCAACGGCAGCGTCTACTTTTCCCAGGGCCATTGACTTGATAATATTGAGTTCACGGAATACAGGCGTAAAGTCGTCGATGTTGGCAACAACCCCGCCTACACGTTACTAAAGAATGGGTTTCAAATCTTTAAGCAGGAAAGCGATACCATGTGGGACGTGAGTATAATTGATTTGGCACGTCGTCACCGCGAAGAGATCGCCAAGTGGTTAAAAGGGCGGCTTGACGCTGTTTTCATTCATACGTATGATCTGAGAACCAGGTTGAATGACGAAGCGCCGAGGGATCAAGTCGACGTACTGAGTCCCTTGGTTGTGGAGCCAAGGGCCCGAGGTGCCCACAATGGTTTGTTGAAACACTCCCTAGCTATTACAACACGCACTGCTAACTAGCCCACTAGATGTCACATTGAAATCTGGCCCAGATATCTTCTTTAGCCACCTAATTGAAGGCTAAGAGGACTATCTGAAGCCAGGATATTGGGTTCGAATCATAAAGTGAGTCTTTCTTGATCAGGATTGTTATATCCCAGGCGCTAATAAAGACAGCACCTGGCGCCCTCTTTAGCCTGTCTATAAAGATAACCCTCTTGTATTCTGTGACACAAGTACTATTGATCCTAAAGATCTAATTGCTGTGGATCGCGTGTACCTATATTTGGTGGGAGAAATCTACTATCTGGCTTATAATAAGAATTAGCAGTAGTAAATCTCCTCTAAAGCCAATACTCTGTGATATGAACTGATTTTGCTAGGTGCTGGGTTAAGAACTAAATTCTATCAGATGTATGCTATTCTAAGAGCGTTACCTATAGAAGATTCCTATCTCTAGTCTTAGGCATTGCTAATCCTTGTATTCAGGTCCTTGTCATGACTATATATGACACCCATCCAGGAAACAATGCACGATGTAAGGATTCCTGTATATACTCTTATGCCTATTTGTGCTTACGAGGATATAGACTGCCTATATGTCTCATTTGTAAATGAACGTGCGCCAGCAGACTCTCTACCCCAAATGAGTCTGGAAACTAGGTCAATTGTGATTAGCAGGCTAAAGGACTAGGATAATGAATGCGACGTCACAAGGGTACTGGGATCTAACCAGTGGGGAATAGCCTTGTTTGATTTGCTTTATATGTTGAATGTGATATTCACATATGGGTCATACTTTAAATACATAGTCCTTATAACATAACTAGAGACATTTGCTATTTTGAAGCTATATATAATAGGCTGAGGAAGCTCGCGTTAAGGTGGTCGAGAAGTAGTTCCTTTAGTAGACTATCGTTATGCATCTGGAAATGCGCCACATAGGTCATCATCTAATGTTAACTACACGCTCGGAGAGCTTAAGGGTTTCCCCTACTCTGCACCCGCATAAATAGAAATGTCAACCCCATTTCTGTACTTGGGGTATATAGCATCTCTAAAGAACCATATACAGACATCTTATTACAAGGGAGGTGTGTAATTGTTGGAACTAGCTAGATGATGCATGAGGTTACCCATGCTAGTTACCATTTAATTTTTCTGGTTTGGCAAACTTACGCTGCCCTCCATAGATGCTCTAGGGTGAACGCTGTTATTTCTTGCATACTATAGCCATTAGATAGGTGCATATGTGGCCTAATAGGAAATGCGGGCTTGAGACTGCTCTTACTTGTGCCAATATCCGTGTGATAGGGTATTGTGGGTGGCTAGCTTGCAGCCTTGGCTACTCTCTCTCTAGAGGTTAAGGTTAACGCGATATGCTTGCTGGGCACTAGCTGTTCTTGCTCTTCTGGAATCTAAAAGGCTCTCTTCCGGAGGTGCTCTCTTACTTTACTCTGTACCTATAGTATCCTAGTAGTAACCACCTAAACCCGTTACTATTACTTCGTTGCAATAATTAATAGCCTAGCCTTGGACTATTTTAAGACTTCTAATTGTGTCTAACCAAGCTTTATCAGTCTATAATGTGTTAATAGCTGTGAGTAGAGTCATAATACCTACGACTATCCCGCATAGCCTCTACAGTGTCTGGTTTATAGAAAATGATTCCGGAATAGGCTAAGCGGGCCCCAGCCATAGAGCTATAGCAAAATCAAGGTATAATATACGCTGAAAATAACTAGCACGAGACGAATGCGGAGCTAGATCCCATAGGTCAGGATGCCAATGAGCGGAATTATCCCCATGGTATGAAGCTTGCATTCCCTCATATCAAGAGCCAGTGAGTTTTAAATCATCTGGTGACAATTTACATTATTAGCCTTGGGCCTATGGAGCTTACAGGAGCTTTGGATAGTGGTAGGTATACAGTATACAGGAAAGAGTAGGAACAACCTTCTCACATTGAATCTCTTTTCATACCATAACCTAGCAAAATCATATAGATATCGTACTTTAGGTTAGCTCAGAGCTCGACACCTTCTTAATTGATCTCCACTCCATTCCCATCGAGGAAATCAATGCTGCAGCAGCCAGCGCAACTCCACAATAAATCGTCCTTGTCAAGGCAAAATTGTACACCTTTAACACACCACCCAAGGATTCTGGCCCAACAGTCCCCCGGAAACCTGTTGCTCCTTTGTCGAGCACAAGTTTGGGGTCTAAACCCGGTACAGCATTAACAAGGCCTTCAAGTAACTGGCTCGTGAGCACATTCTGTGCCACAGATAGCCACACTGCGCCACCAAGAATTTGCGCAAAGATCATGATAACAGCCCCAATAGGCACGTCTACGGGCGCGAGAACTGTTTGGGCAGCCGTGTGAGTTTGTTGAATACCAAGGCCGGCGCCAGCGCTGAATATGAGCTGGTACCCTATCCATTGCGTAGTGGACGATGAAACTTGCCATGTTGTTATTAGGGAGGCGCCAGTGACTAGTAAGGCAGCACCTAGGATCATAAAAGGGGTATAGTATCCGAATTTTGCAACGCCGATGCCAGCAATGAGAGAGAAGATCACAGTTCCAAGGGTGGTTGGCAGAATGCGGCTTCCCGAGTCAAATGCTGTAACGCCTTGGATAGCTTGAAACCAGATGGGTATCTAGGGAGCCGTTAGTAGGTGATAAGCAGAAGATAATGAAAAGCACGAACGAAGTATTGAGTGACATTGAGCGCGCCCCCTGCATGGAAGACGTAACAGGCACTGCATGCCACGCTGCGCTGCTTGATAATTCGAGGAGGCACAGTAGCGCTCTCTTGCTTCCAGACTTGGACTATAACAAAGGCCAGCCCGGCCGCTCCTGCTGCTGCTAGTAAAGCGATCGGTGGAGCAGTATTCCATTTGTATAGCGAGCCACCCCATTGAAGAGCGAGAAGCAAGCAAACGATTCCTGGGACCAAAATAGCGGTACCAAGGAGGTCCATCTGACCAAGCTTTTGCTGCCAAGTGGTTGATGGCTTCTTTGCACTGGTCGGTGGATGAAAAAATAATGCCATCGCAAGTAAAGCGGCTCCACCGATTGGCAAATTTATATAAAAACACCAACGCCACGTCATTCTTGTAGTGAACGCTCCACCCAATAAAGGTGCTACGACGGAGGCGACGCCATACATGCCACTGTACGAGCTGACAAATATTGGTCTTCTCGCCAGTGGAAGACAGCTTGCCAGGATACTATCTATACATGAGTTCACGTCCGTTGGAATGGAGGGAATCTTGAGGCTTACATGATGAAGCCGGCATTTATGCCAGCGCTGCCTAAACCTGCGAAGGCACGACCTATAATGAAGGCACTGGAGGTTGAAGAAGTAGCACAGATCAGGGAGCCGACTTCGAAGATGGCAACTGAGACAAGGAAGACATATTTAATGGAGTAAAACGAGAATAGTTTGCCGAATATAAGTTGAAAGGCCGCAAAGGTCATGAAGCTATAATCAGTGAACATGTTTCCTCATCTAAGAGAGGTTTAAATAGTATCAACTTACTACGCAGATCCGTACCACCCAATATCATTTATGGAATGGAAATCATCAGTGATTTTGGGGATTGCAGTTGTGATAATAGTCTCGTCCTGAAAGATTATGGGGTATGTTAGCCTGGTTTTCCTCGCAAAACACTACTCCGATGCTGGGTATACTTACCAGGGCCACCAAGAAGATCGAAGCGGCCAGAGAGCCAACAATCACAGCAAGCTTCATACCATGGGGATAATTCCGCTCATTGGCATCCTGACCTATAGGATCTAGCTCCGCATTCGTCTTGTGCTGGTTATTTTCAGCGTGTATTATGCCTTGATTTTGCTGTAGCTCTATGGCTGGGGCCCGCTTAGCCTGTTCTGGAATCATTTTCTATAAACCAGACACTGTAGAGGCTGTGCGGGATAGTCGTAGGTATTATAACTCTGCTTATAGCCGTTAACACATTGTAGACTGATGAAGCTTGGTTAGATATAATTGGAAGTCTTAAAATAGTCCAAGGCTAGGCTGTTGATTATTGTAACGAAGTGATAGTGATGGGTTTAGATGGTTACTATTAGGATACTATAGATGCAGAGTAAAGTAAGAGAGTACCTCCGGAAGAGAGCCTTTTAGGTTCTAGAAGAGTAAGAACGGCTAGTGCCTAGTAAGCATGTCGCGTTGACCTTAACCCCTGGAGAGAGAGTAGCTAAGGCTGTAAGCTAGCTACCCACAACACCCTGTTATATGGATATTGGCATAAGTAAGAGCAGTTTTAAGCCTGCATTTCCCGTTGGGCCACATATGCACCTGTCTGATGGCTGTAGTATGCAAGAAATAACAGCGTTTACCCTAGAGCATCTGTGGAGGGCAGCGTAAGTTTGCCAAGCTGGAAAAATTGAATGGTAACTAGCATGGGTGACCTTATGCATTATCTAGCTAGTTCCAACAATTATATACCTCCCTTGTAATAAGATGTCTGCATATGGTTCTTTGGAGATGCTATATACCCCAAGTACAGAAACGGGGTTGACATTTCTATTTATGCGGGTGTAGAGTGGGGGAAACCCTTAAGCTCTCCGAGCGTGTAGTTAACATTAGGTGATGGCCTATGTGGCGCATTTCCGGATACACAACGACGGTTTACTAAAGGAACTGCTTCTTGACCACCTTAACGCGAGCTTCCTTGGCCTATTATATACGGCTTCAAAATAGTAAATGTCTCTAGTTATGTTATAAGGACTATGTATTTGAAGTATGACTCATGTGTGAATATCACATTCAACATACAAAGCAAATCAAACAAGGCTATTCCCCACTGGTTAGATCCTAGTACCCTTGTGACGTCGCATTCATTATCCTAGTCCTTTAGCCTGCTAATCACAATTGACCTAGTTTCCAGACTCGTTTGGGGTAGAGAGTCTGCTGGCGCATGTTTATTTACAAATGAGACATGTGGGTAGTCTATATCCTCGTAAGCACAGATAGGCATAAGAGTATATGCGGGAATCCTTACATCGTGCATCGTTTCCTGGATAGGTGTTATATATAGTCATAACAAGGACCTGAATGCGAGGATTAGCAATGCCTAGGACTAGGGATAGGAATCTTCTATAGGTAACGCTCTTAGAATAGCATACATCTGATAGGGTTTGGTTCTCAACCCAGCACCTAGCAAAATCAGTTCATATTATAGAGTATTGGCTTTAGAGGAGATTTACTACTGCTGATTCTTATTATAAGCCAGATAGTAGATTTCTCCCACTAAATGTGGGTATACGCGATCCGCAGCAATTAGATCTTTAGGATCAATAGTACTTGCGTTATAGAATGCAAGAGGGTTATCTTTGTAGACAGGCTAAAGAGGGCGCTAGGTGCTGTCTTTATTAGCGCCTGGGATATAACAATCCTGATCAAGGAAGACTCACTTTATGATTCGAACCTAATATCCTGGCTTCAGATAGTCCTCTTGACCTTCAATTAGGTGGCTAAAGAAGATATCTGGGCCAGATTTCAATGTGACATCTAGTGGGCTAGTTAGCAGTGCGTGTTGTAATAGCTAGGGAGTGTTTCAACAAACCATTGTGGGCACCTCGGGCCCTTGGCTCCACAACCAAGGGACTCAGTACGTCGACTTGATCCCTCGGCGCTTCGTCATTCAACCTGGTTCTCAGATCATACGTATGAATGAAAACAGCGTCAAGCCGCCCTTTTAACCACTTGGCGATCTCTTCGCGGTGACGACGTGCCAAATCAATTATACTCACGTCCCACATGGTATCGCTTTCCTGCTTAAAGATTTGAAACCCATTCTTTAGTAACGTGTAGGCGGGGTTGTTGCCAACATCGACGACTTTACGCCTGTATTCCGTGAACTCAATATTATCAAGTCAATGGCCCTGGGAAAAGTAGACGCTGCCGTTGCTGAGGAGTGCTCCATATGGCTTTTCAACTTTGTAAAGCGGAAGATCAGCCAAGTGTTCAATGTTCGCAAATATATCAGGCATTTTGGCGCGGCTTGGGGTTGGATATAGAAGATGTTCAAAGGCTGGTGTCGACTTGATATAATCAAGATATCGTGTGGTTATAAGGGACGGGTCATTCTAAAAATTGATTCTGAAATAACAGGGAAGACCGGAGGATCTTCTCACCTATGCCGCTACTTCTCTGAGCAGACATGGTATTATAGCCGATGAGGGGAAACCACAGCCAAGGAAAGGAGTTGCGTGGTCTCACCGCATCTAAAGATGCACCTAGGAATGCTCCCCGGCCTTTTACCTAATTAAATAGCAGCTCCTCGATGCCGCAGCATCTGATACTGTAACATTATAATGTAACGAAACGCGGATGTAGCAACAGTCTAATGCAGCAACCAAGGATAGTTCTGATAAGGAGTACTGAAATAGTCGGTTCGGCGCGCGGACGGTCCGTAAGCTGGATATAAATAAGAGGCTGTGGGTGGACCTCAATTATCGGCTCCAGAGTAAGGAAAAGCAGCACCTATTACCTATTTTTCAAGTAGGCATTCCAAGCTTGAGCTGATTTACAATAGCTAACAGCTAAACAGAATCAAGCTTAAGCCATAGTTAGTGTAATCAAGCCACCGATTACTCGCCATTATGCCTACCCAACCTTCTAGCAACTTCTTTACAGAAGTTAGTACGCAGAATATACTAGCCGAGGACACCAAGGTCCAGGCATGGAAAGCATTCCACGAGCCCAAGGCAGAGCTTGCGGATAGTGGTTCTGTTATAGTTGACATCCCTAAAACCGAAGAGACAGGTATGGACATATCCTCGTCCTATTGATATATCTTCGTATGCTAATAGTAGAAGGTGGTTATCTCGGTCAATCTGCCATGACTGGCTCTCTCGGGGGCTCCTAAGTCGCGCAAATAAGCGGAAACTACACAATTATGCCGAAAGAGAAAGGGAATGATTCCGATTAGGAATTTTCATGCAACTCGCTCGCTCGCTATTTATTATATTAATGGAAAGGTCAGAGGCAAAGTTGGAGGCTATAAGGGTATTAAAGTCTTTTCAGAGATAGCAGTCAATAAATTCTATCTGAAAAGGGTCCATCCTTGTGAGCCACTGTATGCGGGCTTCGCAGTCAAAGTTTAGTCATAGTATTTCACGATGTAACATGGCGCAGTCCAAGATTAATCAAGGCAAATATCAGTATATACCCTATCGATCCCGCTTGACTTCGGATAGCGTTAGCGACTTTATATAAGTAGCAGCAACTGTGAGATGCGAAGTGGTAGTTTATAGATTATCAATTTCGATAACTACCTGTTTAATAAGTTTGCATGAATATCCTGCAGCGTTGGCAGACAGGCTCTAGAGGTCAGTTCTCGATTAAGTGCAAGGAAAGGTTGACAGATCTCCAGGAACCCGTCTTGGCAGGGCCATTCCTATAGAATCTTCTAGCTATATACGTATTACTCAGATAGGAGCAGTACAACGCCCTGGTCATTTTACTGGTTCAGTACTATACAGAGTAAAGTATTCGAAACAGGAGTAAGTGAGATCTAACTGTATCCAGATAAGAGTGTCTTGGCATATATAGCTGAGAAAGAGTATGGGAGTGTGCAAGGGCAAGCCAATATCGCAACCTACTGTAAGAAGCGCTTCATCGCAAGACGGTAAGAATATATCAGCTTTGTATGTATGGCTAGTGGGTGCATTTAAAGGTGAACAGGAGAGAAGGAAAGAATACGGAAACTTATAGGTTTCATCGAAGGCCACCTGCCCGGCCAGGCTCCTAGATTCAGGGGCGGAGTGGGCGATAGTTGACAGGTTGGCCAGCGCATAGAGCGTTGCAACTATCCCTGCATGTAAAACACTCTTCAGAAGGGGACGACGACTCAAGGTTCAGATTAGAACGCCCGACTCGATTGGGAGAGAGTAAAACTATCTCAGGCCGACACAGAATAGCCAGAAGCCGCGAGCTGAAGACCTGGAAGTCGATGGCACTGTGTTTCCGACGGAGCGCGACCGGCGGGGAGTCCTATCCGCAAAATAATTTTCCGAAGATGTTGAAATCGTTTAGGATAGTTAAGGTTGTGGTGCTGCCTGAAAGCTAAGTAGTTATGTGACAAGCCTTTTGATGTTTGTTTCAAAAAGAGTTCACGGCAAGCCCCACAGTCATCATATGGAACTACTTACCTTTACTATTGACAAATATAAATTCCTATTTTATAATCGGATATAGCAACCTAAGCCCATTGTGATACTGTCCTATCCTTCGGCATACGATACCGCTTCTGGATAAATATACCGATTAAATTTCGACTAAAAATATGTCAAATGAGAAGGTCGATGATATTTGAGCTCTATGTACGGTGGATACTAAATACGGCGTTGCGAGCGATGAGCTGACCAATACACCCAAATTGACACAATATCATTAGGTCTAATATCGCAAGTGCCCTCTTTATAAAAATCCTGAGATAGATTCCGATATTCTTTCCTGAATAACTGGTAAATGCGCCCGGACAACATCTTGATATCACTAGATGGCAACATAGCCCTGGTAAGGTCCTCTTCTCACTCTGTTTACCGGGGACCAGGATAATTGCAGTCAGACTTCCCCTGGCAGCACTTGTGGAAGGCCTTGAGTTTCTCGGCGATGGAGTGGGCAACACAGTCGTCGCCGTTCATGGTGCCGCCGAGCTCCGAGCAACATTTTTCGGTGAACGTCACAAGGCGCGGGCATTCATCATCGGCCGGGGGGGTTTTGATATCCGCCTCGCACTTACAGGCAATTGCCGAAGATGAGAGCATGGCAGTAACGACGAAGATGGCGAACTTGAGTAACTGCATTTTGAGAGCTTTGGAGAGGAAAATCTCTTTGAGTGTTTCTGGAGCTGTCTCGGAACTGTCCGTTGACGAGAAAGATGGAGGTGGGCAGATAAAATATATTTTATACATACATACCTCTGAGATACGAGATATTTGATTGATTTGATTGGTCAGGTGGGTCTGGAGCAATCTATGAGATTTCAATCTATCAAGCACTGATCATCTAAATACACGATATTGAGCTCCTATTTATGTTCCTCATACGGCCATGTATCTTGCCATCGCGGAGATGCCAGCTACAGCTGAAACAGGCGTTAAAACGCCGGGCGTAGCATTTGTTCGATGATGGAGAGCTGACACTGATATTTAATGAAACGGCGTAGTTGACTAACGTGTTTCGTACGATCAGGCAGTATTACACCGAATCTCCGTTCAACAATACCACACGTGTGCATGTACATATCCGTCAACATATTAGTATATATCTCTGCTGCTGCCGTTTGGCCCGGTATAAATGCGACACGAACACATATCACTACAAAGCGCAAATATGCATTACTCCCAGCGTGAGTCGAGTAGATCGGCCAACGGCTATTACAGGCCAGCTGTGGCACAGCTTAAAAAAATACACTTATTGGACAGACTTTCATAACGGAACAACATCACGGGTCATGTGATAGTTAAAAAGGGCGTGGTTGCCAAGCATCACAAAGAGACAAAGCCGCCCTACCTCGATAGCCTATCAAGCCAAGTGTATATTTGTTAGATGCTTTCAAAATTATAGCTTCCGTATCTTTGATTACAGTTCAAGTACTGATGGGTTGCTGGAAGATTCTATGCAAAATAAGCAGCTGTGGCCGGACCGTCATGTGCTAACTTCAAGAGATACCCAAACTCTATTTTCCGCGCTCTCCGAATACTTAAGGGGCGTTGGACTAGGCCATCCGGCCAGTCGCCCCAGGCACTGTCTCACTTGGGAGGGAATTCCCCGTGTCGGCGCTCAGGTAGAGGCGTGGTCGCGTTATATATCCGAGTCCGAAAGTCGTATAATATATACAAGTGCGATCCGGAGCCGAAAGAGTTCAGTACCTGAAGATCGCCCGGAAATAATGGACCTTGCAAGTTTACTGGAAGTCATACTGTATGTATATACCCTGGAGGTGTCAGACCCGACGGTCTGGTCAGTCATCCCAGGCCTTGGCACCCTTGAGGACCACACCTTGAAGGGGCGTTAGACACGGCAGTCCCGCCAGCCGTCCTGGGTCAGTTTCGGGCGGAGGTAGTACCCGGGTATCTATGAATGCCTCCGAGATATGCAATCAACCTGCAAACCCAGCCAACCTCCCGCTTTTGTGAAGCGGATAACTGCAGAGTTAAGGATAGAACCGTGCGACTCAGTTGGATACGCCTCCCTTCTCTTTGTTCTTTCCCTACGGCCAATTCTATCTACTCTCGACCTCTGCGTAACTGCGCGGATAGCTGCAGGCGACAGGCCTCCCTCACCGCAGATTGGCCAGGTTCGTTTGCTAGATACCACTTGCGCGCTCGCCTTCATCTTATAGCCATTTTGCACCCGGTTACATGTCTTCCGCAAAGAGAGGTCGGCTCTCGCCCAACAGCGGGCACCTCGTTCAGTTGTTCGGATTTACAGAAATAACAAGAAGGCGCCATTTCGCAAAGCGATAAAGTGCCCCGGGGTCTCTGGCATATGCCTCGCGGAGGGGTCCTCAAGTGCCAGCGCTGTAGACGGGATCACAAGAAGGTGAGAGTCTCATAGCACATATAAACTCACGAAGGGCCAGCGCTGACGGCCCAGTGCACGCCCAGGAGCAGAGAGTGGCCCGGGAGAAGGTGTAACCGTTGTGAGGCTTACGATCACAAGTGCTCCGAAAACTCGACAGCGCGGAGCCCGTGCGAAGTCGACATGGACTCCCGACAGTCCACAGGCGATCCAGCGGATAGATTTCGTTTCTCAGGCAATGGCCAGGGCCTCCCGCCACCTCTGGAGGCAGGGCATACCCCCACCACAAGAATTCCTTCCTCAGGATTATTCGACTACCTTAGGAATGTCGACTGGCCCAACGTAACATGCTGCCCCCGGGCTTCGTTTGCCTCCAGCCCTTATGCAGTGTTTCAAATTCCTATATTTCCTTCGGACTCTCCCCTCGGACAGCGGCTGACGTTCCTCGAGGCTTTCAATCAAAGCCAGGGTTTTATACAAGGTCCTTCATCGGCCTTTCCAGCTACCGATCTTCTAGATCTCTCGATAAACCTTCTGGTCCGCCGAGTGCTGAGTGACCCTCGCGTCGCGCAGACTTATACATTCGAGGAGCTCACCGCTATTTATGCGCCATACGTCCGCTACGGATATTACTGGAAGGTGTTCAAGAACTTGCTCCAGACGGATGAGGTGCTGCTCATTAACCCCTCATACTCTTTCGATGCTGGCGATTCCGGCGTCACATTCGAGAGCGCCCAGCTGGTTTGGCTGTGCCCTGAAGTCGGTCTAAAACAGCTCTGCCAAAGGCTCTCGGGCCTCACCCGGATGATACTCGACCTGGCGCGAACGGATCCGCGTTCGGAGGAGCGGAAGTTCCTCGCAGCGTCGATAAGCCTCCGCGTCAGGCAGGTTCTTGGCACCCCGCTGGCCGATACTCAGGCATTCCCGTCCAGTATCAGGCCCTTGTTTTCTATGATGCTGACGGATGGTGAAAAGACGCCCCGGGCGCAGTCCGTCGCCCACGACGTGTCTGAAAATGGGCTTTGGCCAACGCGGGTCGAACCCGGCATAGTAAGCTTACGCGACAAGAAAGACCTTCTCCCTCTCCGGGAACGGGGGTGAGGCATGGCTATTTGTCTACTAGATTCACGAAAGACTGCTAATCGCTGTTGCAGATGCTTCCTCCGATCACGATTTCCACCGGCATGGTAAAGAAGGAGGAGGAACTCGGAGCTACTCCAATTTAACAGACTCTCATACAGTACATCTCAATAGGAAGACGGAATCCAGCTAGGCCATCATGCCTCCGCTTTATTATATCATCTTAGTACAGAGTAAACGAGAGAGGTATAGACATGGAAACACTCCACAACGAGAACTTCCGCCATATATTTTGTTGGGTAAGGTAGCTTAAGCTCCTCGGGCCGTGGTTAGGAGAGCCTGGGCTTTGACTTCCGGTTTATTACCGGTGGAGTATAACACTCGTCTATAACGACTTCCTTCTCTGCATCCAAGCCCAGCCCGACTCCTCTGGTCGATCCGTAGTCCGGGAGCTCGACAAGGGCGATACTTGTAGAGCTCTTTGTCTCGGCGGTCGTCGTGCACATATTGTGACAGTGATGGTAGTGATCTACGCGAATGTTGACGGGCTGCCCGAGGGGCGCCACCGCCCCCACCGCGCACCAACACCTCGAGCATATATTTCGGTATGCGGGCAGCGATTCCGGATTCGTGGCCAGCTGCATGCGGTATCGAGAGGACCGGCGCCTCTTGCATAGGCTGCATCTGGGACCCTTGGCCGGCTGAGCTAGTGGCTGGTACAACGGATCGCAGCGCGTAAGCGGCCAGCGTCGTAGGATGCATCTTTGCCCATCAGCGCCATTCATGTTGAAGACTGACCTTTTCACCAGATTAAAGAAGGAATCTCTCGAGAACATGGTCAGGATGTCCCCTTTCTTGTCTTGGACGGAGGCGCTAGTTACGGGCACGAGTTCCACTGCTTAAATAGTTAACCGCCTAGGCGGACCTGCGCTCGGGAAATTAGAGCCTTTTCTTTTTCTCAAATTCGTTTCCCTTTTCCCATTGAAACAGGCGACATGGGCCACCGTGATCGCTGTGGACCCACCAAGTTCCTTTATCTGCATTACATCACCAGGTGCGCTCCCGGGCTCGCTCTGATGCCGCACGCCGCCCCTCCTTAATACCCTTTGAACTTTTTATCCCTCTCCTCCCGAGTTTTTGGTCCGCACATCTGCAACATCATCGCCAGACGCTACCCTAGAGAAGCGAAGCTACCTAGGTTTTGCCCACAAAAGGAACGTTGTCTAACATGGTGCTCAGTTTGTAGCGCCAGAAGAGTCGGCGGTACGTGGCGGCATCAAAGTCGCCTTTGAAAGCTCGACTCGTCGTCGAACTGGGCCTATAAGATACCGATCCGGAGGGTTTTGTTGGGGCTAGTCATCTCAGTACCCTACCTGCATAGATGATCCGCCTGTGATGGTTGCTTGCCCGGGGCCCCCGCTCCAGAACTCTTGACGTGGACGTTTGCTGGTTAACTAGCGCGCCGAGCCACTGCCTGTCGATTCTTTGTCGTATAGACGCCAGTCTGCGTGAGGGCGCTATGGCTCTGAGTAGAAATCCAGGAATCAGCAGTTGGGGCGTGACTTCGCCTTGTCGACTTCGAACCACCTCGAGACGGCGACGAGACTCTCATGATTCCGTGCAAAAAATGCCCAACCCGCGGCGCCCGCATGCTTTTCGGTGAACCGACACACAGAGTGAAGGTCTGTCCCCTTGATGTATAAGGGCTGCCTGCTCACCCCTCCATGTCAGGGATAAAAAGCAATTATCTAGAGAATGAGGACCCGGAATCCAACATAAGTACAGCTACCGGGACTTTGTCTGCGAAATTGTCTATCTTCTCCGATTTGTTTAGATACCTATGGCCCAAAGGGTGCCGTGTCCCTATCGCTCCGCCTAGCATGCCTTCCAAAGGTGTCCCTAAATGCCAGCGTTGTCGAAAAGACCATAAAAAGGTCGGTAGCGCACTCCCCCTTTCGTCCATGCTTCAGCGGCTCCTAACATGGGATCCAGTGCTCACCCCGAAGTAGACAGTGGCCAGGACCAAGGTGCGATCGCTGTGAGAACTATGGCTACCGATGCTCCGAGAGTGTAATGGTGGGCGCGTCTCCGGCCAATATTACTACCACACGATGCGCAAGCCCAGCAATGGAAAACCGCACCAACCCGTACGGCCATCCCGTCGGACTTCTGCCGCCTTGGGCTCTGGAGGTTTGCTCCACACAGGCAGCACATCACGAGTCCCCCTGGCTGGGGTTATTTGGCCATCTTAGAAAAATCGATTGGCTCAACTTGAGGTGTGGTCCGACCCCCGTGACCTCGAGCGATGGTACAGTTTTCCAATGCTCCGGTCGCCCAACCGCGGACATTTCGGTCACCCCGCTCGGGCGGAGGCTGATGCTCTCTTTCGACCGGCTCGCCTCGGTGCGTGGGAAGTGTGCTCTTTACGGCTACTACTGGAATATACTCAGAATTGAGCTCCGCACTGACGAGATCCTGCTGGTCGACCCTGCGTACTCGTTCGACACCGATGCGCCAAAAACCACTTTCGAGACTGCCAGGCAGGTCTGGCTATCGCCCGAACTTGGGCTTCAGCAGTTTTGCCAAAGGCTATCGGGAGTCAGCCGGATGATATTTGGCCTGGCCCACACAGAACAAGCTTCGGAGGAGCGGGTGTTCCTTGCGGCAGAAATATCTGGCCGCATCGAAAAAGTCCTTGGGCCACCGGCGGTTTCTAGTGCACTGCACAGCTTCTCTCCCCCTCTAAAGCCAGAATATGTTTCCTTCCGGGGGCTATGACAGATCTGGGATATGCTCGCCCGCTTATCTGATAGATGGACTTGAGGAGCGAGTTTGACTTTTATGGGTAAACTTCGGCAGCAGACCCAGGTTCTCACGCCTCCAGCCGGACGGGATGGAACACGCTGTATAATCATGGGAATGCCTCCAAGCTGCTGCAAACTTTCCACTATTGAAGAAGAGTACTGCTGACCGAGTGGAAGCCTGAGCTAAGATCCGGCACGAGTGTATGCTTGCCCCCAGTGCCAGTTTAGAGATGTATGTACAAGTTTATCCCATGCTAGGTCATAGTGCATCTTGATATGGCTCCAATCAAAACCTCCAGTAAGCTGTCAAAGGCTTGGCGCGATCCTCTTCGAACCCTAAACGTAGTTAAGGTTACTCTATTTCCTGCAGGACAACCTTGTTTCAACCTCACTTGGGAACGTTGTTTTGCGGATTTTCGCCTCCCAGTAGCATCTGAGTGAAAGGTAACTCCGGCTCTTTTATCTCCTCTAACAAAGATAAAACCCTGTTTGCCGCACCGTGGCATCTGGCGGTGCTCTCGCGGAAGCGTAGTGCCACCGACTTCCAATTCTCCACTTCACACTCCAGCCTCCGGCCACCCTGCGCCTGCTGTTGGATTGTTGCGTTGAGCCTCTGCATCTCCGCCTCAGCCTGAGATGACTTCGCTTTCTCCGAGTCGAGTAGGCGCGTCAGGGTCTGCACCTCTAGGAGCAGGCCGTCGACGACATTCGTTAGGTCGGGGCCCAGTGTGCGCTCGCGGCGATCTGTGGGAGGCTGGTCCGAGCAGTGTCTTTCCGCCTGAGGGGCCGCCATGTGTGTTCTGGGTTCGCCAGATTCTACCAACGTAAGAGCGGAGGCCTCGAAAGATTCCGATGGCAGGCGATCGTAGGTCATGTATAGCCCAGTGTAGACTTACATACGCTTTTGTACTACACACCACCTACCACGCGCGCCAACCCAGAAATTGTGCGCCGTTGCCTAGTCATGGAAACGCGCTGCGTGTCGCCCGGTGGAGCGGGCTGGCGTGGCAGCATATGGCGAGGCGGGGTTCCCCCAGGTCGTTGCGCAGCATAGTACCAAGTACCAATATTATTTTCGTCAGCTATCAAGCCCTACTACAGCTGTGTGTGTGTGTGTGTGTGTGTGTGTCTCATTTACCCTGACCTCTCCCCTGGGGGATATACAGGCTACAACTACTGTACCTATCCTTATGTCTACCTATAGTGAACAATTACATATAGACGAATTTGGAGCCTCATCACGGCCTATAACGTTATCCTTGCTATTAGACGCGGCTTTAGAACCGCTGGGATGCTTCTGTAAAGTCTAGCACTACGTTGACAGTGCTGCCCTGAGCAGAGCCACTTATCTTCTTCCGTCCGTTTCCTTCCCTTCCTCCTAGCATAAGTAATGTATTGTTAAAATTAGTCCCTATCTCTTAATGTAGTTTCCGCCTTAGATCAGCCAGTTTCAGGCAGTCCACTAGGACATACACGACCGTCTCCTTTGCACCATATTCACATTTGTCATCTTCACGGAACCGATATGCTTTGGCGTGTGAGGCCAGCCACGAGTAGCTGGTCCGGAGCTGCGTTAGTAGGTAGGCCCTGTTTCGCGGTAGGGTGCCGTACAGGTGCCTGGTGTGGTTTGCTGGCAGCGAGGTGTCGATGCGCCTAAGATGCGCCCCTTTGCTTAATGACTTCCATTCGCTGACCCATTTAGCCAAGATTCTGTCTTAAATAAATGCTTTCTCTCGCGAGAGCAGGTTCTGAATCGGATGTGATGGCTATATTCCGACTGCTTCTTTGGCCAGACGGTCTGCTGCGTCGTTTCTAGGGTTATCGCAGTGGCCGGGGATCCATCAAAGGCGGATACTGACACTGTACGCCTTTAGATCTTGAGCCGGCTTGGTGATGGCTTATACGATGTGTTGTCCAGTCCTGTTACGTTGGTTTGCCAGTGTTTGCAGGGCGGACTTACTGTTGCTAAGGATGGTTACCGTTCTCTTGTCTTGGGTTTGTTCCTCTCGTCTCTCTTCTAGGTTAATTAGCTCCACGGCCTGCTGTATCCCGATAAGCTCGGCCGCATGGATTGACCAGTGAGTGGCTGACCCAACGCAGACCTTGCGCGATACCTCGACATTTCCCTACCAATCCAGGATCACCGCTGCCACTCCAATCTTGTCTTTCTGTGCTAATGCATCGGAGTATATTAGCTTGGCTACCTCTGTCCTAAGGCGAGCGGCTTCCTCCATTGCCTTAACCTAGTCTGAATCAATGGTTATTGTTTCAAATACCGGCGGATCCCATGGCGCTAGCGGGCTTAGGTCAATTGTTTCGAGTAGGTCAAGCCGGTCTAGGTCCATTGTCTTTATTGTCTCCGCGAGCGGGAATCGAGCGCCGTTACCCACATTGCGACTCCGTCTCCTGCTTCAAGTTAGCACTTTGTAGATAGGGTGGTTGCTTGGGAGCGTGCACAGGCGGGTGATGACGCTCTGAGCCCGTTACTTGAGCCGCAGCCACATCAGTAACACATGCGCCTCGACCTCCAGGGTCTTCGTCGCTACTATCCTGAACGCTAAGAGGGCCCAGATCAGCGCCGCTCTCTGTACTGTTTCGAGCATTCTCAGGTGCGTCTTGTCCTTCAGTAGATTGTGCCACACTGTCGATGCGTAGTCCATGGCAGGAGCCACGCAGGCTTAATACAGCTGCCTCGTCTAGGCCGGCCGGAGGTGCCTCAAGCCTCCCAGCGCGACGTTCACCTTGGTGGCTCGTTTAACCGCCTGTTGCACGTGTTGCTTCCATCACAGCTCCCTGTCGAACACCACTCCCAGGAGTTTGGCTATGGGGGACGGTTGGATAGTAGACCCGTTCATCACGAGCTATCCCTTTTTATGTTCACTCTTCTTCCGCGTGATGTGGATCAGTTCGGTTTTCTCTACCGCGAAGCAGGACCCAGTGCGTCTGGCCCACTCTTTAATCCATGGGATGTCTTCCTCTTGGATCTTCTTGATATTCTCCTCCGCTGACCGTCCGGCTCGCCACCGGAAGTAGTCATCAATGTACGCTGACGCGCCTCCGTGGTAGTCGACCGGCTGGTCCACCAGTTCCGAGTTGAAGAATGTAAAGAGAATCGGGGATAGCGGCGACCCTTGGGCCAGGCCCGCGTTTTCCAGCGGCGCCACCGTCGACTCAAAGTCGTCGAACGAGATGTTCGCCTGGCGGTCTTCCATGAAGCTCCGGATCCAGTGTCTGGCTTTGGTGGGGATCCCTTTCGTCTTGAGCCGAGCGTCTAGGCTTCTCTTGTTCACTCCGTTGAAGGCTCCTTTCAGGTCGAATGCCACCAGGGTGACCACCTTCATTTTCAACCATGCTCGGTCTATCGCGTTAGCCAGCACAAGCAGTGCCTGTTCGGTTGTCCGGCCGGGCCGGCCTCCGAACTGTGTGTCTGGGAGTAGGCCATGTGTTTCTGCATAGTAGGTGAGCCGTCTAGCCACTACTGCCTCGAGGAGCTTTCCAAGCGTGTTCAGGAGCGAGATAGGTCGGTATGCGCCCGGGACCGAATAGTCCGGTTTACCGGGTTTGCGCAGCACCACAATCCTCGCGCGTTTCCACTGTCGAGGGTAGTGGCCCAGTTCGATTGAGGCAACGAAGATGCGCGTGACCACCTTGCCGATGTACTGCCAGAGATGTTTCCACACCAGGGTCGGAATCCCGTCCTCCCCCGGTGCGGTAGTCCCTTTTGCAGCTTTGAGGGCCCTGTGAATCTCCAGCTCCGTGACGGGTTCCCATGGGATCTCCTCTCTCTCAGGCGTGATCGTTCCCTCGTCGGGTTCTGCCATCTCCGGAAAGAAGGTCTTCATGAAGAGCCTTGCCTTGTCCTCGTTGTCCTCGATTTCCTCAGTTCCCACCCTCAGAGATGGGATGTTGCCGTACGACTCCCGGGGGCCCATGTACGATGCCGCTTTCCACAGGTGTCCTTCGCCAGCGCTGTCTAAGAATTCTTTCCAGTGCGTTGCTTTTGCTTTCTCTATCGCTCTGGTCCATGCTCGGCGCTTCTCGCGCATCTCCTTGAACAGGAGCATGGTCTGTGGGTCTCGGGAACCTCTGGCGGCACAGCTTCCTTGCCATCTGCGTCGGGCTCGGTTCGCCTCGCCTTGTTGTGCCTTCAGCTCCGGTGTGAACCATCGTTTAGAGTACGGCGACGGCTTTGCTGTTGGAACGTGTCGGTCAATAGCGTCCATAGTAAATGCGACCAGCTTCTCGACAGCCTATTCAAGCTCCTCTCTTGATCTTATCTCGGGTAGCGGGTCTAGTACCGCCTGTACCGCCTGTCCGATCTTCTCCCAGTTGGCGCGTTCATACGCTCTTTTGGGCTTGGCGTCGGCTGCACGGTCTGGCCGGAGCGACCATTCCGAGTAGGTCGCGCGGTGGTCCGATCCATAGTTGTCGTGGTACAGGTGGCATTTGATCAGTCTCTCACGGGAGTCGGTCACCGTCAGGTCGATGGTGGACGTCTTCCCTGGCCTGCTTAAAGACCAATAGGTCGGTGCTCCCCGGGGGAGGCACCATTGGAGTCTGTTTGCCTGGAAGAAGCTGACCAGTTCCTCTGCGTGTTCTATGAAAGCGTGGTAAACCTCTCTATTGCCCCAGGCTGGGTGGTGTCGATTGAAGTCTCCCGCGAGGATGAGTATAGTTGGTTTATCAGAGCTCTGTCTTGCCTGCCGGATGGTCGACTGGATCTCGTCCAACATTGGCTGTATGGAGACCTCCTCGGCGGATTGATAGAGTCCAAACGGCGGAATGTACACCGAGAAGAGCAGGATCTGGGTGGCGGTAGTCCATATTCTGACGGCTGTGACGTCTGGGTGATTGCATTTCATTTGGCGGTGCACAGACGTGGAGATCCTCCTATTGACATATAATAGGCTTCGTTTCCGCGTGTTCTCCTCTTGGGTGGTTGGTTGGTAGAGGCGCCAGGCGCTGTGGTTGACGTGCGTCTTGTACGCCGTAAGTGGCGGTTCCTGGACGAGCAAAACATCAAGATTCCGTGTTTCCGTGTCGTTGATCAGGGCCTCCATGCCCGCTCTCGATCTGTAGATGTTCAGTTGCAGCAAGCGAAGGTTTGGTTCTGTCATTGCATATGGGGTGGTTCGGCAGGGTTCTGGCAGTTTTTGTCTCCTGTTGGGTGGTCTCCGTTACAGTCCAAGCACTTCGGCCTCACACCCGGGGGACAATTTTGTCTCTCGTGGGTGCCCACACAGTGTCCGCACCTTGCCTTTTCTTTGCATGACCACGCTAGATGGCCAAAACCCTGACATCGGTGGCACCTCTTCCTCCTGACCTGATAGGGCTCGACACTGCCGATGTATCGTTGTCCAACGATGAGGCCGTTGTTGACCATCCACTCCGCTGCCTCCGGCGAGTCGAACCAAATCCCCAGCGAGCCATGGGTGCCTGGCACTTTGTCTCTCTGCCGGAGCCATGCGATCTCCGTGATCCAATGACCTTTGGCGGTCAAATCGTTATCTTCCACGATCTTGGCGATACTCTCCTTCTCCTCCTCCAGCAGTCTGAAGGCATCTGTCAGCGTTCTGTGCACCACAACTCCAAATCTAGGCTTGACGAGTTTGGTATCATTGCCTAGCTCATCGAGCCAGTCGGAGTTAGACCGCGCTACATCCGCGGACCGTTGGTCTTTGAATCTGATCACATATCCCGTTTTCGTTGTTCCAATGCCTGCAACCTGCGCGTCTTTAGTAGCGTTGGCGCTAAGGAGCGCGGATCTGATATGCGTGTTTGCGCTGTCCGTGGGGAGATACCTTCCGAAGCTGTTGATGTCATTACCTCCATCTTCCGGTGCACGACGCGTGCTGATCCGGACGCAGTTTAGTTCTTTTCTGGCCTGGGTGCTCCTGGGTTACTGGACAGCGTTGTTGGGTCCCGGGTTGCCCGCACTTGCTGCGACTTCTGCCCATGTTCTCGCTGGTGGATTCGACAATAGGGCCTCGATTTGTGCCCTAAGGGCATGGATTTCTTCTTAAAGGCTCGAGTTTTGGCTCTTCAACGCCTCCTGCTCAACCTTAAGCTCTAGAATGCCCGCTTTGGTGGCTTTGATAACGTTGGTCTGGTAGCCTATTATATTTTTCAGGTTGTCGATAAGCCTTCTGATCTCCTGGTTTGTGACCCTCCCGCTGCCGTCTCCAGCGGCCACGGGTTCGGGGTTTGAGTTCGGTGCGTTCGTAGCATAAGAGTTATTCCTCTGGCGTTTCTCTCGTCTCGCAGGTTGGCTGGATTGGGTTATTGGTTAAAAGTTTTCGAATGAAAAGATTGAGGCTGTTATTCCCTGCGTGTTTGGTGGTTCACGATCTCCCGTCGGTTCCGCCATCGGGCCGACGTTAGCTCCCGCTCGGCACACAACACCAACTTCCCAACACCAGTTTCTTCGTCAAAATAGAGTATTTTCCACGCAAAACCAGCAACAATGAGTTCCTCTTCTTGTCTCTCTCCGAAGATCTTGGTATACAGTTTGTGTGTGTGTGTGTGTGTGTGTGTGTGTGTTTCATTTACCCTGACCTCTCCCCTGAGGGATATGCAGGTCACAACAACTCTACCTATCCTTATGTCTAGCTACAGTAAACAATTACATGCAGACGAATTTGGAGCCTCGTCACGGCCTATGACGTTATCCTTGCTGTTGGACGCGGCTTTGGAACCTCTGAGACGCTTCTGCAAAGTCCAGCACTGCGTTAACAGTGCTGCGCTGGGCAGAGCCCCTTACCTTCTTCCGTCCGTCTCCTTCCCTTCCCCCCAGCATGAGTGATCAAACGAGCGCTTTATAAAGAAGGCGGCCTCTCTAGAGCTCTATTGGGAATGTGGTTTGCTTATATCATACGATTTTGTGGCTAAGCGCCACAAGAAGGTCACTTGCCTAATCACCTCTCCAGCTAACGTGGAGGTTGACTTCGGAAAAATTGTGAGCCGATCCAGAAGATCAAGAGATGTCACCATCTGCACCAAAGGGACAAAAAGGCCTAATGTCCAATCAGCGTGATTGGATATCTGTGGGATCGAGTCGTATCCTAAACATGGAACATCGATGTTCCGACAAGAGATATAGTTAACGAGTTACCCCGCTCGGCATCAACCCAATTTTCAGCCTTGTCGACGGGCGGCCAGCCGCTAGAAACTTGCCATCAACCCTAACGACCTTCCCTGCGCTTGGGGCGGTTTAATTGTATTCACTTCAACCAACACTCGACCCAAATAACCTGAAAATGCAACGAGAAACGTTCACCAGACATGGCGGAGAATCGAACCCCCTCGATCGAGAAGGGCTCTGCCTTCTATCTCTGGATGGTGGTGGGGTGCGAGGACTATCCTCGCTGTACATCTTGAAAGCTATCATGGATTGGCTAAATGATGGGAGAAATGGCAAAGATCGAAGGAAGCCATGTGAAATTTTTGATCTTATCGGTGGAACCAGCACCGGCGGGTAAGATAGTCTATTTCTAGAGGAAGAACACAACTAATTTGATATCATAGACTTATTGCTATTATGCTTGGGCGGCTCGAGATGGATATAGATGAATGTATTGAGGCATATAGCGATCTCGCAGAGACTGTATTTGGCGAAAAGCTTCACCGACTTCCAATGAATTTCATAGGCCGTACACAAGCGCGATTCGATTCGACCAAGCTTGAGGATGCCATTAAAGCAGTGATTTCCAGAAAAGCCATTCCTGAGACGGAATTGCTCAATGATGGGACAAAGCGAGGGTGTCATGTGTAAGTACCTAAACAATACTCTGAGTGACGGCCACCTAACTAGCCTAGCTTTGTATGTGCTGCCGATCGCTTCACAAAAAAGATCGTACGACTTCGGAGCTATAAACTTCTCGGTCAGCCGAGCATCCCTGCGACGATATTGCAAGCCGCACTTGCGACCTCTGCGGCAACGACATTTTTCAATCCAGTTTCCATCGATGACCGTATCTTCGCTGATGGCGCTTTCGGAGCGAACAATCCAGTCAACGAAGTAGAAGGAGAAGCCTCGAATATTTGGTGTCCTGACACCGCTAATCTGCAACCACTGGTCAAATGTTTCATCTCGATTGGAACTGGAAATCCTGGTATTAAGCCATTCGAGGAGAGTCTTCTAGGATTCCTAAGCAAGACGCTTACACAAATCGCCACCGAGACAGAAAACACCGAAGCAGAGTTTATAGATCGGTGGCGAGGCCATTACGATAGGAAGCGCTACTTTCGCTTCAATGTGGAGCAAGGTCTACAGGACATTGGTATGGACGAGTACAACAGGAAGGGGGCGATCAAATCGGCCACGGGAGGGTATCTCACGCACAGGGATCGAATATTCCGGATAAGGGACTGCATTCAAAATTTGGGATTGAAAGAGAGTGTGTATATCGAGAATTTTTCCTAGGCCAGACATGGAGCTCTAGCTGATCTTTTTATACAGGGATGGGGGGTGATAATCTCAAAAATACAATGGCTGTAAGAGCAGAGAAAACTCATTTTATTTGAAGCTATAATAATCCGACTTAGGAATATGAGAAGAGGCAGATTATAGAAGGCCATGTTGGTACGTTTATATGTGGCTCTACGGACTTGCTACTAATGATGACGTAGTTTCAAACCTACCCGTTCTCGACCAAAAAATTGATCTGGCTAAATTACGGATCGCAAAAGGGGCGGCATTTGATTCCTACGAGAACCAGCATACCGAGTGTCTCCCAGGAACCCGAGTCCAACTTCTTCGCGAGGTTGAAAAGTGGGCGGAATCAGTACAGGCAAAATGTATATTCTGGTTAAATGGCATGGCAGGAACCGGAAAGTCAACAATTTCCCAAACAGTTGCACGCCGTCTCAGAGAGAAAAACTTACTTGGAGCGAGCTTCTTCTTTAAAAGGGGCGAAGAGGACCGAGAGAACGCGAAGAGACTTTTCCCAACACTTACTGAACAACTAGCGAAGAGCCTACCCCAGATGATCCCTGGCATCCGAAAAGAAGTTGAGGATGACCCCAATATCTCGGAAAAGGTGCTTAGGGAGCAGTTTGAGAAACTTCTTCTGCGGCCACTACTTGGAATAAACAAGGCCCCGACTACAACCTTGGTTATCATAATCGACGCGTTGGATGAATGCAAGCAGGAAGATGTACAAGTCATCCTCCGACTCTTGCCACAAGTCCAAAAGTCGAATTCAGTACAACTACGGTTTCTATTGACAAGCAGACCCGACCTATTAATCAGACTAGGTTTCAAGGAAATCGACGGTAATCACCAGGATTTGATTCTCCATGAGATCCCCATGCCAGTGATCGAGCACGACATAGAATTATATTTCAAGGATAAGTTTACGAAACTAAGACAGGAGCGCTCATTTTCATCAGGATGGCCTGGAGATGAGAGTATCAAGATTCTGGTTGAGAGAACAGTGCCGTTATTCATTTCTGCCACAACCCTGTGTCGATTTATTAGCGATGAGAGATGGAACCCAAAAAAACGTCTTAGAGCAGTTCTTGCAGAGCAGGCCACCTATGTGTCTAAGATGGACAGCACATATATGCCAGTGCTAAATCAGCTTCTTACCGGCCAAGATAAATGGGAGTCGCAGCAGTTGGTTCGAGTATTTAAAGAAATAGTCGGTGTTATCATCCTTCTTGCTACTCCGCTCTCAGTTAAGGCCCTCGCTCGACTTCTGAATATGGAAGTAGACGATGTCAACAGTCTATTGGACCTGCTGCACTCTGTTCTTAGCATACGTGACAATTTCGACAACCCCGATACACCAGTTAGGCTGTTACATCTATCGTTTAGGGATTTCCTTCTAGACCCGAAGAAAAGGGATAGCAATCGATTCTGGATCGATGAGAAGGAGGTACATCGATCGCTCACTATCCAATGCCTAAACATTATGGAACACAGTTTGAGGAAGAATATTTGCAACTTGCCGGATGATGGTGCCCAACGCAGAGATATCACCATAAACACCAATGATCACCTACCACCAGAATTGCGATATGCTTGTCGCTATTGGACAAGGCACCTAATACAAAGTCTGAACCCAGTAACTGAGATAGTTCGAGCTTTCGCATTCCTCAAAGTGCATTTTCTTCACTGGGTAGAAACGATGAGTATCCTCGGTATCGTGTCTGAAGTTGTGGGGGCAATAAGGGAGTTACAGTCAGTTATACAGGTGAGTGCCGATAAAATCCCTATATATATGAATACTAAATAATATAGGACGGTGGATCTGAAATACCAGACTTTCTTCATGACGCGAGAAGATTTATCCTAAAGAATAGACAGATAGCTGATGCTGCACCTCTTCAGCTCTATTGTTCAGGCCTCGTGTTTGCTCCAAGGAGATCGATAATCAAAGAGAACTTTAAGGAAGAGGCATCTAGCTGGATATATCGATCACTCAAAGGTGAGGAATCCTGGGGCGCGGAACTACAGACCCTGGAGGGCCACTCAGACTGGGTTTTCTCGGTGGCCTTCTCACCGGACGGCCGGCTCCTGGCGTCGAGCTCTGATGACGAGACGGTCAAGCTCTGGGATCCCACCACGGGCGCGGAACTACAGACCCTAGAGGGCCACTCAGGCGGGGTTTACTCGGTGGCCTTCTCACCGGACGGCCAGCTCCTGGCGTTGAGCTCTGGTGACAAGGCGGTCAAGCTCTGGGATCCCACCACGGGCACGGAACTACGGACCCTGGAGGGCCACTTAGACGGGGTTTACTCCGTGGCCTTCTCACCGGACGGCCGGCTCCTGGCGTCGGGCTCATATGGCAAGACGGTTAAGCTCTGGGATCCCACCACGTGCGCGGAACTACAGACTCTAGAGGGCCACTCAGACTGGGTTAGGTCGGTGGCCTTCTCACCGGACGGCCGGCTCCTGGCGTCGAGCTCTGATGACGAGACGGTTAAGCTCTGGGATCCCACCACGGGCGCGGAACCACAGACCCTGAAGGGCCACTCAGGAGGGGTTAGGTCGGTGGCCTTCTCACCGGACGGCCGGCTCCTGGCATCAAGCTCTGGTGACGAGACAGTCAAGCTTTGGGATCCCATCACGGGCGCGGAACTACAGACCCTGGAGGGCCACTTTGATGGGGTTATATCTATAGCCTTCTCACCGGACGGCCGGCTCCTGGCGTTAAGCTTTGGTAATAAGACGGTTAAGCTCTGGGATCCCACCACGGGCGCGGAACCACAGACCCTAGAGGGCCACTCAGATGGGGTTAGCTCGGTGGCCTTCTCACCGGACGGCCGGCTCCTAGCGTCGGGCTCATATGACAAGACGGTTAAGCTCTGGGATCGCACTACGGGCGCGGAACCACAGACCCTAGAGGGCCACTCAGATGGGGTTAGCTCGGTGGCCTTCTCACCGGACGGCCGGCTCCTGGCGTCGGGCTCATATGACGGGACGGTTAAGCTCTGGGATCGCACTACGGGCGCGGAACTACAGACCTTAACCGTTAAAGGCGAGGTTTATGAACTAAGCTTTTCAAACAATAGTCGCTGCCTAAGAACTAATCTAGGTTCCCTTGATATTCAACCCTGGTATTGCAATGGTTTGTTAAAATCACTAGAAACCAACATTCAAGTACCTACACTGGAAGATCAATGGGTAGGCCTCCAGGGTAGAAAGATGTTATGGCTCCCTGTAGAGTATCGGCCCACCTGCTCAACAGCGGAAGCTGGTGGTACTCTTGCGCTAGGCCATGCGTCTGGGAAGGTTTCTTTTATTACATTTCGTCACAGTTAAATTATACTATGTATCCCATTCCTATATTCTAATCTTTTTTCAAAAGAAGGGTTTGGGAGGGCTGGGAAATTTATAAGTTGGTGATTTGCCACTAGATCTTTCTATTAGCTTCTACTTGTTGGCAGGTTGCTAGATGATGTTTTACATGTTTGCATCGACTCTTCTAGCAGCTCCGTAAAGGAGATACATGTACTTTAATAAATACAATACATATACCTGTCCAATACGGTACCATTTACTTCTAGAAACAAGCCATGGTATAAAAACTAGCTATATCTGGTTAGACCATGTAAATTAGGGTCTGGAAACCAAACTCGTTACATGTTGAATATGGAAGCCGATTTCGAGCGCAACTGTAATGTTGGAAGCTACTGTAGTCTATGAACTGTAGCATTCGGGAGAGAGACAAGAAGAGGAACTCATTGTTGCTGGTTTTGCGTGGAAAATACTCTATTTTGACGAAGAAACTGGTGTTGGGAAGTTGGTGTTGTGTGCCGAGCGGGAGCTAACGTCGGCCCGATGGCGGAACCAACGGGAGATCGTGAACCACCAAATACGCAGGGAATAACAGCCTCAATCTTTTCATTCGAAAACTTTCAACCAATAACCCAATCCAGCCAACCTGCGAGACGAGAGAAACGCCGGAGGAATAACTCTTATGCTACAAACGCACCAAACTCAAACCCCGAACCCATGGCCGCTGGAGACGGCAGCAGGAGGGTCACAAACCAGGAGATCAGAAGGCTCATCGACGACCTGAAAAATATAATAGGCCACCAGACCAACGTTATCGAAGCCACCAAAGCGGGCATTCTAGAGCTCAAGGTTAAGCAGGAGGCATTAAAGAGCCAAAACTCGAGCCTTCAAGAAGAAATCCATGCCCTTAGGGCACAAATCGAGGCCCTATCGTCGAATCCACCAGCGAGAACATGGGCAGAAGTCGCAGCAAGTGTGGGCAACCTGGGACCCAACAACGCTGTCCAGCAGCCCAGGAGCACCCAGGCCAGAAAAGAACCAAACTACGTCCGGATCAGCACGCGTTGTGCACCGGAAGACAGAATTGATGACATCAACAGCTTCGGAAGGTATCTTCCCACGGACAGCGCCAACACATACATCAGATCCGCGCTTCTCAGCGCCAACGCCACCAAAGACGCATAGGTTACAGGCATTGGAACAACAAAAACGGGATATATGATCAGATTCAAGGACCAACAGTCCGCAGATGTAGCGCGGTCCAACTCCGACTGGCTTAATGAGCTAGGCAACAATACTAAACTCGTTAAGCCGAGATTCAGGGTCGTGGTGTATAGAACGCTAACAAATGCCTTCAGACTACTAGAGGAGGAGAAGGAGAGTATCGCCAAGATCGCGGAAGATAATGATTTGACCACCAAAGGCTATCAGATCACAGAGATTGCATGGCTCCGGCGGAGGGACAAAGTGCCAGGCACCCATGGCTCGCTGGGGATCTGGTTCGACTCGCCGGAGGCAGCGGAGTGGATGGTCAACAATGGCCTCATCGTTGGACAACGATACATCGGCAGCGTCGAGCCCTATCAGGTCAGGAGGAAGAGGTGCCACCGATGTCAGGGTTTCGGCCATCTGGCGTGGTCATGCAAAGAAAAGGCAAGGTGTGGACACTACGCAAGGGAACATGAACAACGAAACTGCCCTCCAGGAGTAAGAGCGAGGTGCTTGAACTGTGACGGAGACCACCCAACAGGAGACAAAAACTGCCAGAACCCTGCTGGACCACCCCACATGCAATGACAGAACCAAACCTTCTCTTGCTGCAACTGAACATCTACAGATCAAGAGCGGGCATGGAGGCCCTGATCAACGACACGGAAAGACGGTGGCGCCGCTGGAAAACGCGGGCCTGGCCCAAGGGTCCCCGCTCTCCCCGATTCTCTTTACATTCTTCAACTCGGAACTGGTGGACCAACCGGTCGACTACCACGGAGGCGCGTCGGCGTACATCGATGATTACTTCTGGTGGCGGGCCGGACGGTTAGCAGAGGAGAATATTAAGAAGATCCAAGATAAAGACATCCCATGGATCGAAGAGTGGGCCAGACGCACTAGGTCCTGCTTCGCGGTAGAGAAGATTGAACTAATCCACATCACGTGGAAGAAGAGTGAACACAAAAAGGGACAGCTCGTGATAAATAGGTCCACCATCCAACCGCCCCCCACAGCCAAACTCCTGGGAGTGGTGTTTGACAGGGAGCTGCGATGGAAGCAACACGTGCAACAGGCGGTCAAACGAGCCACCAAGGTGAACGTCGCCCTGGGAGGCTTGAGGCACCTCCGGCCGGTCAGACGAGGCAGCTGTATCAAGCCTGTGTGGCTCCTGCCATAGACTATGCATCGACAGTGTGGCACAACCCACTGAAGGACAAGACGCATCTAAGAATGCTCGAAACGATACAGAGAGCGGCGCTGATTAGGGCCCTCTTAGCGTTCAGGATAGTAGCGACGAAGACCCTAGAGGTTAAGGCGCACGTATTACCGACGCGGCTGCGGCTCAAGCAACGGGCTCAAGACGCCGTCGCCCGCCTGTGCATGCTCCCAAGCAACCACCCTATCCACGAAGTGCTAACTCGAAGCAGGAGATGGAGTCGCAATGTGGGTAACGGCGCTCGATTCCCGCTCGCGGAGATGATAAAGATGATGGACCTAGATCGGCTTGACCTACTCAAAACAATCGACCCAAGCCCGCTAGCGCCGTGGGATCCGCCGGTATTTGAAACGATAACCATTGATTCAGACCAGGTTAAGGCAATAGAGGAAGCTGCTCGCCTTAGGACAGAGGCAGCTGAGCTAATATACTCTGATATATCGGCACAGAAAGACAAGATTAGAGCGGTAGTGGTGATCCTGGATTGGCAGGGAAATGTTGAGGTATCGCGCAAGGTCTGCGTCGGGTCAGCCACTCACTGGTCAATCCATGCGGCCAAGCTCATCGGGATACAGCAGGCCGTGGAGCTAATCAACCTAGAAGAGAGACGAGAGGAACAAACCCAAGACAAGAGAACGGTAACCATCCTTAGCAACAGTAAGTCCGCCCTGCAAACACTGGCGAACCAATGTAATGGGACTGGACAACACATCGTACGAGCTATCACCAAGCCGGCTCAAGATCTAAAGGCGCATGGTGTTAGCATCCGCCTTTGATGGATCCCTGGCCACTGCGATAACCCTAGAAACGACGTAGCAGACCGTCTGGCCAAAGAAGCAGTTAGAACACAGCCATCACATCTGATTCAGAACCTGCTCTCGCAAGAGAAAGCATTTATTCGAGACAAAATCTTGGCTAAATGGGTCAGTGAATGGAAGTTGTTAAGCAAAGAGGCGCATCTTAGGCGCATCGACGCCTCGCTGCCGGCAAACCACACCAGGCACCTGTACGGCACCCTACCGCGAAACAGGGCCTACCTACTAACGCAGCTCTAGACCGGCCACTCGTGGCTGGCCTCACACGCCAAAGTATATCAGTTCCATAAAGACGATAAATGTGAATGTGGTGCAAAGGAGACGGTCGTGCATGTCCTAGTGGACTGCCTGAAACTAGCTGATCTAAGGCGGAAACTACGTTAAGAGATAGGGACTAATTTTAACAATACATTACTTATGCTAGGAGGAAGGGAAGGAAACGGATGGAAGAAGGTAAGTAGCTCTACTCAGGGCAGTACTATTAACGTAGTGCTGGACTTTGTAGAAGCATCCTAGCGGTTCTAAAGCCGTGTCTAATAGTAAGGATAACGTTATAGGCCGTGACGAGGCTCTAAATTCGTTTGTATATAATTATTCACTATAGGTAGACATAAGGATAGGTACAGTAGTTGTAGCCTGCATATCCCCTAGGGGAGAGGTCAAGGTAAATGAGACACACACACACACACAGACTGTAACGATTTAGCTTTCATTCCATCAAATCAGGTTGGATCTCACTTTCCAACTATTGACAGGAAGAACTGCTCACATGTTGCCCTGCCACCCATATTTCGAGAAAGCTACACGCTTTCGCACCTCAATGACTCATAGCCCAGTATATCCATCCAATCGGGGTCCAAGTAGCACTGAAATGTATCAGAATCGGCGACTGTGATTCAAAAATGGGACGGGTTAGACTAGGATCTTATCGTCCTAAGCGCCCGTTTTGGGTTATTCTTAGCCAGGCATGACGAGGCGGAAGTGCACTTTTCTAAATGTTTTCCTAACAATAATCATGATTGACGGAACAATATATTTCCATTATGTACCTCTTCAAGCTTTTGATGAAATTACGGCTTGACAGTTCATTCACGACCCTTGGGGTAAAGCCGAAGAGAAAATAAAAAAATATCCCTTCTACGTGCTATGGCGATATACGCAAATGGAAAATAACTTAATTTTGGAGAGACTTGCGGCTAGTACTATTGGTTGGCTTGGCTCTTGTATGTTTGTTCGAAGCATCCTCAACGCTGTCATTTGGATATGCAAAACTCCACTCAGCATCGTGAAATTCGGCTTCATCAGATGTGGCTGATGTATCAGAGTCCTCCAAAACGACAGTTGGTTCAGAAGTTGGCTCACGTTCAGATGAGAGAAGTTCAGATGGAAGTTGTGTGTGTCTCTCGTTCGCAGAATTAATAAACTGGTCCCTTTGTTCTTTTGCCCAATCCCGTGCATTCCGATACGCGGATGCACCGCTCCGAAAGGTATCTGGGTTATCTGTCATCGCAAATGATCTTAGCGAAGTCATAATATATTCAGGACGGCCATCGCTTTCTCGAGGGGCGGTGGGATGTGTTGTGTAGAGCTTGAGTTGACCTCCGTGGTAAGTTGACGTTATCGTATAGGCATTTTTGTCGTTGGGTGGCTCATCTTGCTTGTACGACTGAAGCTTGCGTATTGCTCGGGAGCCCAGCGCGCCATGGTAACAGGCTTGCCGAGTGGCAACAGCAAGGGATCCATCTGGGCCTTTAGTCTCAAGAAAGAAGTTCGGAGCCATCGGAAGGGAGCTCTGCGTCGATGGTAGGATGTAGTCGCTAAGCTCATCGCGGATTTCAGGGCTGAGCTGCTCAGGACGAGCGCCAAAGAAATGATCTGGTTTTGCATTTGCTAGTGTGCCATCTGTCAAAGGAGCAAGATTCCCGAATGGATAGTCGCCCCCCATACACCTAACATCATCGACACGTCCTTCTATAATTGGGATGGCCAAGCGTACAATAGGTTTCTCCTTGGACGCGTTCAAATCTGCCTCAACAAACTCTTCAAACTCACGCTCCGAGAACTTTGATGGGGAGAGGGAAGCTCGTGATTGCGCCAGCCGTTCATTGACTTCCGACCAGTTATTCGGCTTTTCCGGTTTCTGACCATCGGGGTACTTATATCCAGGGGGGTAAACACCGTAATCGATCAACTTTTGCTCAAAGTTCCGGTTATAGGCGGTAGTGCTTGTAGTCTTTGTGGTTTTATTGTTGCTATTGTTGCTATTGTCTGGAGGAGTCCCCGCACGTCGCTTCCGGCGGCCCGAACTGTTTGTGCTCATTGATTGATAATAAGGGATATGAGGATCTGGGAACTGAGCTTAGGCGTTAGTATGAGTACCAGCATGTCGCAAGAATTACATACATTCCGAAGGTCGGACAGGTCAGGTCCGCCCTGTCTGGAGAGTCTTTTGATCTTGCTCAGGCTCTCGGCTTTGCAGTTGATTAGGGGGTCGAGGGTTAGTGTCTGGTGACGACGCTCAAGTCTCGCCTGCAACTGTCGAGTGAGCGGCCGGTGGCGGAAATATGGCGACTCTGGTATGTTGCCAGAAGCCCTGTTTCGTCGATCCAACTCTTCGAGAGCGTCCTTCGTTAACCAAATCTTCGACAAACTATCCCAATATGCTGAAGTGGGCTGCCCGAGCTTCAGCCTTTTCGATGGAGGTCGTAGTGGGTCGAGATAGTCAGGCTCCTGTCGTTTGCGAGATGGTTCCAGAGAGACTGGGAAAGTCATATGGCACAGATACTGTAGGTGTCTTGATTCCAAAATACGAAAGTGAGCGAACCATCGCTATATATCTAAGAAGCGATTGATTGGGCGCGTAGCTTCGACCTTGAGGGATGTTGTCTGTTTCACGTTCCTCATTCTCTCAGCCGGAACAGAGACCTCATTAGATAAGAAAACCTGGACCCCAAAGCAAGGGAGATGCGCATACACATGCACGCATAAAGCAGTTGGTCATGATCCAGGGTGGTTTTGGGGGCGGCTGCAAGTCTCAGAGCCGGGGTAAAAGTCCTCGGCAACTTGGCATGTTCGGCCATAATGCCAAGCATCTATCGTAGTATATATCGGAGCGCGCTAATGATCGGTACGATTATGGCGTCTCTACGGGACACAGCGGAACGGCAAATCAATGCCTATAAGCCCAAGATACAATAGCAAAGAGCGAAAAATAGGCCTAATATCGATGAATGATGATAATAACTAGGGAAACAGGCCATATCTGGCCTCTATATATGGGGGAAGGCGTAGCGTACGTACGAGCCGTAATCAAACAGATCTGCAGGGGGGGAGTGGCGTTGGCCTGATACTGCCAAGACGCCGTACACACGAAGATTCTGACAGTATATATATAAAGCAGGATGACCCAATTCTTCTCATTTATATAACATTTTTGGCACATCCTACACGCCTTGGCACAATGTCACGGGTCAACAGCCTTTTCGAGGCATTAACTCTTACTAAGAAAAACCTGGAAAGTAACCCCTTCCTTGACGCAAATAGCCAGAAGGCACTTGAGTCTTGCTATTCCCTTATCCACAACGTTACCAGAGCTCCCCTATCAAGGCAGACGTTAAGCAGACAGAACAGAGCGCAGCAACATCTTAAGAACGCCTATCGAATTAGGAATACATTGTTTGTTCTTGTTGCAGTCACAGTTTCTATCAGCGATCTCGCGTCGATAAAGCACGATGAACTCTTTCCACAGCTTGAACACTGGTGGCACAGTATTTCACCTTCACAGAAACTTGAGTCATGCACACGCGAACATCTCCAGGAATTAGATGTAAAGAGAGAGAAAGGAAACTTGACTCAGGGTTGCAAGTAGTCATTCCCGCACGCAATGTTTGGCTGCTGAAACTATTATAGGGAGAACTCGTCAAAGGGCTGCTAGAAAATCTCAGCATACGCAAAGAACCTCAGAATGAGTATGGAAGCTACAAATTCGGTTCGCTAATTCTTAACAGTTCACAGACTGCTTCCAGGTGTGGATAATCGGTACGATAAGGGCCGAGGAAGTCAAGGAGTTGGGATGAATGGAATGGAATTGTCTCTTCGACTATTAGGTTTGTTGCATGATCTCGGAGGAGCACTATTATATATATTATGTTACTCTTTTTCTCTCATGTATTATATTTCAATAAACAAACTCGCACTCTCAGGAACCAACGGCATCAGACTCTCGATTCTACCTACCTTTTGTTAGCATGGGATCGCAACGAGGAAAGTATTACACTAGCCTAACTCATAGCTCCCCCATATATACATGTCAAACTGCTCCTTCCTCCGGGTTTCAACATCAGTATCGAGATATCAAGAGAGTTTAGCTATCTCTTCGTTCGATACCTCTGGGGCCTTCATAGATCAGGAGTTACGGGCGATGAAACGTCGCATTAATACATTTTTAAACACGAGTCCGGTTCGACCGTCTTTTAAAACGAGGATTCTGAGCCCGTCTCCTGCATTAGGCCCGGTCGGAAGAATATCGATGCCTTTTCCCTCAGCGTGCGAGTGAATAACGCCGTTTCCCTTATTTTGATAGATCAATACAGCAGGGGCAATCGTTGTGTCAAGGCTTTTGCCATCATAATACTCCGTTTCAAGCTTGACATCTTTCCCGTCCTACGTAAGTATAAGCAGTAGTTGAATAACGGGTCTGGATTTCTGACCAACAGTGCCTTTGCCTCCTCTTCTAGCCCTTGATCATCCTGCGCATCTGCCTTTCGGAATACAGCCTCGTTCACTTCGTTCATAGCCACGGTGTTCAGTTATAGGTGGCCGGGGTATATTTCGCGCTATGAGGATCAGGCTCCAGTTCATAGGGGTTTCTGCTTTTGAAGTCCAGGATAATGTTATGTTAGAAATATATGAAGAAGAAGAATAATAATAATAATAATATTAGAGGAACAGAATTTTTGTTGACTCGCCAAGCTTCGATTATGACAGTGAGCAATGAGGGGTTTTTGGCGGGGCACAAACTTCCATGTCCCAGGGCTACCTGTTAGGTACTCATGCATTAACTCATCTACTACTTGCTGAAGATTCCTTGCGTATCCAGCGAGTGTTCTATGCTCCACAAAGTCAGCCGCGCATTGTACTAATGTCCTTGGAGCCTCATAATGTCCCATTAAGACACGTTTCATAGATGAACTTTCCGTATCGCATTGTCCCATTAAGTATCATAAACGTCTACATGAGTTTGCCCCACAAAGCAGTTTAATATGCTCTTCTTGTCTCACTTCGTCACTTTTTGTCCTATTCTGCATTCTTAAGACCATGCCAAATATTCCGGGGCATAGCTGCATGCTAATCATAGCTTGGATATACTAGTTTTGTACATTGCACAGCGCGGATCTTGGTAAGTGTTATACGGAAACAAAGTGACCAGAATTGCAGCAGGACGATACCCATGCGAGGGTGCAGTTGAGAGTAATTGGGATTGGGATATCGCGGACATAAAAGGGAGCAAGATTCCCCCAAATCCTGAGGCAGAGACAACTATTCAACAAGATCAATTCCAAATTTCCAGATACAATCATCACCATAGCCCAATCCACCCCCTAGATTCTCTCTTGCCCAATATGACCCAAACAAAGAAGCCCACTGGCCAAACCGCTGACGCCCCGCCATCACCTCCCAGCAGCCCAACCCATGAACAACACCGCAAGTGTACCGTGGAAGATGGACCTATGGTCATAAGATGCTTTCTTCTGCCAAACCAATGTTGACCTAGTCAAGTTTCCCCGAAGCACCCACATTCTTCCCCAGCTACGACACCACCTTCCGGATACTATAGTAGCCCTTGCGTCCCCAAGTTCTTAACTGAAAGCCGCCTCGTCGATGCCCTTGAGAAAGCTCTCCTTTCCATCCAGAAAAAATCAGACGCAGACCAGAACAATGGTGCGCCAGGGCCAAACGGAAAGAGCAAAGAGGAAGCCAAGCAACCTAATAAGCCAAGGATCCGGGCGTCCAAACTGGAATACAGAACCGTGGAAGAGGTGTAAGTAAGCCTCAATGCCGTGGTTATATGCAACTAACGTATGGGTAGGTGGGATGAGAAGAAGTACAAGTATGAGATCTCGGTGACAACCGAGGCCCCAGAGGTCTCTGAGTTGGATGAGTATGAGTTCGTGGTCCGCTCACGAATCGGTAAGTAAGAAATCGATATTTGCTGGCCACTGCTGATATCCTGAGGTAGATAAGCATACCACCAAGCCCACGGTTTACATAGACGTCAAATCGGAGGGGCTACGGGACATCTTGAGGGATGTACTCCAAGACATCAAAGCAGTGAGCCTTGATGCAGAAATGCCCTCGGTATCTCAGCCCACTTCATTTTCTCTGTATATCGCTGACCAATGATCTATGTTAACCGCAATTTACTGTTCAGCCTTCTTCCAAAGCTGGAAGCCTATGAAAACCACGCCGACAAGACGGAATCAGGCTCTGGGGATGCTCTCCAACATCTGAACAAGCTAATTGAACACATCAAAAAGGCATATAGCGAGACAGTGAAACGTTTTGACTCACTCGTTGCAAATGACAAAATCACGTACGACTTGCTTTAGGCACTGTTCAGGCCGGGTGAGAAAGTCTACTCATTATACTCCGGGACCGATAAGCCAAGGGCCTTCACTTTTGACTATGGCGCAGAAAGGAAAGACCAGCAGGGCGTGGAGTTCTTCCACCTAATCGGCCATTACTTTAACTTCAATAGCAAGGTGTTCGGGCAGGTTAAAGGCGGCGCACGAATCAATTACTTTCCAGAAGCGGTATACATTAGCAAACTTAAAGCTTTCCCCCTCCAATATCACCCAGCAAAGGAAGACGTGGAGTTTCGCCTTCGGAAATGCGGAAAGAAGTTCCTAGATGTGATGTTCGGTCGACACTGCCATTATAAAGGAGTTGCCTTTTTCGAAATGGAAAATAGGAAAAAACACAGGGTGCCCATCAATGGAAGGATCATGGTTGACGCCCACCGGTTCCAGCAGGTCAACCCGGGATATCCCAAGCTGCTGAGCAAAATTTCCAGTATCGACTTGTTCAGCGGTTCCGTGGATACTATCTTTACAGAGCGAGTCATGTCATCCGGGAAGAAAATGAACGACCTATCGGAAGACAACCTCCTTGTCTTCGCGCCCACGATGCTTGGATTTAGCCTCGACGACAAATTCTGGGGTAAGAGACAGAGTCTTCTAATAGAAAAAAAGAGTTGTACAGCTGACCTAGTTAGGTGAATTCGCGATCGAAAACACGAGCAAAATTGAATGGTTAGACGAGCCGTTCAACCGTTTGGTTATCCCTCCAAAGAAGAAGGACATCATGCTTGCCGTCACCAACTGTTACTTAAGCCCAGCAAATGAAAAGAAAAACATTCAATTTGACGACTTTATCCCGAAAAAAGGGAAAGGAGCCGTTATTCTTCTTTCGTAAGTGGATGCCTCCATTATCGAAGTATATACTAATAGTTCATGCAGGGGCCCCCCAGGAGTCGGCAAAACCTTGACTGCAGAAGTCCTAGCTGAGAGCAAGCGGCGGCCTCTCTATTCGGTACGTTATTGGCCCCGCGTAGGGAGCGGCTCGCGCTAACTTCTTAGATAACAACGGGACAACTATCCTCCAATGCTACAGAGCTGGAAATTCAACTTTCCGAAATATTCGAAACAACAATGCTTTGGGGCGCAGTTCTCCTGTTCGATGAAGCAGATGTCTACCTGACACAGCGCTCGTTGGAACATATCGAGCGTAATCGCCTTGTAGCAGCCTTCCTTCGAACACTTGAGTATTCCAATGGAATTCTGTTTTTGACGTCTAACCAAGGAGAAAGTTTTGACCAGGCCATTTCGAGCCGCATCCACCTTACTTTCAAATACGACGACCTCAACACTGACGCTAGGCGCGAGGTTTTCAGACAGTTCCTACGGATGGACAACGGTGTGGTAGCCAGCGTCGACGACGACGAACTGAATGCACTTGCTCAGGCCAAGATCAACGGGCGACAGGTATTTAAGCCCAGTTTCAATACAAGGATGACCTCTGACATTTCTTAGATCAAAAATGCCATGTCAGTTGCACATGCCCTGGCAGTGAAGGACGGTAGCGGCCTGAATTTTTTTCATATTCGATCGGTGCTCGGTGTTAGCGGACATTTTGTGCCGGAACCAGGCTGCAAGGCACTTGGAAATGGTTTATACGATTAATTCTGGCTCCGGTTCCTCCCGCGAATTCGATCGAGTCAAGGCCCAGGGTATGTACCCGATTCGGCTTGAATTGCAGTGTTATTCGGACTCGTGTTACTTAAATCGCGATATATTGTTCCAGCCTCGTGTTACTATTATCCGTAATGTATTCCTTTCCCATATCTTGTTAAGTATGAGTGCTGTCCAGGGTTCTGCCCTGTCCTGTCCTGACAGGAATCCCGAAGGTCTTGTGGACCCCTTCTCGAATGTTCTATGACGTTATTGGCCACGTTTAAAAATGTGTTCCTGCTTCCCGCCGCCAAGGTGCACCAGGGATCAACCCAAAAAGGTTAGTGTGGGTCTGCTCATGCCCCAGTTTTGCCATGGTAGGTGGATTTGTAGAGCAGGCGGGGAGGTCAGCCAGGCGCGCCACTATAATCCAAAGGAAACCACGTACCTACCAACACGGGTTATATCGCCAGCTAGGTCAAGAGGAAAACCGCATTGTCTGGTGTAGAGAGGCTGGTGTAGGCGATAGCACGGCCCGGTGAGATAAAAGTAAAGGGACGGGCTTGCATTAGATAATCCGGGTACTAATCTAACGTCGGCCGGGGTCCGGCCCTAGATCTCTCTCTCGAGAATAGATTGCTTCTTCTTCTTCTTCTTCTCAATTTTACGTCCGACCCAGCCGGTAAAGCTTTTGATAAAGCTAGGTTTGTTCGCTACATTGTCCGTGTCTTCTTGTATAACGAGCGACTGCTAGAATGAGTGATTGTTAGGATGAGCGACTGCTAAGTATATGCTAGTGCACACTAAGAAACCACGCTGAAATGAGTCCTTGGCCCAAACGGGAACAGGGAACAGGGGCTGATGACCCGAGTGGCCCAATACCTGTCATGGAAATAAGTCAGCTTTCCTAGGGCGTCTGCGGGCATAGGGCCAGGGTCTAAAGCCCGGACCTGTCTCCGGCACAGGGACCGAGGCGGGGTGACTGGGGCCTTTCCGTGTCCTCAATCCGCGGGTAGGAGACCGGAGTTGTTGGGCTATAGTGGTCTATGGTCCGTGGCCCTGGGACCTGCCAGGCTCGAAGAACGCGGACTCTTGGCCATGCTAGCCCACAGACGGGGCCGGCTATGGGTCCGATTGCCTTGGCCCCAATGGAGACCTAGGAACGCCACTTAGGACAATATTTTATATTTTTTTATAGTTCATCCTCTTCCTCCGCTGGTTGATTCTCAAGTCCCGGGTCCTCGCATGCCCCAGTTTTCCGCCGTTTTCGAATGTCGAACACTGTGTTAACAGACAGAGCCTTGGAAGGCCCCATGGAAAGAACGAAGGCAGCTGGAGCTGGTTGTCGATATGACAGTACGTACAGGTCAGTTCTGCGAGAAGAAACGAGAGAAGATGCCGCGAAAACGCAAAAACAACAGTACCCAATCCTCGCCAAAGAAGAAAGCAGCTTCTTCAGCTGCTCTAGTGACGACACAGCAAAGCACTTATACCCCAGCTCCAGCTCCGGCCCCTGAAATCTACACGATCCGCGTATGGCGGACATACAGGCACTTTGGAACCAGTCCGCATCAGGAACCGATGTCCCTCCGATAAAACTGGAAGTCAAGACTGCAGACGCAGTCGCACAAACAGTAATACCTACACCAGAAGCACCTTCGCCGCCAGAGCAGCATGTTGTGGACACGGCAAATAAACCCCCTCAAACCACAGAGGAGACCCCGCTATCACCCCCCACGGCAGAACAGAGACCCAAGACCTACGCACAGGCAGCCACGACCAGGGGCCCAGCACCCCCAAAACCGAGATCAAAACCAAAGAACCGAACCGATCTGCGAACCGATTCGCGAACAACATCAAGGGATACCAACCCAACACCAGCATCACTGCAGCGATTCACCCTGATAATGGAGACACAGGTGGGGGAGGACTTCAACCCGGTCACAATTCGAGATAACCTCAACAAACACCTCCCTTTCCCTGAAGTTGTCGGAGTTGCTCGGTCCAGACAGGGTAACTTAGTGGTGACCTGCAGAAGCACAGTGGAGGCGGTTCTTAAATGCCAGCACCTTTGGATGCAGGACTGCCACCAGTCAAACGGGTCCAGGATGAAGACAGATGGGCCAGACGAATCTTGTATCTCAAGCAGCCAGTGGCTGCTAGCACTTTGGAACAGGAGATCAGAGACTACAATTCAGCCAAGCTTGCCGCCGCCCCTGGGTTTATCGGAACTTCCACGGTCATCTTGTTCTTTGCAGATGACAGGGAAGCGCCAAGGGAGCTCTACTTGCTGGGCACTCGCTTTAGCCTAGCTAGGTACAAGCCCAAGCCAAGGTCAACCCGGCATGGAGTTCTATAGAAATGGACAGAAAAGGACACAAGGACGGAACAAACGTAGGCCCCCAAGACGAGGCTCTAATTTCGTCTGCATGTAATAGAACACCATAGATTAGACATAAGGGTAGAGATAGTTGTGGTAGCCTGCATATCCCCCAGGGGAGAGGTCAGGGTAAATGAAACACACACACACACACACATATAGTAACTACTGTACGATCCCCGTTATGCCAAATAGTTAGAGTTAACTTTGATATAAAACAACTAAGTATTATCTAGAATAGAAGTTGAATAAAAATTTATCAGAATATCGTACGTCAACGGTATAAACCTGTGAGGGGGCCCCTCTCCCCACCTCAACTCGTCGTTGAATACGCGGAATATTTTATACCGCATATCTAACTGTACATCGGTAAGCCAACACTTATTGCAGTTAAGGTCAGGTATGAGAAAGATGTGCCAAAGAGCCAATATAAAATATGCTAGGCCATAATTAGTCGTCGTTGAGATAACAGGTAGGGGTCACTAACACCTGAAAGATCAATATCCTCAGTCAGACAGCCTTCCAAGCACCCTATGTCTGAGGAATAGGAAGCGTACTGAAAGCGTAGACCTCTCACCCGATAAGATGTTCCGAAATTAACGGTATAGAACACCCGGATATATATCAATTCATCACTCGGGATAAAAGACTGGGTCTCTTCTCTCACTTCTCCTAATATATCTGAAAATCCGTTTTTGTGGAGGACCTTGACCCCACAGATGTATTTGGATGAAGCCTCACTATATACCGTGATGCTAGACACGGCGGTGAAATTAGCGGAGGAAATGAACACTGTATGTGGTTCGCTAGTCCCGAATTCAATAGTTGTAGTTGGATATTGTGCCGTTGGTAGGAAAACATTAGTTGCCGTGTGTCGTTGCTCGGGCTCCCGCTGTAAAGCTCCGACAACGGATACACCTTTTATTTCCTTAATAGTGTTAGCTCGAATAATATATACAAAGGAGAGCAATAAAATAATGGGTTATTAACCGTATGGGCCATGAATGAACAGAATACCCCATTAGGTGATAACGCGGCATGCCATTCTTCCACTTTTGGATTCCCGAAGATAACACACCTCCCAAAACTCGTGAAGAACTAGCAATCTAGGTAAGCTTTTGTATTCAGATATGGAATAGGAGATTTTACCTTGACCGCTATGGTCTTATCTGACTTCGCACAGGCAATTCCGACAAACGTTTCCTTCGCCTGGGCGTTGGTATAAAACGAAAGCTTAGTTACCAATGGATGTAGATTGCCGAGGTTAAGCTTAATGCTTCCGAAGTCGAATTCGAAGCCCGTAATAACTTGGCTACTCGCATCCACGAACGCACTTATGGCATTGGCAGTTTCTAGCTGCCTGTCAACGAAACTAAGAGGTAATATGCCTTCGACGGGCCCGCAGTCTGCCAGGACAACCGGTACTAGCTCCTCAGGCGGAAGCCCGGATTTCCAGGAAATGGATCGGTGTTGAGGCAGGCCTGTGCCATGGAGCACTGATATTGCACGGATTTTAAAGGACTAGTAACAATTAGCAACGAATCCCACATTGCGAATAGAAAGAAAGAGAAGACATACGTCATATGAGGGTACAAGCCTAGTAGAACATTCGATAGGCCACTCCATCTGAGTATACACAAGGTCGTCCGAATCGAGAGTAGATCCATGCCAGCACGCTTCCCAAGAAATGTTCTTCACCTGCAAGGCCGTAAAGCCTTCGGCATCTGATACCAGACGCAGGCCATTAAGTTCTCTCGATGATATTGTAACCGCTGATTCGCCTTCATACCCAAATCTATTCAACTCTATCTGGAAACCGCACAGGTAACTGCGGTCAGAAACATGGCTAAAGTTGAATAATATTTTGGGTATTGGATAAATATCGATGGCGTTTTCCATCAAAACCTCCGGCGTCGACAAGGGGAGTGAAGGATTTGCCTCCGTACAAAAGAAGGGCTGCTTCATCTTTGAAAGTAAAGTTTCGACATTATCCCAAACCCTACTGTAGTTATCAATGCTTGGTATAGAGCTTGCTCGATGATAAAGATTCCAAAGAACCCTCTCGATTTTCCTTGACACTTCTTTCCTTGAGCCTCTAAAGATTGGTGACCTGTAAGCAAGATATCTTCGCCCGAGGCGAAACCATACTCTGGTATCTGGTTTTACCCCAGCTACTTCTTCCAGGTGATATACGTCCGGGTAGCTGTTCAAATGCCCGTAGATAATCTGGATAATCTCGTGTGGAAGGGAGAATCTGCCGAAAATGCCGCTCGTGCTTTCTAAGGATTTTTCCGCCAGTTCGGGGCCGATACCCTCCACTTCATTAGGTATTCCAGGGCCGTGCGGATACCGTATCGGAGTAAGAAAGGGCGCCATATCTTGAAGAAGCCGGCAAAATCTGTCAAGCCATTCAACTTTGACCCCTTCAGATCCAAGGGCCTTTGTCACAACCAACCAACAGAGGGAATGCGTAGCAACGCCTGGTGGCATAAAGGCTGTTGAGGGGCTAATGAGCGGGCCAGCACCCTTCGCGCTATTTTCGAGTTGTAGAAGCTGAAACGATGCCCTCCACGCCTCCCTTCCGGAACATTTTGAGTCGATGGTCTTACCACATAGAACGCAAGGTCGACAGTAACCCATACCTTCGGGTATGCTTGTATCAAGTATATGGTGAGTAAGTATGCCGATAGGGAGCTTTGTGAACCAAACAATTCGTGCACCCACCCCAAGCCAACTCCCAACCAACTTACCAACCAACTAGCCAACTTATCACATGATCCACCAGTCAGTTATTTATCTTAAACTAATTTGTCCTAGTTACATCAATCACGTGATATTGTACTATATCAAGCTACTAAGTGACATCGCGTAACGCTGATTCATTGAGGGAAGGTTCCTCAGGTACATATTTTTATGGAACTAAAACATTTGCGTTTTTAATAACATCAAAAACCCGCCTCATAGCTGCCTCATCTAGCTTAGGGTCCATATAATCAGCCGCCAGCGGTGTTAATACTGGGTTGCTCCTCGTTACCTTGTACGCCATCATACGCGTACCCACAACCCGAAGAGCAAATATCTTCATTTGACCCTTTGCTTGGCCATCTTGGAGAGTGGTTCTTGCGTAGCCTAATACCTGCTCGTCTGTGTGGTTGTCCTGCGCCATACTTTGATGTTCGGGTTTTGCTTCGACGACGACAACCTCGATGAACGCGCCATTCGTCCAGAATCGCTCAATAACAAAGTCTGGACGGGCGCCGGTTGTCTGGCGTTTTTGAGGAGTTACAATCCAATTGTCGTCGGTAAAGGTGTTGTTGAGGAGACGGTCCCATAGCCCGGTTGCAGAATCCTCGTTCGCGTCTTGCGATGCTCGGTCGTACTGGACTGCGAGGGCATTTGTGTCGATCAAACCTCCCTGTGACGGCATAGCGGCTATATACACTGGCTAAACTTAGCAACGAGCATAACGAGAATCTATAGCCGACTTACCAAATAAGCAGCAAGATACGTAGGAGAAGGTCGGTGGGAGAGCGATATAGCCAAGGCCCGACAATTAATAAAATCAAAGAGAAACCGAGCCTTAGCGTGCTGCTGTTTTTACCTTGGGGAGGGGAATCGGTCTTATATGCTCGTTTCGGGGTTATGGGGAAAGAAGAGGTAGAGACCCTACTAGGAGGTCTGCCACTGCTAGGTGTTAATTGGGGGAAAAAGGTGAGTCAAATCCGATAACGTTCCGTGTGATGCACGATGAATAGTGGCAGATGAGGGGTAGAGCCTGTCCACGCGGCGGCAGCCTTGAATTTAAAACCTGGAATAAAGCTGTTTTATATTTATTTGATCTCTACTGTGCAGAAATACAATACTTTCTCCTTCATATTATACAAGACGGTCGCCTCAGAGTATACAGCTATAGAGTATGGGTCCATAATTGCGGCCCACTACCACAAGAACCTCAAAACACCCGTGCGGCGATGCGAAGCGCCGCAAAGAAGTATACGAAAGAGGAACCGAATAGGTAAAGACTCCAGCGGTTTAAGGTTTTACCGACTCCAGAAGACACCACTTGTGTAACTCCTCGGGTCTTGGCATCGGAAAGATACACCAAAGGGAAAGAACCTAGCGGCGATCAACCTAAAGCTTAAAGGGTTTGCAAGGGCGCGATGTGACTTCGCAAATTTGTGCTTACAAGCACCAGATATATCCGTCCTTTATAAAATATATGTATGGTATTATCTTCCACTCCACGAATCGTGACTATATTACATTAACATCGCTGCTTGGCCATTATTAGCCTATTCCCCGCTCGTATTATTATCCATCACCACCGTCCAAAAATAATTGTTAGAAGGCGTTTCTGGCTGGGGACGTGGCGGCGTGGTTTCGACAAAGTTAAACTTGATCTCATCGGCTCGTAAAGGCGGTGGCATGTCGGCCGGATATGCGCCCTCGTTTCGCGAAATTGGACGAGAAGCTGCGGCAGTAAACCTGATATGCTTGCTAGCGGGTTGAACAGCAGTGGTCGCCGTCATTGAGGTCGGCTGATTACAATCTGAATTTCTTTGTATATACCTGTGTTCGTCCCCCGTATATGTATCCAGATTCCTTGTTGTGAATACGTCGCCGCAGGCAAGGCAAGGTGATGCCATGCGCTCAGAATCCCCTGCTTCTCTTTCCGCGGCGGCTTGAACTATGGTATTCTGGTTAGCAGCACAGCGCAGATGCTCAGAGTGGTCGATCACCTGTCTGAGGGGGAGCCGAGCATCGCAAAGGGGGCGGTGAAGGCCGTACTGCAGCATAATGGCAGAGATATTGTCTATTAGGATGGTTAGTCATGTTTAACTGATAGCTCGGGTCCGTCTCACCGTTGTATGTTGCCTGTAGATCGTCGAGCAATCCTGATATCGCTCTCACAAGCAAGTGAATGGATTTGTACTTCTCCTCTTGGTGAAGGAGGCCGTGAAGTGCTGAGAAGTCCTCGTACCGAACACTCCAGAACGTGCTGCGCAGGAAGGAATATATCGCACTTGACCCACGACAGCAGGGGTAGAGTGTTTCGTAGGTATAAGCTTTTAGTGCCCGTTGAACTGCGTGATAAATGCATTGTTCGTTGGTAAATCCTTCGAGTTTTAAGAATTTTGTGATTCTGCCTCTATGGCAATTTCTTACGTCCCAGGCCTCCTTTGCTAGCGCAAAGCTGCGTCCGGCGAAGAAAGCACGGAGCAAAATTTGGTACTTCGATTTCTTTACTGCCAGAATGATATCTGTGACGCGGGGATCCTGCTTAACCCGTTCCCATTCTTTACTCGTCAACTCCGGTGCTCGAAGACAGTCGCGTATATCATCCAAAGATCTTAGAACAGCGTCCAAGAGTTTAGCTGGGGAATCTGGTGTTTGCGCACTCGGATGTTGCTCTATGAGAGCCAGAGGCCGGATGCCACCGCCAGGAAGACGAGTGTCCTGGAAGTTGGCTTGGGAAGGGATTAGCCCCAAATCTGTGCCTTCTCCGCTTTCTGGACTGGGTTGGAAAATCGGCTCCATTGTGAAGTCGATAGCTGCGGTAGGGCAGAGGCCGTCTTTTAACCCAGCCCGGTCCCGGCCGATGGTCACGACGATACTACCATCGGGAGGTGCGCTCGCAGGCGGTTGAATTTCGTTACCGTCGCCATATCCAGGCTGAGTCGCTGGTACAGAGAAGGATCCACCGCTACCGAGGCCCCGGCTACCCAGGCCCCGAGTGCAATGTTTCTTGTGCGCGCCGATACCTCGTGTATTCCGGAATCCTCTGCCGCAAACACAAATATACTCGCCGGACTTTGGGTCCCATGACTGGCACACAATTTTGTGTCTCTCCCAAATTTTGTGTGGAGGGCTGGAGAATGATGTTCGGCAGCGCGGACAGAGAATATGCCCAAGCGGTATCTTCTGCCAGGCATTTATGTCTTGGGTCACCGATTGCTTGCGAGGATGTCTGCCCATACTAGCACTTCCGTGAGCTAAACAAGCAGTTTAGGACGGGCTGCCGGGAAACCAGATTATAACTGACAAACATACCTTGAGGGAGAGTGTCCTTGAAACCGATCACAGCGCAGTCAAGACTGGTCGAGAGAAGGAGTTGTGGTTTGTAGACGGAGTACCCCGTACGCAGAAAAGGCGGCCTTACTCTACCGACAGCAAGTAGACAAAGGGAATATGCTTCAAATAAGGCCGAACAAGAGCCCTAACTCACTAACCCCGGACGATCGCTAGCGCCATAGTGGACAGCTGGGATATACCCCTGGTGACTCCCTCAATAGGGTGATCGATCAGATTATTTGTGGAAGCGAGGATCCGACTAGATTGTTCCGGGGGTCCGGCGGCGGTCAGGATCTTAAGCACGATATGCCCATGGCGCATCTGCAGTTGCCGTGGCTTTTCATGCAGCCTAAACCAGAACCACTGCGGTAGAAACCTTGGGGAACTAGATATCTGGTTGCGGAAGTTTATAGCCTGACGACATGTAACAGCATAGCAGGTACAGGGTATTCTATGACTGCCGACTTACGCGCTTACTTTCCTCACAAAGACAAGATGAAGTACACGTTGAATTTCACGGTGTCAGTACACACGAGCAACATAAAACGCGATATGAGTCTACGGGTATGGGTAGACATACTTTGGCGGGGCGGAGAATTGACCATATTGCTAATAATAAAGGAAGTATACGATGCAAAAGATCGCTATAATCGGCACGGAGTACAGAGATCAGGGCCTGGAATTGCAAGATAGTTTAGAGAAATCCGCGTACGTCATAGGGAAATAACTGACCTGTTCCTATACAGGAACATACAGTAAACCACGAGTTGTTGATTGTCAGAAGCTTCTAAGTACATGGCTGTTGGCGACATGACGTAGTTAACGTGAGCCCACCATGCGCCGCGCGCCTGCCCTTAAATTACACGAAGCCTGCGCTTTTCAGTTCATTGTGCCATTTTCTCCATAAAGCACAGGAAGCACAGGAAGGGAGTCTTTAAATACCAAGGATGAATATCGGTATACCAACTCTCTCCCTTCCAACCCGGGGCTTGTGGTCAAGGCGGTCGAGGCAGGTTATAAGGGATGAGATCTGGGTTAGTTATCCGGGTCATCGTAAAAGTTATACTATACAGGTAACGGACTGCGAGGCCATGACGTTTGGTTTTCAGGCATGCCTTCGAACTGATTAGAGTTACACCTACTTAAAGACGCCATCAACAAAATAATGCAAGGGCTGGCTTACATGCTCATAATCGAATCGGGATCTCAAGCCGCTAGCCAACGTATATTAAACTGGCCAAGAGGAGATAGCGAAATAATTGGGTATAGAGGATAGATTAGTCTAGGAATCTGGCCTAGAAACGTTACAGGCAAAGGATATTTCATTAATGAGAAAAAGATAGGCAATACATTCAGAAGCGTCGTGAGGAAGGCACTGCTATGCGTGATCACGTGTGAAAGGATCTAGAACTGTCTGTGGAGCCCCGCGGGTAGAGTAGTTATCAAACTCAAGATTCTACGCTAACATCGCACCAACTCGCTCCTGCCATATGAGATAGGCGACCTTTTTAAGGGGATACATAGGTACGGAGTTTTACCCATAGCTTCCCCTCCTCATTCTCAAGCTTTAAATCCGAAATATTACACACACATCCACTTAAATTATTAACCCACTCTTCGATCATACTCCCATTCTAAAAATGACACGCCACATGAGTATTTCTTTCATAGTCTCAAAACTCTATATAACATGCTAACGGCCCGAAATAAAATAGAGCACACTTAAGCAGGAGGTAGTTAAGAGGAGGGAGGGTGGAGCGGAGAAGCCTTGATGCACATCCTGATAAATCGTTCACAGATACCTTCTATGTTGTTGACGTCTTCGCAATGTTCCAGGCTAAATTGGTACCAATACGAGTGCAAGTCCGCTCTAAGCAGCTCATCTCTCCACTTATCCGTGGCCTGCGGGATATCTTCTGCTGTGATGTTCCAACCTGAACCCGACATCACTTTAAAGAAGAGCTCCCCTATACCACCAGGAGCACCATCGAGTAACATCAAACGTTCTGGCTGCAGCCTCGGCCTAAGGTCTCTCACGGTGAGTATCCTAGTACGGATGATTAGCGAACTTATCATCATTGCGATGCATCATCACCTACAGGGCGCCTTTTTCATCCTTGCATGTTGTAGGAAACATGAGATCACTATTAGAGGTCAGCCTGCATCCTCGCCACTCAAGATCAAAGATTCCATACAGTGGGAATTGAATTGCAGAGGCAGATCCGAGTGTCAATGTCTTGAGTTTCTCGTGTATGCAGATTGGCTGTCCCCAGTCAAGCTTATCGGGTACCCCGTTAGTGTATGAGAACGTCGTCGTGGTGGTAGCCGATGAGTCATTGATCGCGAACCAGATCTTCCATTCGACGGTGACTTCTCCAGTAAAACTTTTTCCTGGCATTTGCGTACTGCAATCAGGAAGCAGCTGATGAAAATAACACTGCGTGAGGTCCACACTGTACATAGCTTGACGACTTTGAAAAGGTGGTGGACTAGTTCGGTAGGAGTGAATGTAAAAGACTACGTCTGAAGCATACCTGTAGGGTATCACTCCTTTTTATGCCGGCCCTCTCCATATTCCAGGTCAATCCCCCGCATCTGTCAATGCAGAGATGAGCAAGGGCCTAGACGAAAAGAAAACATGTAGAGGCCAGCTCTGCTACACGCTCGAATCCTTATGTTGATGCGTTGACGCAGATATCTAAACGTCTGGATAGACTGCGGAAATGTGACTTGAGAACATTCACGTGATAGCTTCTATAGGCGATCCCAAGCATCCTGCAGGTGCCTGATGCAACGTCGTGGAACCGCTTCAAAAAAATGTATGAGCGTGGGGCACTTGCTTTATTAATAATATAGATTACATGATAGACAAAGATGGTTGCTACCTAGGTAGCCTTCAGCCCGCGCTCCTACTGCAGCTCGAGAACTTCTGGCTCCGTTTTCTTATGTGCTACCGTCTTGAGTTGCCGTCCTAGGATAATATATCCTTCTCTAATGTGGCGAGTTTGTCATTATTTACCTCCTCGACTAGCTAGGTTTTGGCATGCATACCCGTATGCCGCGCCATCCTGCTCGTTCGGATCAAGTTTTGCATTCACAGTGTTGGCAGCTCCTGGGTGGTGGGGTTGTGAAGCTATGAGGTGGTTAGGTACTACTTTGGTCTGCAGAGGGTTAATTCAATTGTTTGATATTTTGAATGGAGGAGGCAAGATACGTGTACATACTTCCCGATATTTCACAAGGTAGAGTTTCAGAGCCTCTGCATAGTTTTCAAATCCTAGCGAGGTCATGGCAAATAGGATGTCTTCTCCGTTAACAGTCTTGCGCTTCTCTCCCTGGCACTTCTCTGAAGCTATAGTCCCACATTATTAGTCCCAGTGCCTAATGTATCCCTGTCTCAAGTCGTGTGACATACCTTCGCTGGTAATGAATGATATAAACTCACTCACACACTCCTGCATACACTCTTTCGCTCCCTTTGCGATTATAGCATTCTCAGGCAAGGCAGCCTTCATAACACGAGTCACTATAGCAAAATATTATATGTTAGCATCCATTCGCTTATAAGTATAGGGTATTTGGTGATTTGCCCTGTAGCTAGATTTAAGGTTGCAGTGCATCAATTGAGGAGATACAACAGTTTCATGTAGAGAAGAGCTCGCAGTAACAGAGAGTGTATTTCTGCGTGCGCCGCCTATCTGGGAGAAGCATCAGGGACAGAGGAGCAAACCATTCGCAATTGGGAGCCACTTATCCTGCTCTTTCACCTTGAAGTCGTCCTGGGCCTGCGCTTGTGAATCGTGTTCTCTTTCCGCAGGCTCAACCCCAACTCTAAAATGAGGAGTGGATGCCAAAGACATGGCTTGTGTGTTGGTTTGGCTATGTATATAGACACCCTCCGCTTGATTCGACACCTAAAATATACGTGATGAACGAGCCCAGACTTGCTCCCTTCTCAATTTTCAGAGTTGAAAAGCACAAGGGGCGTTGTATCCAAGATAATTATAAGCTAGCAGAAAGGCCGCAAGCTAGATTTATATAAGTGAGCTGCCCATTGGCAATGCCGATGCTGCATGTGCATCTGGCATAGCACTTTGCGCCTTTGCGAACCATTTGCAGCTCCCTACTACATAATGTGGACCATCACGCTCGGAGTGGGGAAGTAAGCGGTTTGTTAGAATAAGCTGCGGTTAACAGGTCGAACAAAGGCGCTGTGACGATATGCGGAAGAAGTACGTATTCAAGTTTCAGCCGGTGGTCCCGGGTGGTCCGGGGTGGTCTCGAAAGCGATGTGCTAATGGAGCATCTGCAGTTGCCGTGGCTTACTATGCAGCCTCGAACCATCGATCTCCACCGCATCGTGCACGAGTGCCCCAGGCCCGGAGAGTGCCTTGGAGTCTCCTTCCCCAGGGGGCCTGGCTTTTGGGGTCGGCCGCGGTTGCAGTCCCTATTCGTCTGCTTATCACTTTTACTAGTAACTGCTGGTTCATAGTGCAACATCCCGTGTAGTCCAGATATAGAGACAATCATGTCTACATACTCTAGAATGAGATATAAAGGCCGTGTTATTTCTAGCCGTTGTCGTGCATTACCCATCCCATCACCCTTCACTCAAGCCATCTATACTTATGATTCTAAACGTCCAGCCTCTCGAGGACTCCCGCGGAGCATACGATACAACCGGCGTACCCAAGCCCCAACCGCCGCAAAGCGATGAAGTGGCCACCAAAGCGCCGTATTCAGCTACTAACGCGCCATGTCCGGCAAAAGATGCGCAGCTCTATGCCTGCAAAAATGAAATGTGTGTCGCCATTATGCAAGTCCCCAAACAGCAATTGAGACCCTAGCGAGCACCCTCCAGACAGCTCCGTGTTCCTGGCCCCAGACAACGCAGAAAACACGCGTGTTGGGCTTAGCCAAAGATTCAACGGTGTAGCTGCGAAAAAGCCGTTGGCCCCAGAAGACGTGCGTAAAGCCTTCCTCGAAAACGAAACGGATAGTGGAATGCCTCAAGCTATGTACGATGAGCGGTGGGGCAACAACGCGTGTATCTGTCGAACACGAAAGTGCACGGAAAGGAAAAAGTTGTACCCCAAGTGCCGAGGGAGCTCGAGCGACTGGGCCAAGGGCGATATCTGGATTGACTCAGAGTTCTCGGCGTGGTAGTTAGCAGAAGGGCCAGCGAGCAGGTTGGCATATATACGTGGATCTGTCAGTTGTTTTCGGGATGTAATATAGATGATAGCGGCTTCATACAAAGTTGACTGAGGATGCTTGTATAATATTTAATACGTTGAGCGTGGATAGTTGAGCGGATAAAGCGGGGCTGATAATTTTGATATGGACAACGTATGATTAATGTGCTCGGGAACAAGAGTATTTAAGCGCCCGGAAGTTAAGCGGGTGGGTCAGATCAGATCGACGCCGTCCGTACTACGTAACATAAAGTGGGGTAATCAGAAACCTTCAGCAAGGACATGCATCTTTGTCACAGCACGGTAACAAACGAGAAAAATTGAAGGCAAGCAATAAAACGTTCTCATTCGCAGTACGTGGTGCCTGGGACGAGTAGTTGGGCTCGATATATATCCAACTTGCATGTTGCAGGTTGAACGTACGGAGAGCTCAATGAAACCAAGCAGGCCGGCCTTACATAACAAATTCATGTACGTTGATCGATTGGATGAGTTCGCTCGTACTAAAATTAACCTGAGGCTTAACATGCTGCTCGCCAAGCGGCCATGTAACCGAGTTATTGGGGGGGTGGCCGGCGTACGACGGCCGGTTGTAACCAGGTTATCTGGTGGGAATGTTATAACCCTATCTAACTTTGACCTTCTATACCTACTATAATTATATATACAAATAAACATATTTAACATTTAGTTATTATTATATTACATATAAACTTGCGGCATATGTTCCGGTTAAACAGCCTGTAAGGAGTCCGCTGTGATGTCCGGCGACCTTAACGCTGTGTAAATCCTTGGGTACGATGCTGATCACTGTGATAGCCCACGGGGATGTAGCCGTGGCCTTGCATTGAGCTACGGGGCTCGGGGTAGGTGGGGGCGTAGTCTTGTAGAAGCTCTGGGTCGGCCGTCTCATCAGTAGCAGTATTAAGCCATTGTTGGATACGGTCGACATTAACAGGCGGTGGAAGGCATTCGGCGCAACCGCATGGCAGTGCTTGGGGGGGGCATTCTTCTCTAGGGTTCCACCATTCGCCGATGGGGGGTATGGCGAGGATTGGTCGGGATTGATCGGCTGGTACCCCGTTGCTGATAATATAAGGCGATGGTGATAGCATTCGACGCTTCGTGTTCTTTTCCAGTCCGTGCTTACTTAGATAAGTTGAGCCACGGTCAGCGCCTTCTATCGCTTGCGGGGTTCGTTCCCGCTTTTTATCTCTGTTAACTATATAAACCACGGTATTTGCATCTATCGTCACGTTAGCTCCATATGAATTCCGCAAATTATGCCTATACCTACCTGCTTCGCCCCTCTCATAACTCTCTTCCGCCCTTCGAACCTTATAAATCTCATCTAGGATACCAAGTCTCTCGCGGGGTTTTTTTTGACTTTGGGCACCACGTCCGGCCTCTTCTAGCTTGTTGGCAGTCATTCCATTATTACCAAGCTTACGGAAGATATGGATAAGAAGGCATATCCGTTCCGGCTTCAGCAGGTGATCGGGTTCACGATGGGGGACTCCAGCTGGCCACCAGTCCGGCTTGGTCTTCTCTGGGTCCCCTTTCTCACCGGGTCCTCCCCGTCCTCCATTATAAGGATACTTCACTTGCTTGCGTGGCTCGATAATCTTAATATAGGCCTTCGCTATTTGGCGACAGTTGATCTGCTGAAAGGCTTTAAAGGCAGATTCGTAGTAGGCCTCAACTTTCTCCTCATTTCCTATCTCAAGGGGTACCATCTCCACACTATGCGGTCTGTTAGAAGGCTCCTCCGGCTCGGTAGTGGAATGGTCCATCTCATAGCGACGCCTCTTCGAGCGAGAGGGGAGCGCATCTTCGACTTTTCCTATCGGGAACTGCATTCCTTGGTAATATTTTGAGTCCCCTAGTGTTCCGTGTAAGTAAATAACATATCAAGCAAGCAGGGGAGATTCATACCAGACAAGAAAGGCAGATGGTAAACGTTAGCCCCCGTAGCTTGTGCGAGCAAATCGCCAAATTCAGAAGTGAATACGGGACCTTTGAACTCCGGGAGAGATGTATGGAAACTGGGCTGTCCAAAGCTGTCAATATCTAGGTGGAAAAAATGCGGTTTAATAGTATGCGAGAGACAAGGGTATTGGATGCCTTCCCTAGGGAAGCTGAGCACTCTCCCAGAAACAACCATTATGTTGAAGGCTCGAAGTCAGGTTCGGTAAGGTTGCCCTATGCGGTGAAAGCCGGCTCTAGAGGGACTGAAGAGTGCAGAAAATCGAAGGCGGTATCAGATAACCTGGGTTTGTGGGAAGGGAAGTGCGGTCGGTCGGGGAAGAATGAGATTATTATATGAGAGTATTATATGATAGTTGGCGGATAACATTATCGTTTGTTTCTGTCAGACACGGATCAGACAGATTTCCCTTGATGGATACTAGAGCAATTCTTGGAGCCGGCATGCAGAAAGACGAAAGATGTACACCAAACCCAGCGGGTGGTTGCATCAGGCCCCTGGCCAGAATATTACACCTAGCTTCTCCTATCATGCTCGCGGATTACATTTGGTTAGGAGGAAACCAGGGTATCGAAAAAGAAACAACGGCCTGCACCAGCAGCTATTGATAGCCATCGAGCTATGGTACGAACCTTTACCTGGTCTCCGACGTCGTGATGAACAACCCAGAAAGTTTAGAGGCTTAGGATGGTGCAGGGAAGCTCAAGGTGCTTATACAACGTGTGTCTATATTCCGCACGCGCTAAATCACGTGGTGGATTTCTCAGTAAGGACACTTCGGCCTGCTATTAGACAGCTAAGATAGATAGACTGGTTCTGGCAGAAAAAGCAATTTCGGAGCATACACATCAGCATGGCGCTGAGGCTTCCAGAACGTCGCCTGCTGACTCACCCCAGCGGCTATGCACCCCCACCCACGGACCATGGGGGTCATGGTCTGTCCCCCACTTAGAAAGACCCAAAAGGTACCTTGCCCACTTTTCCTCATGCTGAGGTGCCTTCTCCACAAACACCGTCAGTAGAATAAACGTTCTATGAAGGAAACCCGTCATGAGGTTACGCGTGTGCGGAAGGCCAGCCTCGAGCAGCTTCAGACACGGCTCTATTCCGATCTGCCATAGTTTTTCTTGTAGCTGGTGGCCTTCTGGCCAACGCCTTAAGTTGGGGGGGGTCTCGGGGTGCTGTGTAAGATCCCAAATATCGATATACCTTCTGGTGAGCTCGAGGTATGCGGAGGCGGCCGCCGTCCAGTCAGCTGCCGTCCAGTCAGCTTTATCCGCCTTGGTAATTGACACACACGCTTCTTCCGCTTGACGGAGTGGATCGGCCTGGGCGTTGTGTTCCCTTCGAGCGTCTTCGCCTAAGAGGCGCTTTCTCCCTACCTCGCTAGTAATGCCTGCGACCGGCCGAGAGTAGCATTGTTGGGAATTCCAATACTTGTAAACAATCCAATCGAAGACTCCGTCGCGTAAGAACCCCTCCTCGCCGAAAGCGCTGCAGAAAAGTTGACGGAGATAGTTGTAGTCGGGTTCATTGGTACAGTCAGGAGATTTCACGTACTCCAAGCAGACTTCGAACGCTCGAGGCAGCCCTTTACAGAGAACTTCCGCCCGCGTGTCCTCCATTTGCCGGAGAATGTCTTCGTACGGTGTCTTCGTAAGGTCGATCTGGAGCCCGTCCCATGGCGCTAGCCTGCGGCACATATAGATGAGCATGAGTGTGAGCCCCTCAAGGTCGGAATACCGGGCATCATTACGCCGCGGGTGTTCCGTGATCAATCCAGCTACCTCAACAAGCGTGACCTGATTTAAGGCCTTTACAGTGCCCAAGGCAAACGCACCAGGCCGTATCCCGCCGTGAATGAAAGACCGGCGATGAATGACCTCAATGCGGCTTATGAGCTGCTCGGCGAGGAGGAGGACGGTCTTTAGGGAGAACGCCCTACACCATCCCAATAAACCCTCCAAGGTAGGACCGGCGAGGCGGCAGACCATGAATCTATACCCGTCTTTGGCGCCATAGCGTTCGACCAGGGGAAAACCAATTTCCCCCGAAAAAGATAGAAGATTCTTGACCTCGCGTTCAAGGGACGGTGCGTCCGTATCGCGCGCCTCCAGCTTGATCATCACCTTACGGTCGTCCTCTAATAGCCCAGCACCCTGGATCTGACGATAACCAAGGTAGACGTCATCCTGAATGTGCTTAATGAGTTTATAGCCGTCAACCGTCTCCTGGAGAAAAGTTAGACGAGTTCGCAAAAGCTTCAATGGGTAGTCATACCAGAGGGAGAGCCATTGTGCCTTGTCGGGAGTTGGTTTATAGATATATCTGGGGAATTCAGGACAGATCCATTGTGCGCGTAGAAGCTTGCATAGAGCAAGATGAATAGAAAAGACAGGAATTCGGTGAGCTTTATATGCTGTACATGCCTCTAGCTCTGTAGCGAGGAAATGACATCTCAAATGCGGCACAAGTCATATATCGAACTCGACTAATATTCCAGCACATATGCCAAGAAACAAATAATAACGCCGAAACAGAAATAGTAACGTATTTATCGCAGAATAAGATTTTATTCTTCTCAATCGAGGCTCCAGTCGTTGTAGCTCTCACTGGCCTTCACTCTTGGCGGCTGCCGGGGTCCGCTCTCCTCCATCTTTCGGTATTGTTCGAACGTGTCCCGGTCGCGATTCGGGATAACGGCTAACGCCTGTTCACATAGGAGGTACTCGTGTATGCTTTTGAAAATCACCTTAACACGTTTTCCACCTCTGGAGATCACGGCCCAAACAAAGTAACTCCCTTTGACGTGTTCAATACCTTCATAAATTTCGACCTGGTCAACAGCTGTGGAGTCATTGATAGCCTCTCGGCTTAAAACTAATTAATAAGTTGGCCGCAAGAGTAGAAGTTGGAGTACATGAGGGTATACCTATAAGTTTCGTAGGGCCAGATTGAGGCTTCAAAATCCGGGGGAATATTTATTCCGCCCATTGCAACAGCTGTCTTCACTCCTGGCATCCGCCGCAGCTCTTCGAGAGAGCAGAGCCCAAGTTTCTCCTTACCGAGCTTGGTCTGAACCTTGATTAGCGCGTCGTCACTATAGACCTTATAAATTTTCTTGACGTGCTTAACATCATTCACGTAGAGGCAATCCCCGTCAGATCTGTGATCCTTAGCTTACGTAGAACATTGATTGATTGATTGATTGATTGATTCATAGACTGTCCCAGCCGCCCTTGTGGCAGCTATGCAGCGTGCAACTATAAATACAGGTATTCCCGCCCTTTGATTCCAGGATCAAGCTATTCGCGTCCTGAATTGCTTTCTTTTCCACTCGAGCTTAGATATCCCTATATAAATAGTCTTCTTACCGTTCCGTGTCTATGCACTTGTTAGGCCTCTCTTGGCCTTCCTCTGCTTTTGTCTACCGTAGTCCCCCTATCTGTTCTATTTCTCTGTGTCTATCAGGCCTCTCCTGGCCCTCCTCTACTTCTGTTATTACTAAAATTTACTCATTAACGCTAACTATACTAGAGTAATGTGGACGGGACAGTCTGGAATTAACCCAGGAGCCCAGTCCTTAAGATCATCTTAGCTGCTTGCACTGCCATAGATGGGCTACAGAGAATTCACTTAATATCCACGCATGGGAGCTTGCCTGCCCACATCTGGTGTCGTTTGTCCGCCCAGTTTCAGCATTCCAAAAGGATATGCCGCACAGTCTGCGGCCCGTAGCCACATTGGCATTTGTCGGTGTCAGCTTTGTTAATGGCGTGGAGGTATGCGTTCAAGGCAATCTTGCCTGTACGCATCTGTGTGATAGCCAAACTGATCGCTTGGTGTGTATCTCTATGGGTGTCGAGGATCCCTTTTCCTAGTTGGACCCTAAGATTAAAGAGGTCCCTGCCGTGCTTGGCCGTTTCCTAGGAGGTCTCCTATTTGCGTTTCATCGTTTAGCGAATAGTGGTCTTTGTGGTTGCTATTAAGATCTGTAGCTAGTCTGGCTCTAGAGGTTGTCTAGTATCTATTTCTAGGTTTAGGGTGACGCTCGCGGCTTCCTTTGCTAACCAGTCCACTTCTTCGTTGCCTAGCACCCCGACATATGCTAAGATCCAGCAGAACTGCAGCTCCCACCCAAGGCGTTAGAGTTCATTAAGTTCCTATAACGCCTCAGCTAGGATATACTGGCCCAAGGAGTGTCTTAGGTTCCATATGGCTTGGATGGTGGCCTGGTTGTCTGTGAAGATTGCGCATTTTCTGGGAGCAATATTAGCTGCATATACGTTGAGTACTATTTGTAGTGCCAGTATTAGGCCCTTAAGTTCTGCCGCGTAGACCGTGGAAGTACTAGATATTCCTATATACTGAGTCCATCTTGTGTTGACGCTGTTGACTTAAAGCGTGGGTGCTACCGCAGCTGTTCCAACGTGGCCGTTGATGCCGCTTTTGTCCATGTATATTTATATGGTTGTGGGTTCTATGGCGTCGTGCTCCTTAATTACATCTTCTGCAGTTTCGGCTATGTGGATAAAAGGGGGAGTCCACTACGGTGGTACAATGTGTAGTTGGCGTTTCTTGAGCTGGTCGAGCCACACCTTATATTTGCGTTCTAGGATGCCTGAGAAATGGTCAAGTGGGCTTTGTGTGTCATTCCTCCCACTATTGCCCTCGGTTACTGCCATGTCAGCGTGTGGCGGGGATGTCCATATACACATAGTGGCTTCCAGCGCTGTCTGTTTGAGTTGTTGCTATACTGGGAGTAAATGTGCTTCCACGTCTACTACCGCTCCGGCGGTTGTCTAGAAGGCACTAGTAATGATTTGGGCTGCGCGTCTTTGGATCTTCTTAATGGTATTTACTATGGCGCTGCCTCGACCTCTGTAGCTACTGCCGGGGATGTGCCATGCAAAGCATCTATAGAGCATCTGGGGTACGATTATTGCTCTGTAAACCTGTCGGAGGCTGACAGTCCCTGTTCCCCAGGTTGAGGATGCTAGAGCAGCCAGTGCTGAGAGTTATCTTGAGGCTCCTGCCTCTACCTTATCGCGGTGGTAGTCCCACCTAAGCCTAGTGTCTATCTGGATGCCAAGATACCAGCATGACTAGGAAGCTTTAACCGTAGTGTGCGGTAGGTAAAGGGGGTATGTGCTGTTTGCCCTCGGGTCCCTTGTGAAGTGGACGAGTTCATACTTCGCTAGTGCGAACTAGGAGCCGTGTTTCCTTGCCCACAACTCTGCTTTTTGGTGGATATTTTTAAGGGTTTTATAATTGCGCTATGCCGTCGGGCTGACTGCTAGAATTAACACATTATTAATATATCCCACCGCTTCTGTATCCTCTAACTTGTATACCTTAATAAGGTCGGCGTTATAGAAGAGGTACAGAATTGGCGAGACGGGCGACCCCTGCGGGATCCCCGTTTGGATCGGGGTTGAGGGCGCAGTGTACTCCTGCAGCTTGACAGTCGTTGATTAGTTACTAAGAAAGGACGCTACCTAACGTACAATCTTCTGGTTGACCTAATATTTCTAGAGGTTATATAAAAGTCACTCTTGAGATACATTGTTGTATGCTCTAGATACATTGAGTAGTAGGAGCGATGCCACCTTGCCCTTAGACCATGCCTGGTGTATTTTCTAGAGGAGGAAGTGTATGGCATGCTTTGTTAATGCCAATTTCCGCCCCCTGGTGTGTTAACTAGGGAGGAGTTGGTAGGCATTGGCGATATACGCCAGTCAGTTCGCGATGATGGCCTCCAAGGCCTTGCCTAATGTGTTGAGGAGGGCGATTAGCTGGTATGATTTGGGCTATATGTAGTTGCCTTTGCCCGGCTTTCGAAGAATAACTATAATACTGTTTTTGAAGTGCTTAGGGTAGTATCCCTATTTAAGGCATGTGTTAAAGAGCTTGTAGAGACTTAGGAGAAGGATGTTAAGTATCTAGTATAGAATGCTATTGTTAATACTATTAGCGCCTAGGGATTTGTTTAGAGACACCTTGCGTACCGCCCTTTCGATCTCCGCCGTGGTGATTTCTGGGCATTTGATGGGTGGAGGGTATTCGCATCCCTCGAGGTCTGAGAGGTCCGCTTGGTGTGGTGGCGGGAAGAAGGACTGGCGAAGCACTTCTGCCTTTTCTTCTGGCTGGTGGACGAGTTCTCCGTCTGCTCTTATTAGTGCTGGCGTGCATGCCGGCGTCACGTCGTGCCTGTTTTTGGCCCATTTGATCAGGTTCCAGAGCCCCGTTTGCGTCGCGGAGGCTTCTTCGACTCTTTGCCTATGGGTGTTTCGGAGGGTCTTTCGAATATGACGGCCTTTCTTGTTGCATGCCTGTCGGTAGGCCTCGTAATCGTCTTCTTGTCGTGATCGTTGCCACTTCCGGCGGAGTTGTTGGACTTCTGTGCATAGGTCCTTGCAGCTCTGGTCAAACCCTGCGATTGACCGTGGGGAGGGGTTCGACCACGGGGTTGATGCAACGATACCCGCGTCTATCGCAGTGATGATAGATGATACGAGGTTGTCGATACTTCCCTCGTTGTTAAGTTCCGAGGAGTCATAGGCCAAGAGGAGATGTCTCTCGACGGTTTTGCGGAGTAACTCCACGTTCGTCTTTGCCCATATACGTTTTCTATTTGGAATTGCAGGTAGCCACCTCCAGTCGATGGCCACGGCGATAGGGAGGTGGTCAGAGTCACAGTCAAGGCTACTGTCCACTTTGCAATGGATTAGGCGGAGTGTCAAGTCCTCGGTTGCGAAGGTGAGGTCGATTGTTGACTCCCCTCCCTGCCAGCGATGCGTCGTGGTTCCGGGTACTGTGAGGAGCTGTAGTTGAAAGTCCTCCACGATTGTAAGGAGATCTCGGGCACTTGGTCCGTAAGAGGCCCGCCGTCGTATCACCGACCAGAGCGGGTGGTGCAGGTTGAAGTCTCCAAGTACCATAACTTCCTTGTGGGACTCCAGCCTATCGATGGCGTCAGCCAACGCGGAGAGCGTATCGGTTCCCACTTCGTTGTAGACATTAAATATGTGAATATTCCTTCCGGTGGGGGGGTTGCGGATGGTAAGGGAGGTGATGTCCTTGGAGAGGTGTGACACGCTCCACGTGCCAGGGTTGATCCGTTTGTTGATGTAGAAGCACACCCTTGTGGCGGCGTCGTTGAGGTAGATTAGTTGAAAATGTTGTTTTAGGGGATAATAGGATATAGAGATGAATAGATTTCGCCAGGGTTCCTATATCGCCAGGATGTCGTATTCGAGGACTTGAGGGTTACGGAAGAGACTGGCGAGGACGATATCTCTTGACTTCCGGACATTGTACTGTAAGATACGTAGTTCTTGGTGTCTTAACATGGGAGTAAGGCTGTGTTGGGACTGTCTATAGGGGATCGGCTTCTGAATACGCGGGTCCTCTGTCGGCGAAAGGGTGGGGACTGGCTCCGGGTTGATCGATCCCTCGGTTCTCGGGGCGTCCATCCAGGACTGATGTTAGCCCATCTTCCCTTTGCTTCAAACCGCACCTTCAGGTTTCTCCGAATATATTCCATCTTGGTTCTCATGTGGTTGCGCAGTGCCGACGTATGTAGGAAGTCTTTGCCGCAGTACACGCATATCTTCATGCAGCGGGCAATCGTCATCTCAGCGTTGCGTGTTGGCCAGTTGTCATAGAGTTCCTGGTGTTCTGGGCAGTTACACCCCTTGTATAGTCCTTGAGCCGTACGGGTGTCTATAGCCATCGAAGTCGGTATGGATCCGGCTCCTTTGGAGTCGTGCCTGATATCTGCGAAGGTGTCCTCCAGGTTGGCCAGCCATTCCTCTGCGTTATCCATATCACAGTCTCCCAGTGTCGTGTCAGGGGGATATAGGGGTTGCTGGATCGGTGCCTCAACCATCGATATTGCCTCCGTGCATCCTGCATCCGGGGTAGCGACTTCTGCTGGATTGGCCCTCGGGGCGTGCTCTGTTGCCATTAGTTGTGGATCGATAATGAGCTGTTGCACCGCAGGTTCTTGCCGCAATACTGGTGCCGGTGCATCCTCATCCGCTTGCGCTTCTGCCTGCTCTAGGGATGGCAGTTCTGGGAGGGGATTCCTTGCCTGTGCAGGCGAGGGTTCTGCGGTGGGCTCTCGTTGGTCCGATGGCTCTAGGTTCGGGGTGTCTGATATAGTGACAACTTCGCTAGAGGTGGGGTTGCTTGTAGGGCGTTGTTTTGCTCTCGACCTGTCGTTCTTGGGGGGTTTGTCTGTCGACACAGCATGCCAGTAAGTGTTCCGTGTTTGTTTAGCCTGTTCGACTCTCTCCATTTCTTTCTTCCTCGCCGGGCAGGCGTTGCTCCATGCTTTATGGGCGCCTTTGCATACTGTACATCTGGGAGTGAAGTTTTCCGCTCCCTTCTGATTGCAGTTCCTGGTCTCATGTAACTCAGCGCAATAGCCACATGCTTGGGCTGCGTTGCATTGAGTGCCAATGTGGCCGTAATTGTAGCAGCGGAAGCATTGCTTTACTCTGCACGCGCGGTCGTACAGTTGACACATGTGTATCTGCCCGTCCCACGCCATCCCCGCATAGATGATGGCGTTGGCCATTTCAGAGTCTGTGAACTCCACCACTATGGAGGATGCGTGTTTGAGGGTAGACTCCCAAGTCAGCCATCCTACAGATGAGATCTCTGCTTTGGGTATAACTGTGTGGTTATCTGCAAGTATCCGTTGGATGGTTGCTTCCTGATCTTTGGTGTTGATGGAGTTCGTAGAGATACCGTGAACGATGACTCCGTAGGTTGGCACTGTAAGTTCGGCGTGTTCTCCGAGGCCGCTAACCCATCCTCTGCTCTCTCTGAGCCTCGCGACTTCTGCTCTAGATGAGGTGAAGATCTGAATATCACCGCTTTTGAGTTGATGGGCTGCCACCACTGTGACTGACCTGGACTTCGCATGGTTCTGGATGGAGGTATCTACTTGTTGTTTTATTTTGGTGGCAGAAAGTGTTCGGAACCGTTGGATGATTCCTTGGTCCTTGAGTCTGACTATTACTGCTCGATCTTTGTATGCTGTGACGGCGGGTTGGGGTTTGGTAGTGCATGTACTTTGTGAAACCGGGGGGCCTCTGGCTTGTGCTGCCACTTGTGCCCAGGTTCCAGTTGTGGTTCTACCTCCGCTGGGATTGGTTGCGTTCGGCGGAGCAGTGCTCAGGCCTACGATGTTTTTGATGATCGAAACATCTCTCTGAATGTTCTGTGTGCATCTAGTAGTATCCTGGATGTGGTGGAGGATGTCACTAATTGCAGGTTGCTGGAGCACTTTGCCAACGAGCGCAATGGTAGAGGTGATATATTGCTGCACTGTATTCCATGGTACTTGGTCCTGTCCTAGGGCCTGTAATTGATGACAAGCTTCGCGGAGGTATGCAGCGTGTTCATTGATGTGCTCCGGGTCATTGTTTACCTGCGGCCATTTCGGCGCCATAACCACACATTCGACGCGTTTTCACGCGTCAAATGCGGCAATCGCCTACGAGGATGCAGGTAGACAATCAATCAATCAATCAATCAATCGTAATAGATAACATCAGACTGGTATAATGTCAGGAAATTGCGGCGTCAGGCAGACCAAAGATCATCAATCAATCAATCAATCAATCGGACCTCTCAGACCTCGAGGGATGCGAATACCCTCCACCTATCGAATGCCCAGAAATCACCACGGTAGAGATTAAAAGGGCGGTATGCAAGGCGTCTCTAAACAAATCCCTAGGCGCTAATAGTATTAATAATAGTATTCTATATTAGATACTTAATATCCTTTTTCCAAGTCTCTGTAAGCTCTTTAACATATGCCTCGAATAGGGATACTACCCTAAGTACTTTAAAAATAGTATCATAGTTGTTCTTCAAAAGCTGGGCAAAGGCGACTATATATAGTCCAAATCATACTGGCCAATTGCTCTCCTTAATATATTGGGTAAGGCCTTGGAGGCCATTATCGCGAACTGACTGGCGTACATCGCCGATACCTATTAACTCCTCTCTAGTCGACACACCAGGGGGCGGAAATTGGCATCGATAGAGTATACTATGTACTTCCTCCTCTAGAAAATACACCAGGCATGGTCTGAGGGCAAGGTGGTATCGCTCCTACTGCTTAATGTATCTAGAGTATATGACAATGTATCTTGAGAGCGACTTTTATATAACCTCTAGAAACGTTAGGTTAACCAGAAGATTATACATTGGGTAGCGTCCTTTCTTAGTGACTGATCAACGACTGTCAAGCTGTAGGAGTACACTGCGCCCTCGACCCTGATCCAAACGGGGATCCCGCAGGGGTCGCCCGTCTCGCCAATTCTGTACCTCTTCTATAACGCCGACCTCATTAAGGCATATAAGTTAGAGGATACAGAAGCGGTAGGATATATTAATGATGTGTTAATTCTAGTAGTCGGCCCGACGGCATAGCGCAACTATAAAACCCTTAAAAATATCCACTAAAAAGCAGAGTTGTGGGTAAGGAAACACGGCTCCTAGTTTACACTAGCGAAGTATGAACTCATTCACTTCACAAGGGACCCGAGGGCAAACAGCACACACCCCCTCCGCCTACCGCACACTATAGTCAAAGCTTCCCAGTCATGCCGGTATCTTGGCATCCAGATAGACACTAGGCTCAGGTGGGACTGCCACTGCGACAAGGTAGAGGCAGGAGCCTTAAGATGACTCTCAGCACTGGCTGCTCTAGTATCCTCAACCTAGGGAATAGGGACTGTTAGCCTCCAACAGGTTTACAGAGTGATGATTGTACCCCAGATGCTCTATGGATGCTTTGCATGGCACATCCCTGGCAGTAGCTACAGAGGTTGAGGCAGCGCCATAGTAAATACCATTAAGAAGATCCAAAGACGCGTAGCCCAAATCATTACTAGTGCCTTCCAAATAACTGCCGGAGCGGCAGTGGACGTGGAAGCACATTTACTCCCAGTACAGCAATAACTCAAACAGATAGCGCTAGAAGCCACCATGCATATACAGACATCCCCGCCACATGCTGACATGGCAGTAACCAAGGGCAACGGTGGGAGGAATGACGCACAAAGCCCACTTGACTGTTTCTTGGGCATCCTGGAACGCAAATACAAGGTGCGGCTCGACCAGCTCGAGAAACGCCAACCGCACATTATACCACTGTGGTAGACTCCCCCCTTCATCCGCATAGCCGAAACTGTAGAAGATGCAATTAAGGAGTACAACGCCACAGAACCCACAACCATACAAATATACACAAATAGAAGCGGTATTAATGACCATGTTAGAACAGCCGCGGTAGCACCCACGCTTTAAGTCAACGGCGTTAACATAAGACGGACTTAGTATATGGGAATATCTAGTACTTCTACGGTCTACGCGGCAGAACTTAAGGGCCTGGTGCTGGCACTACAAATAGCACTCAACGTATATGTAGCTAATATCGCTCCTAGAAAATGCGTAATCTTCACAGACAACCAGGCCGCTATTCAAGCCATATGGAACCTAAGACACTCCTCAGGCCAGTATATCCTAGCTAAGGCGTTATGGGAACTTAATGAACTCCGACGCCTTGGGTGGGAGCTACAGTTCCACTAGATCCCAGCACATGTTGGGGTGCTAGGCAACAAAGAAGCGGACCAGTTGGCAAAGGAAGCCGCGAGCGTCACCCTAAACCTAGAAATAGATACTGGACAACCTCTAGAGCCAGACCAGCTATAGATCTTAATAGCAACCACGAAGACTACTATTCACCAAACGATGAAACGCGAATGGGAGACCTCCTGGGAAACGGCCAAGCACGGTAGGGACCTCTTTAATCTTGGGGTCCAACTGGGAAAAGGGATCCTTGACACCTATAGAGATATATACTGAGCGATTAGTTTGGCTATCACACAGATGCGTATAGGTAAGATCGCCTTAAACGCATACCTCTACGCTATTAACAAAGCTGACACTAATAAATGCTAATGTGGCTACGGGCCGCAGACTGTGCGGCACGTCCTCCTGGAATGCTGAAACTGGGCGGACGAACAACACTGGATGTGGGCAGGCAAGCTCCCATGCGTGGATATTAAGCAAATTCTCTGTAGCCCATCTATAGTAGTGCAAGCAGCTAAGATAATCTTGAGGACCGGGCTCCTGGGTCAATTCCAGACTGTCCCGTCCACATTACTCTAGTATAGTTAGCGTTAACGAGTAAATTTTAGTAATAACAGAAGTAGAGGAGGGCCAGGAGAGGCCTAATAGACATAGAGAAACAGAACAGACAGGGGGACTACGGTAGACAGAAGTAGAGGAAGGCCAAGAGAGGCCTAATAAGTGCACAGACACGGAACGGTAAGAAGACTATTTATATAGGGATATCTAAGCTCGAGTAGAAAAGAAAGCAATTCAGGACGCGAATAGCTTGATCCTGGAATCAAAGGGCGGGAATACCTGTATTTATAGTTGCACGCTGCATAGCTGCCACAAGGGCGGCTGGGACAGTCTATGAATCAATCAATCAATCAATCAATCAATCAATCAATCGTAATAGATAACATCAGACTGGTATAATGTCAGGAAATTGCGGCGTCAGGCAGACCAAAGATACACATCAGACTGGTATAATGTCAGGAAATTGCGGCGTCAGGCAGACCAAAGATGCAGAAATGCAGAAATCCAGGAATGTGGAAATGCTAAAATTAGAAATATAGGGCAATGCAGGAAGCGCAGAACCTAAAAGTATGTGAGCGCTTAACCTACTCATCTTATCCAATCACCCACGTTATTACTTAAGGTGAGTGAATAAGTGATAGGCAAATAATGCTAGAAAGAGGGAGGGGAAAATCAGAAATGCAGAAATGCAGGAACGCGGAAAGTGTACAGATCTAATTTACCAACAATAAATGGGTGCAATTTGGTGGTAGAAAACATTAGTAGAGCAACGCGCGATTAATAAGATGCGGCATCTCACACGAAGGGACTCCGGCCCTCTTTCCTATCCTTTTCCGCCCCTCGTCCTCTGGTCCACTAGCGGCCGCCGAACGCTTCACGGAGTTTCTATTTCTTACAGGCGCGACCAGCCTGGAGCGGTGGAAGTCAATTATCAAGGCCCGCCCTAACTCTTCACTCCACAGTATGTTATTAGGCCGTAAGTCTAGATGATCTACCCCCATGGCGCGGATCTGCTTCTTTGACCGCTTAGCCTCATTGCGTAACTCTCGGGACTGCTCCATTCTACTGGTGTCCTCTCCACCCCAGCCCATGAGCAGCATGTGCTGGATGAGTCTGCAGTGGAGGTGGTATATCATCTTCAGGTCGATGCACCCGAGGAACACGGGAACCGCGGAGCCCTGGACCCCGCGGAGGACGTGGTATACCTCTGCTTCACGTCGCACCTCACCCCAGCGAAGGCGCGTCGTACCCTTCCCGACTACCGTGTAGCCATACTGGCGACAGGTGATTCTGAACGGCGCCCCGTACGAGCCACGGGTGCCAAACGGCGTGCAGTCACGGTCCAGGGTCTCATCTAGCTGTTGCTTGATCAGGCCCACCAGCCGCTCCGCATCGACAGGGTGCTTGTCGCTGCCATCCGTTGATCTATGCTTCTCAACATTCGGGCATCCTCTATCCAGGGTATCCCTCCGCCGAAGCCCGAGTAAGCATTTTTGTGTGCAAAATGCCGTGGTGTGCTTATAGCCTCCCTGGCTCCCTCTACCTTCCCTCCGACGCCACAGTCGTTGGCCGGGCGGCGACGCTGTGAGCTCGCTCAAGTTTCGCTTCCGCCCAGGAGCCGCCTGCTGGGAGTCAGAGTCGGAGTCCGTGGGCTCTGAACGGTGTGCGGTTGTGCTTCAAGGCGCGCAGCCAGCCTGTGATCGAGTGACGGGGCGGTGGTTGTCCGCAGTTGGAGAGCTTAGAGGAGGAGAGGATGGCATATGCTCCGAGCAGGGAGGGGTTTTTTGGAGCTCCTCTTCTGGTATGCGCGCCCTCTTGTAGTCAAGACTTGTTTCCTATACATGTAGCTGTTGCCTTGCATCGTTTCTCTAGCATTGATCCTGGGGTGGCGAGCAGCAGCTCATCAGGCAGAGACAGAGCACCCGAGCAATAGCGGTCTTTGGTTGCAAGATCCGTGCGTCCCCTGAATCAACCTCCACGTTGGGTTCGCAGATGTGGTAGTAAAGCGTGCTTGGATCATCGCGCTGCACGCAAAGCAAGACATAGGCCAATCCATTCGTAATGTATGAAAATTCGAGTCCTTCATTGATCATCACATGGTATCCCTGAACCAGAGTAGATGCTGTTATCTGTTCCGCGTTATATATTAACTTTGCATTTTCCTCCGTTGGAATCGTATCCCGCTGGACCACCTCCTCCCAGAGGTTCATCTCCCGGAGACCGACACGGAGATGCTCTACTGCTAGCTTGTGAGGTGGTTTATACTCGACGGTGGTGAGTAGTGTATTCATGCCATTGTCTACACGATGGATACAGAACTGATCTGGTATAGAGTGTCGTGTGTTTTGTCGGTTTAACGCACTTATATCATCATCCTCATCGACAGTATTCGCGTGGTTTTCGAACGTAACTCCCTCTCCGAGAGCAAACTCGTTTCGAGCCTCTGGGTCCTTGCACAGTTCTGCCATCACATCCTGGACGTGTTGTTCCACCGTGAGCCGCTCATGAAACTCCACATCCTTCTCACTGTTTAATGGCCGACACCTCCGTGCAATGCCCTCAAGTTCGATTAAGGGAGGAAATAGCTTATCGGTTGGCTCGAAATAGTCACGGACATGGCGGTAGAATTCATCCTGAATCCCCAAACAGGCTAGCCAGGGGCGAAGGTAGGTCGGGCATAACTTGCTAGTTGGCTTTCCAATTAACCCTTTGGTAGAGAGGGCGCTCTCTTGGACCGTTGTGGGCAGAGAGAGCAGGTTATGGTAGGCTTGGATGAACTCCTCGAACGATGTACGCTGGTTGCGCTCTTCCGCCCTTGTTGCTCTCTCATCCGCCTGTCGCTGCTGTTCTTCTGCCTGCAGCCGCTGCTCTTTTTCCTGTATTGCTCGCTCCTCGGCCTGTCGTCGTTGCTCCTCGGCCTGTATAAAGAGAGCCTTATAGTCTAGCGCATTATCGGGAGCCATGGATCTCGCATATCGATGGACTTTTAATTACACTCTCTGACACTGGAGCAATGAGGGTGCTGATTAACAAATGTCTCGGAGACTAGAGGGAACACGTGACTACGTCTCACTCTACGTGGCACAGGGAAGCGGCAGCGAGATGCCTATCGACCCAAGATAACATCGAACAAAAGCAACTGTCGGATCCTAGTTGATCCGCGTCTTAGGGTACGACTCGCCACCACACATGATCCATATGTCCGATTGGATGGTTAGGCCTTTTCGTCCACTCATCTTATTGAACTCCTTATTAAGCTACTCATCCTATTTAATCACCTAGGACAGAGAGGGGGGATGGGGGAATCAGAAATGCAGAAGTATAGGAACGCGAAAGTGTACGGATCTAAGCGCTCACTAAATCCTAGCTACGTGACGATAAGTGGGTGACTGGATAAGGTGGGAGGCTGGATAAGGCAATCATGTAAATAAGGTAAGCGTGTGAATAAGGTGAAAATAGAGTGATAAGGTAGAACGAGTAAATGATAGAGTGAGTAAATGCTAGAACTAGTAATGCTGAGTGATTGAATATTATAGAGGGCCGGGCTATCGAGGACGCCTGACACAATCAGGGTAGGCTTGGATATTCCTCTTGTCTTAGCGCATTGGCGCATTTCCAAGTACATTAACTAGTCTTAAAACCCCTCCCTCTTGGGGATGGAATTTGGAGAGTTGCTTCTTCGATTGCCACAGCTATGAACCATATGCGAATGGCATTTTAGAACAAAATACGGGTTAAGGGATCACTATCGAATGAGTCGCTCCCATTCCTCCGCGCTTGGCGAGCGGTTGTCTAGGCTTAAAAAATACAAGCCTGACCATCTACGCGACCATTATCTGTTTGCCGTTGGCCTCCTTAAAATATGAGTGGCCTCTATTTTGTAAGTATAGTTCCTCTTTCACCTAGGTGGCTGATACTTGTTCACTAAGTGAACGAGTAACTGTATATAGCTTTTGGAATTCCCAACTTAATGTTCTGGTATAGTAGGATGGTTACCTGTAATTCTAATCCAGGCCAATCTCTGTCAAACCCGAGTTGAAATTTTCCCAGTACCAACCACCGCTTCACCCCACGATCAAATCCTCTCAACACTTCTCCTTAACTGACCAAAGTCTTTCTTAACCAGCGCAAATGGCGTCCGTACTTGAGCCAGAAGTCGAGCAGTCTACAGCGGACTTGATCATTCGGCTCCAACTTGAAGATACCGGCAAGAAGATAGTATTTGATAATTCACGACTACCTCGTCAGACACCCTTACATTTCTTGCCTCGATGCTTCTTCGCAGGGCGCCCTCTTTGAAATCTCGACGACCCGTGAGCGTAGCGCTGGATGGCTGTGTCGGACGTCGACGATTAAAGTCAGACACAAGCTTCGTGCACCCTGCCAGGTCACCTTGGGGCAGCCACGAATTTTCCCATGCTACGAGATACTCGGTGCGCTCCTCTCCTCTGTGGTTCCTCCGGATTCTTGACCTTAGTATGCTCTTCACCTCCCACCCTTCTTCGGTCTCCCCTCCGTCGACGGGCGACGGAGACCTGGATGTGACGGATAGAATGTTATGTCGATGGTCCGCATCGTGAGCAGATATTCTTGGGGCTCTGCCGGACTGGGATTCTGATCTACGGTTAGCCCGCGAATCAAAGTCAGCAAGGGCCAACGTACCTGGGACTTCTATAGCCTCAATGCTATATCCGCGAGCGTAGCCTTGAGGGGAGCCTTCACGAAAGCTCTCTAGGTACGTGGAATTCGAGGCTCTCATCCACACGGTAGGGCCGCTCCCCATTTATTCTATGTCGTTTCCCTCTTGCGCCTCGCCGCCGGCAATGACGGCTTGGAGGCTAATATCGTTGAGGGTAACGTGGTTCAATGAAAGGTCGCCACAGGAGTCATCTTCGCAAGGAAGGCTGATGTCGTCAACGTGTGGAGGCTGATCCGGGTGCGGCTCCTCTTCACCGCAAAGTTCCATCGTGTCGTCGACAACGATGATCGGTCCAACTGTTGCGCCGGCGTCAGTCAGCGAGCCGGAGAGCCTGAGGGAGAGGATGAACGCACATTTATTGCAGCCAAGCCTTGAACCCTGAGCCCCCGATGGAAAGTTAACCAGGCCAGTTTCTTCTTTCGCTTCGCTTTTGATAAGGGGTGGGGATTCCCCGTCTGAAGTATTGCAGTCGCCGTCGTCTGAGAACAAACCGCGAAGAGAATGACGATCACTGCCATCTCCATCAGCTTCCTCGGGGGAATGGCTACGCGTAGCTACCACGCGAGAAGGACCGGCGGTGAGATCAACGGTGGCGAGAGAAGGGTTTTCTATTAAGTGATGACCTGGCGCCGTAATTCGCACCATAAGATGTTCATGTTGGAATCTGAAAGGCAGCCCTCATATTATATACATACCGTAAACCATAGGACCCTATTAATTAATGCCCTCCATGCCGCCGAATCTCGCAGCCTCCCAGCATGGTCTCATTCGTGATATGATTCTCGACAACTCGCTCACTATGTAACCGCCAAATCGGTGCTGTTGCTGGCTGTAGCATCCGCTCAGTTCACGTGAGAAATGGCCTTCAAAAAATGTGTGGGCCGATCCACATAGATACCCCATTCGGTATCAACCCAATTTCAGCCTTGTCCACCGCTCAGCTGGCAGAACTATTATCAATCCCAACACACCTCCAACCCCACAGATCAACTTCACGTATAACCTCCATAATCTTCATTCCATCTCAGCTAACACTTAGTTACCTGCTCTTTGCTACTAGTTTGTAAGAAGGCCTCAGAAGGCCATGCAAACACGTTGCTGACTCTCTACCAGTGTCCTTATATGCCAAAAATGTCCGGCGCCGAAGCAAGTCTTGTCCTTGGCCTCATCTCGTCCGTCATTACAATTATCCATGCAACTCAGCAAATCTTCGAGGCTGTCGGGGATGCAAAGGGCCTTCCCATAAATTTTATGAAGTCGGCGTCGAAGCTACCCCTCATCTCGAAGCTCCTCGAAGACGCCGAAAAGTATATCAAAACCGTGGCGGATGATACCATCCAGACTGCTTTCAAGCCTGCTCTAGAGCATTGCAAACTTCGGGCAACACGCCTGCAAGAGTTATTCACAAAGGTTATGCCAGACGAGGATGACTCGAGATTAGATCGGTATGTGAAAGCCGCCCGTACGATCGGAAAGGGCGGTCGCGTGGAGGAGTTGATGAGGGGTATTCTACATGATTTGCAACTCTTGGCAACTCAGTTTCCTGAATTGACAACACAGAGATCCAAAGACCAAATGGTAAAGGCTGTCGAAGATGCGTCCAACATGGAGCCTTCGTTACCTGACGGCTTCGAAGATATGCCGCCATTTGCACACTATAGAAGTGGTGCCCAAAACAACAACATGGGCAATCTTTATTCAGATCAAGGCAAGCTGGTCGAGACCGAGGAGATGTATCACCGCGCTCTGCAAGGGTACAAGGAGGCGTTGGGTACTGACCATATCTCAACTCTCGACACATTCAATAACTTGGGCACTCTTTATTCGGATCAAGGCAAGCTGGCCGAGGCTGAGGAGATGTATCAGCGCGCTCTGCAAGGAAAGGAGAAGACATTGGGTGCCGACCATATATCAACACTCCAAACAGTCAACAACTTGGGCAATCTTTATTCAAATCAAGGCAAGCTGGCCGAGGCTGAGGAGATGTATCAGCGCGCTCTGCAAGGAATGGAGAAGGCGCTGGGTGCTGAACATACATCCACACTCAATACAGTTAACAACTTGGGTCTTCTTTATAATGCTCAAGGCAGGCTGGCCGAGGCTGAGGAGATGTATCAGCGCGCTCTGCAAGGAATGGAGAAGGCGTTGGGTGCTGACCATATCTCAACTCTCAGTACAGTCGGCAACTTGGGTCTTTTTTATTCAGATCAAGGCAAGCTGGCCGAGGCTGAGGAGATGTATCAGCGCGCTCTGCAAGGAAAAGAGAAGGCGTTGGGTGCTGACCATACATCAACACTCGATACAGTCAACAACTTGGGTCTTCTTTATAATGCTCTAGGCAGGCTGGCCGAGGCTGAGGACATGTATCAGCGCGCACTGCAAGGATACCAGAAGGCGCTGGGTGCTGACCATATATCAGCACTCCGAATAGTCAACAACCTAGGCACTCTTTATCAGAAGCAGGGCAAGCTCGCTGATGCAGAAAAGATGTATCAGCGCGCTCTGCAAGGAAAGGAGAAGGCGTTGGGTGCTGACCATACATCAACACTCGATACAGTCAACAACTTGGGCAATCTTTATAGGAACCAAGGCAAGCTGGCCGAGGCTGAGGAGATGTACCAGCGCGCTCTGCAAGGATACCAGAAGGCGCTAGGTGCTGACCTTACATCAACACTCAATACAGTCTACAACTTGGGTATTCTTTATTCGGATCAAGGCAAGCTGGCCGAGGCTGAGGACATGTATCAGCGCGCACTGCAAGGATATCAGAAGGCGCTAGGTGCTGACCATATATCAACACTTGATACTATTGACAACTTGGGCACTCTTTATCAGAAGCAGGGCAAGCTCGCTTACGCAGAGAAGATGTATCAGCGCGCTCTGCAAGGAAAAGAGAAGGCGCTGGGTGCTGACCATACATCAACACTCAATACAGTCAACAATTTGGGCAATCTTTATCAGAAGCAAGGCAAGCTCACCAATGCAGAGGAGATGTATCGGCGCGCACGGAAAAATGAAACTTACGACGACGATGATATCATATCGGATGTTTCCGAGGTACCTTCGCTGTGGTCGAGACATTCCACAGATAGTCGATCGTCATTAGGTGATTTGAATGATGTTTCCAAAAAGGCCTCTGAAAAAATGGCGAAGGTGCTGTACGATGATTCCGATCTTTGCCAGCTCTATTTACAAGCATTGGAAAAGCTTGGCAAGGGCAAATTCGCGAAAAATCATAATGATATTTTGAAGAGGTTTTTCCAAGATCTCAGATCAGAGCTCCATGGCGATTTTCGCAGGTTGCAAGCCATTCGGTTACTCCGGCATCCCTCTCAAAGGGGACATATAACCGAGTGGATATACAAGCTTTGCAATCCATCTCCAAATCCAACAACCCTAAAGTTGACACAAGAATTCCTTGACCAAAGGGAAATTCGAGGAGAAAGACTTGTCTCCTACCTACAATCTCAACCAATTGGGCCACAAAATGGGAGTAGCATGGATGTTGCAGAGACTACAGTAATGAAGTATGAATTGAGCAATGAGCGGTATAAAAACACTGATGTCGAGAGTAGTGGGGATGACGAAATTGAGGACGATGTCAGCAGTGAGGATGGTGAAGACAATACTAAGCAAGTAAACTCCAAAGAACTTGATTCGGTGGTCACTTTCCTCACTAATAGCTCATCGTTTGCGGTCCTCAAGCTCAACGTTCGCTTGCTCATTAACCCTCCTACAAGCATCGAAGCAGCTCTTCAATCGGGTAATATTAGACCCTTGAGAAAACTGCTTGTGAAACACTTCAACAACGTTGCTACAGACGAATATTCTTGGATAAAGGACCTAGATGAAGCAGGCTACTCGCGTGACGAAATCGCTGATATCTTATTTCAAGACGCAAATGATGCCCCATGGATCTATTTTGAGCCTCGGAGACTTGACCGACCTGAGATATGCCTCAGTGATGGAGTTCATATACCGGGATGTGTACATCACTGTTTTGAAATTCCAACTATGTTAAAGGAGCCCCGCATGCCACCCATTTATCCTGGGATAAAAACAGAGGCAGATGAAGTTCAGGAACTTTGTGGTTTGGCCGGAATTACACCTACTTCGCGTGACCTCAAGGAATGGAACGGCAAGGTCACATTCACAAAACAAAACTCCGTTGCTAGTATATCGTATGCCAGCTTCGCGGGGAATGTTGATCTTGACCGCCTAGTAGTCCTGCATAGGATCATCTTCACACTCGAGCGTTTCTGTATCGCTGCTGGCCGTATGCAAGCGTCTGCTCTGTGCTGTGATTCCTTTACAGTCCTTGTGCACCCTATTCGTTTATCTGATCTCGAAACCACTCCAGTTAGCCTCAGTCGCATCAAATTTCTTTCAGCTGTGCAACTACTGGCTGGTTTGAAGGCGCTGCCTTCGCTACTTCATATAACAGAATCAAACTTAGCAAACGTGCGGCAAACCGCATATCTAATCTTAGATTCTGTTTTACAGAACTGCTCGGAAAGTCTTTGGTGCAAAGACGTAGATGGGACTCTACATCTATTGTCTTTAACTGTCCAGTTCCTTTCCTTGGGTTTGTTGTCATATAATCAGGGGCATGTTGGACCGGTCCAACCATTTTTCCTGGACACCGCCCAGTGTAAACTTCTCCTCACAGGTACAAACGCTGAGAGTAAATCTGGGTGGATCACAGCGGAGCTGACGAATCTAACATGTATTGGAGACATGGTTGGTGGTTCGGTGCTTACGTTCAAAATAACAGGTGGCTCAGACCTTCAGAATGAAAGGAAGTTCGACCTCCTAGCCACTGCTGAAGACTTACTTGACACTTGGGGACCGGGAGGTTTCATTGTTCACAACAGTGTCAGCACTTCTCCGTGTGCCATAAAAGTATGTGGCGGCATCATATACTCTCCTAAGGGAAATAATCGCAAACTTCATTGGAGCCGCGCGATAGATATTGAACATATCCATTCTGTTTGTATTGATCCACGCCGCAAATTATGCATAGGTTCGCTCGTTGAAGTCAACCAGAACTGCACTGTCAACGAGAAGGAATGCTGGGACAGGTCTGCCTGTGCTTTCGAAAATCTTGACGTGCATGACGACTTCTGGAAGGATGACGAACGCCAAATTGGAAGCCAAGGGGGTCAATATATTGTGATTCAAGTTAACAGAATTCAACATAAGATTCCTGGCAGAACATGGAAGCAATGTATTCTTGATTTGGATCCGGAGACGCTTGTTCTAAACCTAAACTACCTATGTGGTCTTCAAGTGAGCTTCTGTACTGGCGTTGCGCGAAGAGTTTCACTACGAGAGCTGATAGCTGACATTCTTCCGATCTTTGCCAAAACTTCCCTCCAGGATCAGGCTTTATGGGATAAACTCGCGAGCCAATATGGCCTTGTTGACGCGTTTCACAAAGATAATGTTCAAGCTTGTCTCAAAAAGCTAGGACCTCAGGACTGCAAGTACATCCTAAGTCTCATCCAGAAAATAGTTCGTTCTCTTCAGTCTACTGGCATCGATCCAGAAGGCAAGTTTATGTCAGTTGCGTGGCCGTACGGCGACCCTCCCTTCCATTGTTTCAGAATTTCATGCCACGATAAAGTGAACTCATGGGTTCGTGTCCTTGCCGATGCCGAAGACTGTGCTACATTTGCGTATATCTCAACACACTGTTTAGTAACCCAACAAGTAAAGTGTCAAGGACCACCCATAGCCTGGCGCAATACCACTCCCGTTCTCGTGACAGCTATTCTCCAGCACAACGAAACTCCGAGCATTTCTTTAGGGCCCTTGGATATCAGAAAGGCATACTTCTTCAAGAAACCGAATTTGTTACTGAAAGTAATAGCGGAGCGACAAGTAGCCTCAGACGACATGACCCTCTTAGTCTCAAAGAGTTCGATACCTGCACGGTTCAGACAGAGGTTATTCATGTGGGAAATTAGGAAAAGCCAATGGAACCGGATTCGGGAGAGCCGAAACCTGCTTGAGAGTGAAGCAGTAGAAGTAACTGTACTCGCGAACAATGAGAGATCTATGCGGAGCTCGAACATGAACGTAAGTTGCTCCGTTGTCTTTCGCTGAGTGACGAATAAGGAGTTAAACATGACCTAGTGCCTGAAAGCAACAGATTCCCCAGCGAAGAAATGCTTGAGATCCCATTAACAAACGTTAGAGAACCAGCTGTGGGCGCAGGATGCGGTTGTCGAGCTGCTACGTAAAAGATACTATGCGAGCGAGACTCGGCGCCATAGAGGGCATTAATTGATAGGGTACATAGTGTACTTGTAAAAACGAAAATGTTACAGTATGGTACATTCGGTTTATAAGAGATTTTCATATACCGCACCAAGAATAGTTAACCCTATAGGGAGGTTGGACATAGATTAACTCTCAGAGGCGGCCAATCAACGGATAGGGTGGCGTCTCTACGAAACACAGCGGAACAGCAACGAAATGCTGTAAAGCCCGGAACGCTACGATCAGGAGCTCAAAATGGGCGTAAAGAGATGAATGATGATGATATCTAGGCTTACAGGCCATTTTGGGCCTCTATATATGTGTGTGTAAAAGGGCTAACCCTACATGAGCCGTGTATAAGTGGATATGCCAGGGGGGCCATATGAGGTCACGTGATGCAATATCCGACATTGATTGATTGATTGATTGATTTATTCATAGACTGTCCCAGCCGCCTTGTGTGTTGAATCCCATGTCACGCGATATATACTCTAATAAGAAGTGGCTGCCTATTAGGCTGCCAATCTTCTAGAAAGTATATTGATGAGTCACTATAAGTATAAATAGCCGTATCTACTCCCATAGTAAAGAAGACTATCACACTTGTATATCAGTTCAGGGTTCCAACTCACAAGGGCGGCTGGGACAGTCTATGAATCAATCAATCAATCAATCAATCAAGCTGTTGCGCGGGGATAAGCCTGCCATTCAATCAATCATGTAAGAATATGTAGCACGTTTAACAACACGTCACTCATACTGGAAGAAAGAGAGGCAAACGGAAGAAGCCCGATACGATAGCAGGGATAATACCATCTAGATCCCAATTAGCCCATTGAGGGGGCGGCGTACATGTTGGATCACGCCTCTACAGCGACTTCATATCCTAGCAGTATGCGGGCATCTATTAAGGGGGCGGCGTATATGTTGTATTACGGCTCTACAGTGACTTCATATCCTAGCAATATGCGGGCAGCGTTACATTGCGTCTTACGCTCTGTTTAATGCGGTAGGCTGTCGGATATAAAAATGGACGATGCGGCAAATAGAGAAAGCTGAACACGAAGAAGTGGAGCTTCCGAGCCTGGGGGAAGTAGCACGGCCGTTTCTAATCTTAAAAATTCCCTAGGTACTCCAGTACCGGTTGATCAATTCAAGCACCAACCGCACTACTGCCGTCCAAGTCCCATATACCCATAAACAAAGGCCAAGAGATATACGAGGTTCTCCATATTGCAACGCACTGCAGATAGGTACTTCGCAACATCTCTCGAGGCGGTGGAGGTGGTATACCATTTGTAGGGCGCAAAAGGGTCCAAACGAGTGAATACCTCGCATTTGTACTCGTGTTTGCGGGTAGGTTGGCAGTTAGTCAATGGACACCGTTCGCAAGGTCCAAGAGAGATGTACGTCGGGCGTCCGATGGAAGGACACAATGCAGAGATCGGCCAGGCAGTCACAAAGATTCAGCTGCCTAAACATCGAAATATGGGGAAGCAAGGCTGTAAGTGGCAAAATGTCAGCTCGTGAGATTCTCAACATCCTGGACAACAAGGGATGGCATGACGATCCGCAATCCAAGCAAAGCCGGTCGAAGAAATTACGGCCAGGATAGAAACTAATTTAAGAAGGGAGGCACATATAAAAAGGGGATGCTCATCCTCTTTATCCCCAGTTTCAATCACACAACACAAACGCATTTGACAACACCTGATCTTAATCCAAATCCAAATCTCTTGCAGCCTTTGCTCAGCAAACATGAAGGTAGTTCATCTCTTAGCAAGTGATGAGCTTCGCATACTGACTGAGAGATCTTAGTTCACTACTGTCTTCGCCCTTGTCGCCTGCATTGCTGGTGTCGTCAGCGCCTCTGACAACGTTGTAAGAGATATCCCATATAATTTATAATTCTGTGGACTTTTGCTAACATTTAATGCATTAATAGCTCGAAAAGAAGTCCTGCACCCCCAGCTCCTGCCTGTGCAACGGAATCCAGGGACAGTTCTGCGGTGACGAGAGAATCAACTCCGCCTGCAAGAATGGCCACGTGTACGAATGTGCTAGAGGAACTGGCAAGGCGTGTGATTACGGCCGAAGGGATTCTTGCCGTAAATGCGGCAAGCTCAGCTGCTAAGGGATGAATATATGGAGATAATCTTTGGATATCTTATCTGAACAGGCCGAGTCATTACTCCTTCGATCTTGTGGCATTCAATTTCTAGATATACACTGTATTTAGCTGAGTAGTCTGTATTTGACTTGGGTCGAAAAATGAAACATCCCTACTGCCTTTTACTCTTGCTATCAAGCACCTCATATTTCAATTCTTGCGCCGCGATTTCAAGAGTAGATATAGAGGGCAGTAAAAGGCCAAGCAACATGAAAACTGTTCTGGGCCGGCCGGAGGTGCCTCAAGCCTCCCAGCGCGACGTTCACCTTGGTGGCTCGTTTGACCGCCTGTTGCACGTGTTGCTTCCAACGCAGCTCCCTATCGAACACCACTCCCAGGAGTTTGGCTGTGGGGGACGGTTAGATGGTGGACCCGTTCATCACGAGCTGTCCCTTTTCGTGTTCACTCTTCTTCCGTGTGATATAGATCAGTTCGGTCTTCTCTACCGCGAAGCAGGACCCGGTGCGTCTGGCCCACTCTTCGATCCATAGGATGTCTTCCTCTTAGATCTTCTTGATATTCTCCTCCACTAACCGTCCGGCTCGCCACCGGAAGTAGTCATCAATGTACGCTGACGCGCCTCCGTGGTAGTCAACCGGCTAGTCCACCAGTTCCGAGTTAAAGAATGTAAAGAGAATCGGGGAGAGCGGAGACCCTTATGCCAGGCCCGCGTTTTCCAGCGGTACCACCGTTAGCTCAAAATCGTCGAACGAGATATTTACCTGACAGTCTTCCATGAAGCTCCGGATCCAGCGTCTGGCTGTGGTGGGGATCCCTTTCATCTTAAGCCGGGCGTACAGGCTTCTCTTATTCACTCCGTTAAAAGCTCCTTTCAGGTCGAATGCCACCAGGGTGACTACCTTCATCTTCAACCATGCTCGGTCTATCGCGTTAGCCAGCACAAGCAGCGCCTGTTCAGTTATCCGGCCGGGCCGGCCTCCGAACTATGTGTCTGGGAGTAGGCCATATGTTTCTACATAGTAGGTGAGCCGTCTGGCCACTACTGCTTCGAGGAGCTTTCCAAGCGTATTCAGGAGCGAGATAGGTCGGTATACTCCCAGGACCGAATAGTCCGGTTTACCGGGTTTGCGCAGCACCACAATCCTCGCGCGTTTCCACTATCGAGGGTAGTGGCCCAGTTCGATTGAGGCAGCGAAGATGCGCGTGACCACCTTGCCGATGTACTGCCAGAGATGTTTCCACACCAGGGTCGGAATCCCGTCCTCCCCCGGTGCGGTAGTCCCTTTCGCCGCTTTGAGGGCCCTGTGGATCTCCAGCTCCGTGACGGGTTCCCATGGGATCTCCTCTCTCTCAGGCGTGATCGTTCCCTCGTCGGGTTCTGCCATCTCCGGAAAGAAGGTCTTCATGAAGAGCCTTGCCTTGTCCTCGTTGTCCGAGACTTCCTCAGTTCCCACCCTCAGGGATGGGACGTTGCCGTACGATTCCCGGGGCCCCATGTAAGAGGCGGCTTTCCACAGGTGTCCTTCGCCGGCGCTGTCTAGAAACTCTTTCCAGTGCGTTGCTTTTGCTTTCTCTATCGCTCTGGTCCATGCTCGGCGTTTCTCGCGCATCTCCTTGAACAGGAGCACGGCCTGTGGGTCTCGGGAGCCTCTGGCGGCGCAGCTTTCTTGCCATCTGCGTCGCGCTCGGTTCGCCTCGCCTTGTTGTGCCTTCAGCTCCGGTGTGAACCATCGTTTAGAGTACGGCGACGGCTTCGCTGTTGGAACGTGTCGGTCGATGGCGTCCGTAGTAAATGCGACCAGCTTCTCGACAGCCTGTTCCAGCTCCTCTCTTGATCTTATCTCGGGTAGCGGGTCTAGTGCCGCCTGTACCGCCTGTCCAATCTTCTTCTAGTTGGCGCGTTCATACGCTCTTCTGGGCTTGGCGTTGGCCGCACGGTCTGGCCGGAGCGACCATTCCAAGTAGGTCGCGCGGTGGTCCGATCCATAGTTGTCGTGGTACAGGTGGCACTTGATCAGTCTCTCACGGGAGTCGGTCACCGTCAGGTCGATGGTGGACGTCTTCCCTGGCCTGCTTAAAGACCAATAGGTCGGTGCTCCCCGGGGGAGGCACCATTGGAGTCTGTTTGCCTGGAAGAAGCTGACCAGTTCCTCTGCGTGTTCTATGAAAGCGTGGTAAACCTCTCTATTGCCCCAGGCTGGGTGGTGTCGATTGAAGTCTCCCGCGAGGATGAGTACAGTTGGTTTATCAGAGCTCTGTCTTGCCTGCCGGATGGTCGACTGGATCTCGTCCAACATTGGCTGTATGGAGACCTCCTCGGCGGATTGATAGAGTCCGAACGGCGGAATGTACACCAAGAAGAGCAGGATCTGGGTGGCGGTAGTCCACATTCTGACGGCTGTGACGTCTGGGTGATTGCATTTCATTTGGCGGTGCACAGACGTGGAGATCCTCCTATTGACATACAATAGGCTTCGTTTCCGCGTGTTCTCCTCTTGGATGGTTGGTTGGTAGAGGCGCCAGGCGCTGTGGTTGACGTGCGTCTTGTACGCCGTAAGTGGCGGTTCCTGGACGAGCAAAACATCAAGATTCCGTGTTTCCGTGTCGTTGATCAGGGCCTCCATGCCCGCTCTCGATCTGTAGATGTTCAGTTGCAGCAAGCGAAGGTTTGGTTCTGTCATTGCATGTGGGGTGGTTCGGCAGGGTTCTGGCAGTTTTTGTCTCCTGTTGGGTGGTCTCCGTTACAGTCCAAGCACTTCGGCCTCACACCTGAGGGACAATTTTGTCTCTCGTGGGTGCCTGCACAGTGTCCGCACCTTGCCTTTTCTTTGCATGACCACGCCAGATGGCCGAAACCCTGACATCGGTGGCACCTCTTCCTCCTGACCTGATAGGGCTCGACACTGCCGATGTATCGTTGTCCAACGATGGGGCCGTTGTTGACCATCTACTCCGCTGCCTCCGGCGAGTCGAACCAAATCCCCAGCGAGCCATGGGTGCCTGGCACTTTGTCTCTCCGCTGGAGCCATGCGATCTCTGTGATCTAATGACCTTTGGTGGTCAAATCGTTGTCTTCCGCGATCTTAGCGATACTCTCCTTCTCCTCCTCCGGCAGTCTGAAGGCATCTGTTGGCGTTCTGTGCACCACAACTCCAAATCTAGGCTTGACGAGTTTAGTATCGTTGCCTAGCTTATTGAGCTAGTTGGAGTTGGACCGCGCTATATCCGCGGACTGTTGGTCCTTGAATCTGATCATATATCCTGTTTTTGTTGTTCCGATGCCTGTAACCTGTGCGTCTTTGGTGGCGTCGGCGCTGAGGAGCGTGGATCTGATGTGCGTGTTTGCGCTGTCCGTGGGGAGATACCTTCCGAAGCTGTTGATGTCATCACCTCTGTCTTCCGGTGCACGACGCGTGCTGATCCGGACGCAGTTTGGTTCTTTTCTGGCCTGGGTGCTCCTGGGTTGCTGGACAGCGCGACTGGGTTCCGGGTTGCCCACACTCGCTGCGACTTCTGCCCAGGTTCTAGCTGGTGGATTCGAGGATAGGGCCTCGATTTGTGCCCTAAGGGCATGGATTTCTTCTTGAAGGCTCGAGTTTTGGCTCTTCAACGCCTCTTGCTCAACCTTGAGCTCTAGAATGCCCGCTTTGGTGGCTTCGATAACATTGGTCTGGTGGCCTATTATATTTTTCAGGTCGTCGATGAGCCTTCTGATCTCCTGGTTTGTGACCCTCCCGCTGCCGTCTCCAGCGGCCACGGGTTTGGGGTTTGAGTTCGGTGCGTTCGTAGTATAAGAGTTATTCCTCCGGCGTTTCTCTCGTCTCGCAGGCTGGCTGGATTGGGTTATTGGTTGAGAGTTTTCGAATGAAAAGATTGAGGTTGTTGTTCCTTGCGTGTTTGGTGGTTCACGATCTCCCGTCGGTTCCGCCATCGGGCCGACGTTAGCTCCCGCTCGGCACACAACACCAACTTCCCAACACCAGTTTCCTCGTCAAAATAGAGTATTTTCCACGCAAAACCAGCAACAATGAGTTCAGTCTGTTCGTCTGATACCCGCAAGTACAGAAGCTTGCAAAATTAGCTTCCAACCCAAACATTCTTCATTTCATTCTCAGCCCCATTTGCCAAGCCACTATTCAGTAGACTAATCTATATTTGGCTACCGCATTAATTACCCCTGTTCTTGCAGTTTAGCTGTATGAGCGCCATGACAAGCTGTGTAATACAGATGCTCTGTCGGCCCGATAGAGTCTGGAACGTTCGCTGCAAACTTATCAAACTACACCAAGACTTGGCGATGTGGAAATCTGGCACTGGTGGCGTGCCTCTCTGCGAACAATTTTCCCTCTGACGAATAATAAGAATCAGCATAGTAAATGGGATTTCAGCAGGACGACCACATGCTCCGCTACCAAAGAAGCCAAGGTTTCTCTTGTGGTACTAACTCTCCTTTAGTGTAAAGCACTTTCTGAAATGTTCATAGCAAGCGCATCTAGTATTCGTGATAAGCCACCTTTCGAGCCATTTGACCAGCAGTACTAAACGAATATGCTCCCACGCTAGTTACTTCGACTGCATGTCGCTTTAACATCAGCTCATGGCACCATCGCGCTTGACTAGATAGTCTGCAGGCGAAAGTTCGACCCTACAACCAGTTTTCAAGACCAGATAAAAAAGGTCGAATGGGACGAGAAAAGGATTTGTGATGAGCAACCCCAGAGCTGTATCCACTTATTCTATCGAATGGAGAGTTGCTCTGAGCAAACAGAGTTGTGGGGAAGCAGAACAAGGTTTGGTCTCGGCTCCCGGCCTCCACTAGCAAGCTGTTTTTGAAGCCAACGTTGGAAAAAGCTTCTACACAAGAAGTCTTTAAGCACCGGCGAGTTAGGTCGGATGATACCAATGTCGTTGTATCGATAAATGCTCGTTCTCAAACGTGATATGACTAGGTGGGCTGAGAGACACTGGCATTGATTAGCCGGTTGTAGAGAAGTAGCTCCTCTTGTTGGGGATCCATTTCGCAGGGGAAAAGCTCAGACTTAAGAAAATTCAAATGCAAACAGATCAAACAGTAAGGTCGTTAGACGTTTTGGTGGATTTGGCAATCCGTTAACGGTAGCACTTACATGGAACGGGTTGTTTGTTCTCTGCACTATTTTTCAAAATGTAGCAGCATGAGCAGTGTGCTACGTGGACCCCACAAGCGAAATTCTGCACTTTCGTGGTGGATAAGCATTTCTTACGACCTTGCCACGCATCATATGTATATCAGCCCCACACTTCTAGACCGAATATCTGTTAAGCGGATGTGGTGCGGCTGAAGAATATCGCCACTACTGAACCGTGGATCGGTATATCTACTGGATAAAGAGCTTTCACGTGAGGAGTTTCCATGGTGAAAGTTTCCGCGGTAAAGAGTTTCCATGGTAGAGTTTTCACGGATAGAGACTTTAGTAAGAAGGCTATAAAGCCAGGTAGATATCCGATATATTTCATAGTTAACTAACAAATTGATACGTTGTTTGTCCGCCTCTCCTTTCGTTATATTGCTTGTTCCGCAGCAATATTATGCTTAACCAATCGCCCGCCCGAGTAATCCTTACAATATCCACCTCCTTTTCCTTTTTACAAAGAGACCCCCTACGACCATCGCAACATTATCCAAAGCCTAGATTATGGAATCTCGGTTAAGTTTCAGATAAATCTTATCACTTCACCTCAAGATGTCAGGCGTGGAAGTGATCGGCGGTATCTCCGCTATTATTACTATTATCGATGCCTCGATCAAGATCTACAACGGTGCTCGGAAGGACATGAAGTTGTCTAAGACCTTCGAAAACGTGGGGCGCCGACTGCCTATAATTCTCCATACCCTTCAGATATGCAAGAAGGACATAGAACCAAGTAAAGACTCTATGTCTGCAGATGTCTGCGAAGCCTTGGAGAAGATCATTGATGCTTGTGATGAAAAAGCTGGGAAATTGAGAGAGATATTTGAAAAGGTCATGCCTGGTGAAAAAGATGCCTGGGAGAAACGATACCAAAAAGTCATCAAGAGACTTGGCAAAGGGAACAAGGTCGAAGAGCTCATGCTATCGATCACTCAAGACGTCCAGCTCATTGTCAACAACCATGCAGTGAAGTCTGCCAAACCGGAGCAAAATTTCGAGCTTGAGAATATCATCAAAGAGATGAAGTCCCTTAAATCTTCGGTACCTGAGGAAGAAAGCTCGGATTATACTTTCAACAGCAGCGGAGGTCCTATGACGAACAATCTCCTTAGAGACAATGCACAGCAAATCAATAATGCTGCAGCCGTTGGAACTCAGAATTTCGGTAAGAATTAGCTGTGATCGTGGCATTTTGTCATTAGCACAATACCGGAAGGCGGTTCTGCGTCAGTTGATTTTGTTATAGTGAGAGGCATCCTATACGTGATGTTCTCATATGATTAATTGATAGTCACTTATAGCTACTTCTTATTTTCAATCTACACAGACTCTATTTATGTTTTTCAGCATTGTTCAATGAAGAGTTCTTTCCACGACCTCAGTATCAGCTTGGACCTATTGAACAAATTTAAGCTGACTGTTCTTGGTAGTTACCCACAAGCAGAAAGACGACTTCAGCTTTCGGGGCCCAGTTGGAGTCTGCCTCAGCCAGGCACCCTATATCGATCCAGAGCTATTCGTGGGGCGTAATACCGAACTTAATGAGATAAAAGAGGCATTAGAACCAGGAGACAAATCCCAAGGACAACGACGTCTCGTACTTGGTGGTGTAGGCGGCATGGGCAAGACACAGCTTGCCATTGCTTACGCAAATTGCTACTGTGGCATTTACACATCAGTCTTCTGGCTAAATGCAGCAACTGAGGCCATTCTTAAGGATAGTTTTCGATCGATGGCCGAGCTAATCTTTGATATACAGGAGCCTGGAGTCCTCGAGGCCAAGCAGATCGTGATTTATGTTCATCGATGGTTATCTGACATGAAAAATACACGATGGCTATTAATCTTCGATAACTACGATGACCCGGACCAACTTCAAATTAAACAATATTATCCCCCTGCTTCCCATGGAGCGATTGTTGTCACTACACGACGGCCAGATCTCGTCGCCGGAAGGACTGTCCCGATACAGCCCCTCAAGGATATTGAGGAGAGCCTTACGATCCTGCAAACCCGATCCAAGCGAGAAAATGTTAAATCTGGTGTGTTGTTATCAGCGACCATGACTATTATCTACTAACCGCCGTCGTTAGATCCTTACGCACAGCGCTTGGCAGAGCGGCTTGGTGGTCTTCCGCTGGCTTTGGCTACCGCCGGGGCATACCTTCGACAAAGCTCCCTAACTTTTGAGCGCTATCTTCAGGAGTATGAGAAACGCTGGAATATTGACCCCCGCCGGCCGCCACGGCTCCAAGAGTATGATCGCACGCTCTACACGACGTGGGATCTGTCATACACCGCGCTCGAAAGTGATGACCCAGACGCGGCAAAATTACTAAAATTGCTGGCTTATTTTGATAGCCAGAGCATTTCGTACAAGCTTCTGCGTGCGGGACTCACTGATGGCTCTCCAAGATGGCTGTGCGAACTAATTGCAGACGACATTAACTTTGACGGCATAATGAGGGCGCTAACAAACTACTGCTTCTTAGAAGTGCAGATGGCGCTAAGATCGTGGAGCATGCATGCCTGCGTACACGACTGGACGTTGGCGGCACTCAATAAAGAAATTGACGTGGAACAGTATTGGTATGCTTTTGACTGTGTTGCTGAATGTATCAATTGGGATGATAGTGATTCTTTTGGGCACCTCTCTTATTCTCACTTGGCTGCTCACGCAACACGGCTAGTACATCAGCGCTTCCACCAAAACGATCTCATAGATAACATTGCTATAAGCCGACTTGATAGAGCTTCATATATTGCACTACTACTTCAGGAGCAGGTACACCTTGTGGCTGCAGAGCAAGTGAATCAACGTGTACTTCGAGGATACCAGAAGGCGTTGGGTGCTGACCATACATCAACACTCGAAACAGTCAACCACTTGGGCAATCTTTATTCAGATCAAGGCAGGTTGGCCGAGGCTGAGGAGATGTATCAGCGCGCTCTGCAAGGATTCCAGAAGGCATTGGGTGCTGACCATACATCAACACTGAATACAGTCAACAACTTGGGCAATCTTTATAGAGATCAAGGTAGGTTGGCCGAGGCTGAGGAGATGTATCAGCGTGCTCTGCAAGGAAAGGAGAAGGCGTTGGGTGCTGACCATACATCAACACTGAATACAGTCAACCGCTTGGGCAATCTTTATTTGAATCAAGGCAGGTTGGCCGAGGCTGAGGACATGTATCAGCGCGCTCTGCAAGGATTCCAGAAGGCATTGGGTACTGACCATACAACAACACTCAAAACAGTCAACAACTTGGGTTATCTTTATTCAGATCAAGGCAAGCTGGCCGAGGCTGAGGACATGTATCAGCGCGCTCTGCAAGAATTCCAGAAGGCGTTGGGTGCTGACCATACATCAACACTCGATACAGTCAACAACTTGGGTGTTCTTTATTCGAATCAAGGCAGGCTGGCCGAGGCTGAGGAGATGTATCAGCGCGCTCTGCAAGGATACCAGAAGGCGTTGGGTGCTGACCATACATCAACACTCGAAACAGTCAACAACTTGGGTGGTCTTTATACGAATCAAGGCAGGTTGGCCGAGGCTGAGGAGATGTATCAGCGCGCTCTGCAAGGATACCAGAAGGCGCTTGGTCAGGAACAGGTCAAAAGTTTTGTCCCTGCGCTTAATACCCATCAGAATCTTGGTTTACTATACGAACAACAAGGGAGAAAAGATGACGCCAAGGTAGCCTATCTTATAGCACTATAAGGGTTTGGAACTGTTTTTGGAACTTTAAATAAGCGGTATCATAACATCAAGGCTCTTCTATCTGCGCTAGGTAGTTAATAAGTGCGAGCGTAATAGACTTAAGGACTACTAGTGACACCGTTTCTGGTTAGATTTCATCTACCGTCAACCCTGCATGCCGAAAATGACCCTGCGCGCTTTGTTTTCTTCCACCCACAGTATCAACACACCATTAAAGGAAGCTATTAAAACCTTGCCTAGGATCTTTCTCGTAGACTTGCCAATTTCGCTTGATAAAAGCCTTCAATTCAGAAAAAATTCTTCGATCGGTCAAGATCCGGCGAGTATGGCGGCAGGAAAATCAGCTTCACTTCTACTGCTGAGCACATATGCTCGATCTGCTCGGAGTGATAAAAAGACGCGTTATCCATTATAAGCACAGACTTCGGTTCTGGCCATCTTCCACAGTGCTCGAGAAGCTGCTCAATAAAATCTTCAAAGACGGCAGCATCAGTCGAACCCTGGAAGACACGAGAGAGAACAATGCCATCCTGAGCGTAGGCAGGTAGTATCTGATGGCGCTGGTCGCGGTGAAACTTCAGCGCCTGGCGCCTCTACTAACCAACCATCCAAGAGGAGAACACGCGGAAACGAAGCTTATTGTATGTCAATAGGAGGATCTCCACGTCTGTGCACCGCCAAATGAAATGCAACCACCCAGACGTCACAGATAAAAGTCGGAAATTAGCAACGGTGGCGCTTTTGTGCTAGCTAGGGCCATTCATTAGATTAGAGATTATGGCCTACCGCTCGAACCGCTGGTTTCTATTATAGTTATGGACTGACTGAATGGTCATAGATATATCCTTGTAGCTCAGCCGGCAGCCGCATGGACCAGGCTATCTATTAGCCTATTTATTATTGGGCAACACGGAGTACTTTCGAGAAACTCGATCGCTATCCGTCAGCTGGTGTTTACGTATGTGAATGTTGTTAGCCTTGAGCAAGTAGCCCAACAGCATCAGCGTATAATATAAGTCAATAAATAGTCACAGCATAGATGATTGGGGAACGAAGAGCGCCAGCTGGCGTCGGAAGAACGCGAGAGCTAGAATATAAATGTGAGCGATATTATTAGCTGTTGTGTAGCACGCGCACGCGAGTAGGCGTTTTATTCTTCTGGCCCTTATTGACCTTGACGGTGCTGATTCCTTGTGGTTGACTACTCGGTCAAGAGAGGCGATGGATTATTGTTGAACGGAGATTCGGTGTAATATCGCCTAATCGTACGAAACACGTTAGTCAACTACGCCGTTTCATTAAATATCGGTGTCAGCTCTCTATCATCGAACAAATGCTACGCCAGGCGTTTTAACGCCTGTTTCAGCTGTGATTGGCATCTCCGTGATGGCAAGATACGTGGCCGTATAAGGAACATAAATAGAAGCTCAATATCGTGTATTTTAGATGACGAGTGCTTGATAGATTGAAATCTGTCAAATTAGTTAGTGCTTAGTCAGATGTTGGCCGTACGCCTCATGTCGGATATGTTGCATCACGTGACCTCATACGGCCCCTGGCCCCCTGACATATCCACCTACACACGTCTCATCGTAGGGTTAGCCCTTTACACACACACATATATAGAGGCCCAAAATGGCCTGTAGACTTAGAGACCATCATCTTCATTCAATATACGCCCATTTTGAGCTCCTGATCGTAGTATTCCGGGTTTTACAGCATTTTGTTGCTGTTCCGCTGTGTCCCGTAGAGACGCCACCCTATCGGTTGATTGGCGCGCTCTGAGAATAAATATAGTTAGTCTGAGTTTGGCTTATCGATAACACTTACTTAGCGGCCGTCTATTGGACGGTTAGGGATACAGCGCTTGGCCAACAAACCGAGAAGCAACATAATTCGTCAGAAAGTTCAGCGCTCCGACGTACACATTTATCGGTATTTCTCGGTTCATATGTGGACTAAAGGAAAAAGGGAGTTGTAAATACATTTCGGAAAGAAGGTGGGCGATCAACTAAGCTATTCCGATAAACCCCTAACATTATACATGAGTTGTGCCTGCTGGCGAGACATGGGTACGATCGCGGACTGAACTCGATGTTGAATGTAGGATTGAATAGCCCTTGCTTAAATAGCGGAAAGAATTTTTCCGAAAGCCGTTGGAATGTCAGCTGTTGGCCAACCTTGCTTTGGAATTAACTATTACACCTCGAGAAAGATCACGCTCATGGGGTTTAAATTATCTCGTCTATTCAGCGACGGAGGCGGTCAACTATTGTACTACGTACAGATGATATTTACCTTATACACTCAACCGGAGCCAGTCGACAGCGTGCCCTCCTCTTTCCATTCAATGGATACCCTGCCGACCCGAGGAAGCTACTAGGTTTTCTCCCAGGGACAGCGGGCGCGGCGGCCACCCGACCTTGACCACCAGCGGAGCGGTGTCCCAGCGGGTATACCGATCGACCCTGTCCTCACCGCCCAGTTGGAATATTCCGTCGTTGTCGAGAGTTGCCGGGCAGGCGCGGCCGAGCTCAGCGAATAGTCGAACGTCTCCCTCTTCGATCAGAGCGAACATCGAGCCCGCGTGGTCGGATACTAGGTGCTCCGCGACGGCCTTGAAAACACTACAGGGAGAGAGGCGGCAGAATTAGTCAACTGCTATTTCAGATGCTACAATACGTACAAACGAGTCTATCGAGGCGAGCGCTTACGCTTCTTGTCTCCCGCCTTCTTGTCTTTTCGGAGAATTGAGCGTCTCTGTTGCACGGATGCCCAGCTTCTCCCAGGTAAACGCTCCGCTGCCACTGCCTCAGTCAAGGGCTGACTGTCGTCCATCAGGGACAGGAGGAGGTTTATCTCAGCCTCAGACCATCGCGGTGCCGTACCTCGCCCATCTGTGCAGCTCGCCGCTTTGTTGCACCTCGTAGCCTCAGGGTCTCCGAGTCTGTCGGGAGCTATACTGCCGGTCACCACCGGGCTCCCCATCAAGTGAGAGACCACGGCCGAGATGATATCGGACCCCAGCGTCGACGCGTCCACCACGCTATTTGCGACCCTCCCATGCCCCTGTGCATATGCCTGTATATGTTCCGTGATACAAGGGTGAACGACCGAGCTAATTCCAAGCGTCAGCGACACAATGGCGTCCGCCGGCAGGGAGGACGGGCCCGAGGGCGCGCGACAGGCGGACGGCGGTGGTATGGCGACCTTCCGCCGCTTTGATGCTGCTGCAACGTCGTCCTCGCCCTCGCTGTCTACATAGCCACTGTCGCCGTCACCTTCGTTATCGTCTGCCTCACGAGCGATGGGGACCGATGGACACTGGCTGGAAGGGGCGTGCGGGGTGACACGGCGGGCGGGAACCTCCACCGCCACCATGCGCAGCGGCTGAGACGATGATGGCGACGGTGACGGCGATGGCTCTCCCTTTATCCGCTCATCCTCGTCGCGCGGATCTGCGCAAGGCTCCAGAGCACCACAATCAGGCAGTGGCTCGGTGTGGGCATTGTCTGCGGTACCCTGCGGGCCTTCGACATCGGTTTCGTCGTCATCCGAGTCGATCAGGATAGGTGCTAGGGCACAGATGGAGAGTCAGCAACGCAAGGAGAGAGAGGCTGTGACTTCGGGAAAGGCTGGGGCGGGAAGGGAACAAGCTGCAAATCTTACCTAAAGCACCCCCGGGCGTCACGTCCACCGGCCTCTGAGAGCGCAAGGGGGACGGTGATTCAATCCCGTCCTCAGCCGCAGGCACTGCGGGCGAACACTCCAGAGAGGGGGATTCTGGAATTTCGACGGCCTCCAGAATCTCTGCGTTTCCGTCAAACTTAGATTGTGTATATTCAGTGCCTGAGTAAGGCTCTAGGGACAGCTGGTGCGCTGCAGACCGGTTAGCAAACTGCTGGGAAGATACGCAGGCGCTCAAAGGACGCTGAAGCAGGAGTCGAGAAATCAAGAGAGATTGGGGAGCGGGCGAACGAACCTGGGCGAGGAGCCTGTTTAGATGCATCATCTTCGACCGTGCACGCGGGACCATCACAAGTTTCAATCTCGGAGTGCTCGAGGCCCGTTAAGTCGAGAAACTCGATATCGCTGAACGGGCATCCAAGATCTATTTGCTTCTTTGCGGACTGTTGGGCCCGTTCATCTGCGGATGTAGATTCGGGGAGGGGAGAAAACTGGGGCTTGGGCGGCAACGGGTGCTGGGGGTGCGAGAGGTGCTGAGGAACGGCCTTTGGGAGCAACGCAGGAGGTGGCCCCGCGGGTGCTGGTGCTGACAACGGTTTGAGGGGAAGGGTATCTGGTGAGATGGGGAGGGACGGGGGCTGGAACGGGATGATCTTGTCTAGGCTGATGGCCATATTCGCTTCTTTGAACTGCGCTTTCTATCACGTCCTGTGGGATGAAGTAGATTGATTTGAGAACTCAGCGATCTGTGGGAAATCACCCAACTTATATAGACGGTCCTGGAGGCACAGGGCTCGCACATGTCGCTTACATTTCCTGCCTCGCGCGGCCATCGCCGGCGCAATGCTGTGCACCTGGCCGAAATTGCAGGCCGGACCCGCGCTGCATGCACATTCAGCTCAATGGGATGGGGATGCATATTGGATGTAACCCAACCCGCGGCGACGGTGACTTCTACCTCGACGGCCCATGTCTCCAACCCACCGCTCAGCCCATCAAATTTTTTGTTCCGAGTTGCGAGAGCGCCGGGACCAGGTCGTCGCGGCCACTCCTCATCCGCCGTCCGTTCGTACACGACATCCAGCTCAGCTAACACGCACATAATCTCAAATTGAAACACGAAAAGACGGGAACGGGTCAACCGAGCCTCCCCTAGTCCAAACCACACAACCTCCGCGAGGAATAGTAGGCAACGGCCCACACACACAAACGGCTATCCCGGATCTCATAGAACACCAGCTCCGCACTCATCATGCAATGCTCAGGCGAGAGTGCAGCACGCTCAGCTGCCAAGGGTCCACATTCCCGTGCGGACATACGGGCGCAGTAGATATCGTCCTGCTTTGCGCGCAGCCACGCCACGGCGTGGTCAGTCCGCGTCGTGACACACCATCATGCGCTCGGCCTCGCCGACATGAGTCATTTTTGCAATTGGTCGATGCAGCTTGCACGCCGTCGAGCGGCGTAGAGGGCAGCCCGAGCTGACGCAGCTGCTTACGCCGGATCAGCCCGTTTCAAGGATGCGCATACGCCTGAACTCCGCGGGCATGAGGCATTTTTGCCATTGGTGAACGGCGCATTGTGCGTGCGTAATCGGGTTTCAATGGGAGACAGGGGGATAGGGATGGGGATGAGACCAGAGAGAGGGCGGACGAGGAAAGCAGGCTCCGTTGAGAGGGGTGAGTGAGTGCGTTTGGAGAGAAGAAAGCGCTACAATTGTAAATGGAAGCCAGGGTAGAATAGACGACAAGAGCCAGGCGTGGATAATTGGCCTCCAGGGAGGAGGTCGACGTCTCTCCAAAGAATGTGAGCTGCAGGAGGGCAGATAGAAACGCCGGAGGGTGGGCGGTGAAACGCAGCCGGAGAACAGCAGGTAGGTCCGGGGAAGGAAGGTCGGCAGATGAGAGACAAGGGGGAGCCGCGAAAAGGGGTCGGCGAAAAGGGGAGGGGAAGGGGGGGGATCGCATCAGGGGCAGAGCTTGAGGAAAATCAGGACGATGGAGGTGCGTGGAGATGGGAGGGAGAGCAGCGAGCCTTATATAGTAGAGGGGGAGGACGACGGATGTACCTTCAGGCGGCGTGAGGTCGACGACGCCAGGCCCGATCGGGTCAAGAAGCGCAGGCGGGGCCAATGGGCGGGGCCGCAGCGGGCGAGCCAAACCGAGTGCGGACGGCCGCCAAGGACAGGCTAAACCAAATCGGGACGGAGGCCACATCCGGCCATGTACTCACCGTTGGGAGTTTAACTTTCTTAGTTATTTATTTCCTATATATCTTTATATTTTAATTTAATTTCTCCTTTTAAATCTATATATTCTAGTATTTTAATTCTTTAATTTAGGCTTATTATTAGATTATATATTTATCCTATTATAGTATTTTATTATATTGATACTAGTTATTTTTTTATTTAATCTATTTATTCTATCTTTACTATTCTTATTATTATTATATATTAGGTACTTATTTATATATATTATTAAGTTTTCCCTCTAGTAGCTATAGATAGGTAGTTTTCCTTATTACCCTAAGGTATTATTTAATATTTTATAAGTCTTAGTAGCCTTCTCTACTTTACTTCTTCTTATAGCTACTAGTCTTAGATATAGTAGTAGTATTAAGGTATTTCTTAGTATTTCCTTATTTCTTTCTATAGTCTTTTATAATATATCTAGATTTCTTATAGTAGAAATATAACTTTTTATCTCTATATCTTTAATTCTTTTTTATATTATAAGGTTATTTTTTAGTAGTATCTAATTCTATAGATATAGTACTATAATTATTATATTTATTTAATCCTTTATATTAATTTTCTTTCTAGAAAGTGCTTTTTTCTTATTATATATTTCATAGGTTATAGAGTTAATTATTAATATATACTACTATTTTAACTATTTATTTAAAATCATTATATAGTTCTATTTTAATAATTTTATATTAGGTTTCTAATTTAAATCCTTATTTAAATATAGCTATTTTTTATTTATTATTATTAATTCCTAGTTTTTAATAAATTTATTATAGTTATACTATATATTATACTATATCTTTAATTTATCTAAATCTCTATAGTTTATATTATAAAGTCCTTTTTCTATTAGTATTTCTAAAGAATTATTTAAGTATTTATTTAAATTATATATAGTTATTAAATATATCTATATATAATATAAATTATTCTTTAATATTAGTTTAATCTTTAAGATATAGTTTAAACTATATTACTACTACTTTTTATATATAAGATTCTATAAAGATAACTTTCTTAATATTAGTAACTCTTAGTTTAATTACTAAATAAATATTATATTCTTTTAGGAAGTATTTTAGTTTAGTATAATCTTCTTTATAAATATTAGGTTTATAAATTTTAATAGTAGTCCTTTTATCTTTAGTTTTTATTTTAAATATATTAATACTATTTTTATATTCTTTAATCTACTTTATAGTTTATTTAATAGTATTTTTATAATCCTTAAGTAGCTTTTATTACTTTTCTACTTATTTATTAGTTTTATTTAGTTATTTATTATTAGATTAATTATTAATTTTTTTTTCTAATTTAATAATTTTCTCTCTTATTTATATAAATAGGTTATTAATATTAGTAATAGATTTACTTACTAATAATATATTAATTTATTTTACTTTAACTTTAAGTATATTTCTATAGTTAGTATATTTTTAAAAATAGAGTAATATATATCTAATTTATTCTTCTTAATATATAATTATAAGTTATTTAAATTAGAGTATTTATAATAGTATAATAGCTTTAGTAAATTAGAATTATTTTTATCTTTTTATAATTATAAAGTTAGAGTAATTAATATTATAAGCTAATAGCATTTCTTAATTATTTAAAGATAATTAAAAGTTTATATTTACTATAAAATAGAAAGTATAAAAATTTTAGGGAAAGCTTAAATTAAAGGTAAGTTATTATAGAAGATAGCTTAGTACTAAAGTGAGATAAAATACTATAATAAAGCTATTTCTTAATCCTAAATATAGTTTTAATTAGTACCTTAGTTAAATAAAGGCTAAAGATCTTTATAAATAGTAAAGATAAAATTAATCTATATTAATAGATAAAGAGGTATTTAGTAAATATAGTATAAGATAACTAGAATAATACTTTATATTAAATAGTATAGTAAAACTATAGCTAGTTTAATTATATATATAAAACTTTTAATCTTAAAATAATAAGTATCTTTATATATATAATATATATTAAACTATACTAGCTATACTAGCTATACTATTTAATATATCTAAACTAGTATAGATAGTACTTACTTTCTCTACTATCTTACCATCTGTAGATATCTAAGCTAGTGAGCTAGCTAATACTAGATTCTTTTGTTTTAGTTATTTTATCTAATAAATATATAGTCTGAGGCTGCGCCGCAAACAGTTTATAATATAAGGCAAGGTATATATTAAGTCTCTATTATAAGAGTTAGTAAATAAATAAACTCTATCTAGTAATAGTATCCACAAGCCCCCTCTACTAATAATTTATATAAAGAAGATAACTAATTATAACCTAAGTCTTCCTTAGACCAACGATATCTACTATAATTATACTATAAAGGTAATTACTTATATAGAATTTGGACTAGGGACGGGTCGGTTCGGATCGAGTTTTTGACCTCTTCTAACTCGATCTAGTGGGTATCTATATCATTCCGTACCCGCGAGTTTGGGTATCCAATAAGTCAGGTATTGACTGGGTATAAATCGATTATATTAATTATTTTATTTAGTTCCTAATTTAGTTAGATTAGCCTATTTTTAGATTTTTTTTCTATTTATAGATATTATATTAACCAAATAGAGTAATTTAAAGCTTAATTCTTAATTATTAATTAGATTTTGGCTTAGTAATTAATATTTTAATACCTAATTAGGTATCTAGAGGATACTCGACCCAAACCGACTTATTTGAATCTAATAAATACTTGACCAGTAACAACCTAGTTAGGTTTGGGTCGGTTTGATTCGATTATCAAACTCGTACCCGTCCCTAGTCTAATAGAATTACTAAAGAGCTATAATAGTAAAAGGCTACTAAAATTTAAATATTTTAAAAAACTATATACTCTATATTTAAAGGATAGCTTTAACTATAATTTTAAAGACCTTATAGACTTTATTAATATTTTCTTATTAATAGTTAAAATTACCTAACTAACTCTACTACTTCTTAAATTATATAATAGACTTATTAGTTAGTATAATTATAATATATATTATATTATCTACACTTATCTCTAAGTTCTAATTAATACTCTTAGTATTAAAATACTTAAAACTATTAAAAGGGTTTTAAAAAGGTTTTAACTTATTCTTTTCCGCGTTAGTATTATTCACTATAGCTATATTTTCTTTATCTTTCTAAAATAGTAAAATAGCTTTTATACTATATAGAGTACGCCTTAATAACTATATCTACTAATAGAAGTTAGTTAGATCCTCTTTTAGTATCTTATTTAGTTTTATATAGCTAGTAAGAGTTAGTATTTTCTATTACTATTAAATAAATAGTGGCGGAATAAATAATTATAGTAGTCCAAATAGTAGTATAGATAGTAGTAACTTAAGACTATTATTAAAGTAAATATAAGATTCTAATAATATCTTCTATTATTTATTATTCTTAGGTTTACTATTAAATACTTAGCGTTTTAAAGTCTTTAGTACTTTATTCTATTTAGGGGTAATAATATCTAGTTTAGAGGTAATAGGGCTTAATATTATAGATTAAGGACTAGCTATATTAGTAAGCTTACTAACTAATATAATATTACCTTCTTTAGGTCGATTAATTCTAAAAGAGTTATACTTATTTAATAATAAAATAAAGAATAATTAGAGATATAAGTTGATTCTACCTCGCGCGATATTTTTTCTAAAGAATAGGCTATTAATATAATAGATATTAAGCTTATAAGTTTTAAATAAAAAGAGTTTTAAGTAGTTAACTATAATCTAATCTATCTTTATAGGTTTAGAATATTTTATTACGCCGTCGGCCTCCCTTTTAATAATAATAGTTTAAATATCTTTTAAGCTAAGGCCTTATTAATAAAGTATTCTATTTACTTTTACTACTTATTACTTTAGATAAATATATTTAAGATATAGCTTCTTCTATAGAGGGAGTATTATAAGGCTTTAAAGGAATTAGATTAAGAATTTATATATATTAATATTATATATATTTATAAGTATTATCTTTATAAATATTTTTATATTTTCTATTATATATTAATAAAAGGATATAAACTCTATCTAAAGATAGTATTTATAAACCTTCTTTAAGTTCCTTATAGTAGTTATTATTAAAATTAGTAAGATTACTTTTATTATTATTATTAAGTATATATATACTATATAGTATATCTATTATATATTTATTATCTTTAGGGTTTAATAAAGGGAGTAGAAGGGGTAGAGAGGATATAAACTCCTTAAGAGTTAAATCTATAAGGTAAAGGTCAATTAAATTAAATATCTATTACTTATTAGTAATAAAGCTTATCTAGAGCTAGTATCTAATAGTATAGTCTAGTGGATATAAAGTATATCTAAAGATAATATTTAATACTATAGTTTAACAAATATAAAGTATATTTAAGAATAGCTTCTATTTACTATAACGGCTCTAATCTTACTTTATATTTAAATATAGAAGTATAGGAGATCTAAAAATAATATATTAAACATTAGCTATCTATTTTTTTTATATATCTAGATAAATGTTAGGTCAAATATATATATAAAGAGCACTTACTTAAATTCTTTAGCTAAATAGCTATTTTATAAATAATCTTAATATAATATTAATATATAGTATTAATATACTTAGTAAGTTCTAAAAAGCGCGTTAAGACTTAATATTTTAAAGTTCCTAAAAAGTATTACTAATAATTTAATAAAAGAATATATATAATAATTATAATTATTAATAAAATATTTAATTATCTTTATATTAAAAAAAGATAAAAGCTTATAACTATATATAAATTATTAATAATTTAATAATATAATAATTAAAAACTAATATCTATTACTATTTATTAATAAAATATAAAATAGATTTAAAGAAATAATATACTTTATAATATTAGATATATAAAAAGTCTACTATTAAATATAAATAAAAGAAGATAAAGAATAGAAAATAGTATTTAGAATATAATTT